CAAGTCTACCACGATTTGATTACACAAAATTACTAAAAAATGACATATTTCCATAAAATTATAAACTTGTAGTATAAGTGCTATATTTTAGTATTTTTATGTGATGAAATCATGTCAGACTTTTTATGGTTTGAAATTCATCAGACATGCAACAACTTAATATATTTAGGCACTTTTTGTATGTATAAACATAAAGAACACGTTACACTCGTGTAAAATGTAGAAATATTTATTTCTTTTTATATTTTGTAGTTTGTTGTTAACGTAGTACTGTTGGAGTAATTAGTATAGTTTTACTAAATAATATGTATACGTAATTTTAAGCGAGTAAAAAGTATCTGCATAATCAATAATGGTTAAATTTCAATATCTTTTGGAATAGAATATAAGAATTTCATGGAGATATATTATTACACTGAGAAGTAATTAAGGTATTTAGATGGAGTGCAAAGTTGAAGTGCAAATTAGAAGACACTGAATTAAAATAATCATTTTATATATTATATGACTAAAGAGGTATGCATATAATGAACAGTTGAAAGTGCTCTTGTAGCTGTGGAGAAAGAATCGTTCGTCCTTTAAATATCTAATTAAGTTTAATACATTTCAATAGATTATAAGAGACTATCGTTATATTGCCACTGTGAGAACAGAAAATTCTCAAGTTTTTAACTCTCTAAATTTCCGAATTTTCAAATTCCAAAAATTCCAAATTTCCAACTCTCAAATTTCCCAAATTGCCAATTCCCAGAATTCCCAAGTTTCCAACTCTCCAAATTCCAAAATTCTCAAGTTTGTAACTCTCTAAATTTCCAAATTGTCAAATCCCAAAATTCTCAAAATTCCAACTTTCTAAATTTCCAAATTTTCAAATCCCAAAATTTCCAAATTTCCAACTTTATAAATTCTCAAATTTTCAAATCCCCAAATTCCCTATATTCCAATTCTCAAAATTCCCAAATTGTCACATCCCAGAATTACCAAGTTTCCAACTCTCAAAATTCCCAAATTGTCAAATCCCAAAAGTCTCAAGTTTCCAACTCTCTAAATTCCCAAATTATGAAATCCCAAAATTCTCAAAATTCGAACTCTCTGAATTCCCAAATTGTCAAGTTTCTATCTCATCAAATTTCCAAACCCTCAAATCCCCAAATTTCCAATTTCGCATTCCCACATTTTCTAAATTCTAAAATTCTCATATCCCTAAATCCCTGAAACCTTAAATTCTTAAATTCCCAAATTCAAAGATTTCGTCAAATCCTATTTTCCATCAATTTAAAAATATTCAATAATGCGCCAATACGTCTATACGAAACGTCATACAAAAAGAAACCAGTTCCAGGGCAATATACCGACAGTCTACACTTCGTCTAGTGGCTGCTGCTCGTACAATTGTCCCACCATTATGTACAAGTTCAAGCTATTTTTTGCATAAGTACCGAAATCTGTACACCGTCAATTGCATTCAAATATCATTCCAACATGAAATCATTCAAAAGAAATGACAGATTTCGGGACAAAGATTTCTGTTTTTACGTTGCTGCCCTAATGTATGTCTTTTTTCCGCAGAGTGTGAGTGATGTGGCCTCGTTACGTCTCTACTATAATACATAATTATTATTGTTACTCCCTGTTTTTGTAGTTTTGTACAATAGTCAAGTGGCTTGCGTGTGATGATTGCGGGTTTTCGAAAATTCAGCAGAACGAAAAAAAAGCAAGGATTATCAATCATAGCACGGAAGCGATTTTATAAGAAAAACGTGCTTATTAAATGTGAGAAGTGTTCGAAAATCTGTAAAAGTTGCGTTAGTTTTTAAAAATCGACACCATTTATGTCGTCATCTTTCATCACCATTATTATGAACGAATGGATACTAACGCGTTTTTTTATTTTGTTCCCGATCCTCTGTTATTTTATTTGCGCTACTCGCAGAATTCCACAGTGGAGAAAGTAAGTGATCTTCTCTTGAATCTTAGCTTCTGCTATTTGCCGTATCGCGCTTCAATTTGATTTATGTTCTTCATACATTTTCTTTATAGTTGCACATTGCCCGTAGTCGCTGACGGTACCCATAAACAGTGCACAATGAATACATGCAAACTTATTTTTATTCTTTATTTACGGTTACAAAAATTAGGTTTACTATTCAAAATTGGTGGTAAATTAATTTTAATATATGTTACATATTTTACTATTGTGATGTATAATTAGGGTCTGACTGATGGAGTCAGTGAGGAAATAATTATTTTCAGGATTAGAATTTAAATAGATTTAAATTTGCAAATTTAAGAATACCTAAATTGTCGAATTTAAACATACACAAATTATCAAATTTAAATATTTAGAAATTATCAGATTGTTGAGTTGAAGACTCGAAACTTAAAAGCTCATGATTTTACAAAATTTCAAAATTCAAAAGTTCTGCATTTTTAATTTTGCAACTTACATATAAAAATTCCCAAAAATTTCTAAATTCTAATATTTGATCAATAAAAAATTTGAAATCTACACTTGGATCCATTACAGTCTTCAGAATTAAAATCATATACTATTTTAAACCGTTTCAATCAGTACCGTAAATTACTACTTGGAAATTCAGTCTACAGCGAGCGTTTAATATTTATTAAACATCGTATTTCATCACAGCTGAAACCTGTAATGTATTCCGAAAACACAGCGTCCATTAAGAAGTACCGTTGCATCATCTTCTTTGAGTAATCTTCGTAGAATTTTATTTGCAATGTATTTTTAGAGTGCGTAATACACTGAGAACAGATACCGTGAGAGCACTCTATCGAGCTAAAAATATTTTTCAGTTATCAATCAAAATTGTGGAGAATTCAGACTTTTTTATACACGTCTATTTTTAATTTCAGTCGAAGCAATTACTGTGTAATTAAAAAGGAGTTAAGTATCCTAAGAATATTAATATTTAAGTTATGGGCTAGGTATTATTAGATTAGGTATTATTTAGGCTATGATCTGTAATTACTATTAGGCTATAAAATTACATAAATTGAAAAAAAAGGTACAAATACTTTTATTTTTTGTTTTAGGTAGACTTAAAATAATAACTTTGTTATGAAGATTCACCGTCGTAGATTTGAATTTTCCCGCCGTGTAGGTCCCCATTTAAAATGGCGGCGTATGACTCCCTTGCGGACCAAATTACTTAACTTTCAATCCCTGTATATTAGTGCAAATAAGCTTAATATCTCCAATTTCTGTTACTTAATATTCGTACCTATTTTCATTCGTGACATCTCAAGCAAAGACAAACAAAACAATTAAAATGTTTGCAAGATATTACTGTTTATATTCATTGTGCACACTGTTCTTCATTGTGAATAATTCTCAGGTTCATAAAGGAACTCCCACCAGCACTGTCATCGGTTAATAATAGGAAACGATCGAGCTCTTTCCAGCAGTTTTTAATGATTTTTTTCATTTATTTATAGTGTTCAATGTTGATTAGACGCTTGCAGTTATCAAAATATCTGTGCAAACCCCTGACACGAATTCAAGCTTACAAACCGTACTCTTTCATAGACACAAATTAAGATTTGATTTGCTCCATTTTTCATATAACTTGTCTTTTGCACTTTGTTATTGTATTAATTTCTTTTGTGTTTTTTTTACAGTTCATACACAGCATTCGATCTAATGCAAAGCATATTTTTGTTAACAATTCGAAATCGGAACGTCGGTTTATGTCGGATTCGGCGAAGTTTGATGCAAAATTACGAATAATTCCTCTGATTCCTAATTTTACGCTTTTAGTGAAAATTTACCATGAAAATTGCTTCTCGGCTTGCCGTGCTTTTGATACGTATCAAATAACTCCGTTACCTTTTCAAACAGCCTTCCAGAAGTTCAAAGTTTTTTCAAAGAAATATAGGTTTCATGAGAATCCTATGAATTATATAATTTAATCCTGTACATAGGATTTCGAGAATTTAAAGGCTGTAACTATTCTTTGGAAATCTAGATTAGGGTGTAAATATCATGTACTAGCAAAGATATTTATTTTTTTTAATTATAATTGGTTTAATTTATACAAATAGCATGATTATCTCCCGAAGGGCCAAATGTTCGCACAATATTCGTATTTATGTTTCAAACATCAAAGGATAGGGGCAAAAATTATTTACAGAATTTATAAATAATTAGAATTGTCATATTTACGAGGAAGTCGTTACATAATTCATTTATTTCAATTTATTTATGTAATTTTTTCTTTTTGTCTTAAATACTGTTTCTAGTCTATAGACATTAGTTTAGTTAATCTATAGACATTTTACTAATTAGTTTTTTCTTATGTTACTGATATTTTAAATAATTTTTTTAGATTTTTTTTGTATTAAATGTTTGATACTGTTTTTTGTTATTCAGACAACTTACCACCTATGTTATAATTTATTCTATTTTATATTTCATCGAATGTCGTGTGACTTAAATTAAGTACCTTTGAACAAACTATATTTAATTTAATTTATTTAATTTATTGAATTTATTGAATTTATTGAATTTATTGAATTTATTGAATTTATTGAATTTATTGAATTTATTGAGTTTATTGAATTTACTTAATTTATTTAATTTATTATTTGAAACATTTGAAGTCCTACAAATTTTATTTTTCCATTCAAGCAAACTTATAATATAATTTATGTTATTTTCTGTTTCATCAAATAAAATTTAGTGATTTAAATAATAAAATACCTTTAAAAAAACTGTTACATTTTATACAAAATATAATAACAAAACCATACGCAATAAAATCATATAATTTAAAAGATGTATATTATGTAATAAAAGATATCCTTTGATATTTGAAGAAGAGTATAACAAGACCTCACGATACGCATATGTGTCCGAATAATTAGCCTTCCTGTCCATGCAAAGAACGCTGTTATGTTCAAATCTTTCAGCATATAACCTTCCAAAGCAGTCAAACTCGAAACTACGACTGTAATTAATGTTGTTGTATAAATGACAGCTTCCTGGTTTCCTTTCTGGTGGATGCACGAGGTGGTGCAATGCGTGGCTGCAGACACAGTGGTGTGCGCGTAATCGTTCCTCCTAGAAAAGCTGCAATGCCAATGCGTGTTACGTGCAGATATTTAAGGAGGGATAAATTGACTAATCCACCACCTCTGATGGAAGGAGAAGCTTTGGCCAGCCGTATTCTTGAACTTGGACCCGTGGGTGCCAAATTCTTGGGGTATGTTATTAGGATTTCTTCAGTGCTAAACAAATTTTCATTGAGAGATTACAAATTTTATTAGGGAAATCCATCTTCGACAAGTATTTTATTACATTATTTTTTTAAGTTCCAAAGTTAAAAAATTCCAAATTTCAGGATTGCAAAAGAATTCCAGGTCCTATAGTCTTAAAGTTTCAAACTTGCGAAATGTCTATGTACCAAAGTTTCAAAATTTAATATTCTAAGAACTTCAATAATTCTACAATTTCAAAGTGTTATAGTCCTAAAGTTTCAAACTTGCAAAATTTCCAAGTTCCCAACTTTCAAAGCTAAGTTGGCAAAACTCTCAAACTCCTAATGTATCAAAGTACCAAAAATGTCAATGTCCCAAAATTCCAAAATACCAAAGTACCCAAATCCCAAAATTCTAAAATCCCTGAGTGCCTTCTATTTTCAAATCTCCACATTTCCAAACTATCAAACTATCCAAAGCTTCCAATATCCCAAAATTCCAAAATGAACTTGATAATTTGAAGTAATAATTTTGACCGAGCAGGCCCGTCATCATAGAAGTACCACACTTCGCTTCACTGCGAGGAAAAGAACGAGAAATAGTAATACTTCGATCGGATAATGGAGAGACTTGGCGCGAACACACCTTGGAAGCCAGCGAGGAGGCTGTCCAGGATGTGCTTAACGAGAGCTTTGAAGGAGAAGGTATAATCATTTTTAATTCTTTACCATTTCTTTATGTATTAAAGTTTATTATCTGTATCATAAAATTGTTATATCAGTAGTACAAGTTTGTTGTCAGTATCATAAATTTATTATATTAGTATTACAAGTTTATTATGAGGATCATAAGTTTGTTATATCAATCTTGCAAGAGTATTATCAGTATTACAAGTTTATAATATTACAAATCTACTATCAGTGTCATAAGTTTGTTATATTAATCTTACAATATTATTATCAGTATTATAAATTTATATCACATCACATTAGTATTACAAGTATATTATCAATATCATAAAATTATTATATCAATATTACAAAAGTATTGTCAGTATCATAAATTTATTATAATAGTCTTACAAGCTTATAATCAACATCATAAATGCATCTCATCAGTATTACAAGTATATTATCGGTATCATAAGTTTATTGTATCAATCATACAAGTATAGTATCAGTATCCATGTATCAGTATAAAACCTTACAATATGATAAGGTCCTTGCAAACGTAAATATAAATATTCATTGAAATGGATATTGCAAAGATATTAAATTTATAATTTGTAAGAAACTTTAATAACTTCAAATTACAGTAGCATATAACAGCATATACGTAATGAATTATTCACACATATTCACGAACGACATACAACTGTGTTTTCAGAATTAAGCCAGCTCGAGGATCTCCAAACTTCTCGGATCGTAAGGATACTCACTGCAGACTTTCCACATTATTTCGCAGTAGTGTCGCGTATTAGACAAGAAGTTCATGCAGTTGGTCCCGAAGGTGGTACAGTTTCTTCATCCGCGGTTCCACAAGTTCAGGCCGTCTTTCCACCGGCAGCTCTCACTAAAAAGATCAGAGTTGGTCTTCAGGTATGTATATTTAATAATACTTTTCGATTGCTGCTACTTTCTTTCATATCATACTTTCCACATATTTCAACAAACATTATATTGATATTAAACTTTACATTGATATAACACGAGTGCTAGTTTATGGTAATTTTATGTCACCCACATGTGTAAGATTTTACGGCTGTAATCGTTTAACTACCAGCCATTTTGTATTTGAAATTTTTCTCATTGTATATTTAAGATATTAATGAAGCCTTTATATAGTCATTTTGACTAAACTTTAAGCTTCAAATTGATATAATGTGTTATTTGATGATACTTTTATGTCATCAAGTCTTTCTATTTCCCAAATCACTTTCATATACAACATACATACATACCTAACGCAGTAAGACAGGTTCTTAGTCAGCCATTTTATTTCAAGAATATTAACAGAGGGTTCATACAGTCTTTTTATTTTACTTCAAGCTTCAAACTGAATTGTCATATGTTACTGTACTTCTATGTCATCACATCTTTCTATTTTGTCAATTAGTTTCATATGCTACCTAACGCAATAAGACAGTTCCTTACCAACTAGTCAGCCATTTTATCTCAAGAACATTAAGAAGGTGTTCATACAATCTTTTCATTATGCTTCAAACTTAAGACTAATGTGCTATTTTTCTTTACCTTTATGTTATCACATCTTGCTATTTTTCCAATCAGTTTCATACACAACAACCTTACATAGTCAGACAGTATTTTAACAAGTAGTCATCCATTTCATCTCAAGAATATAATAAGAAAGTTCACACAGACTTTTTACTATGTTTCAAGCTTCAAATTAATACCCTATATTTTTCTATACTAATATGTCAACTTGTATGTACATATAAAATGATGTGAAGAGTACATCCTTTTATTTTGCCAATCAAATGCACTTAATATAAGAATACTGAAAATCATACTCCATATTTTTCTGTACTAATATGTCAACTTGTATGTATATATAAAATGATGTGAAATTTACATCTTTTTATTTTGTCAATCAAATGCACTTAACATAAGGATACTGAAAATCATACTCCATATTCTTCTGTACTTGTATGTCAACTTGTATGTATATATAAAATGATGTGAAACTTACATCTTTTTATTTTACCAATCAAATGCACTTAACATAAGGATATTGAAAATCATACTCCATATTTTTCTGTACTTGTATGTCCACTTGTATGTACGTATAAAATGATGTGAGGTTCACATCTTTTTATCTTGCCAGTCAAATGCAATTAATATAAGGATATTCAAAATGATATCCCATATTTGTTTGTACTAGTATGTCAACTTATACATATAAAAAGATGTGAGCTCTTATTGTCAATCGAAAATGCAACATAAGGAACTATATCTGTTTAGGCACATCCAATCCCAGCCGACCTGGTAGCCAAACTACTTGGTAACCGAGTAGCAGTATCACCGATCGTAACCGTGGAACCAAGACGAAGAAAATTCCATAAGCCGATAACTTTAACCATACCGGTGCCGCAGGCAGCCAACAAGGGGATGATCAATCAATATTCTGGAGATGCGCCAACGTTGAGACTCCTGTGTAGCATAACTGGTAATATATGCTTGCACGTAATATTGTAGAGCAGCGTACCGTCTTACTGGAGAATCTCTTACCGATAAGCGCTAAAATTGTTACGCAGCAACACCTTTGGTGTACATATATATACATGCTCTTATCAGACTTCTTACGCATTCGAAAATCAATTTGTAGTTTAGTAGGCATGGCGCGGGACGGTAGGCATCTTCGTCTGTTCTCAGGTCGTCGGGACTACGTTCAGTATACAGGGGCTTTCAAAAAATGTGCATCGTGAGAACTGTGTGTTTCATGTGGCATAGGAAGTTGATATATTTTTTTACTGTTTTGCAATTTGGGATATTGTGTGGATATTAAAAATTAGGAAAGTTATTCAAAATTAGAGATTAGACGAAAGTTGTTAAAAATTAGAGATTGGAGAGATTATTAAAAATTAGAGGTTTAAATATTAAATTTTAAAGTTGGGTGAGTTGTAACGTAGGAAACTTTTGGACAGTATTTAGTGAAAATATAAATAACCAAATTTGTAGATTTCCAAATTCTCAAATCCTAAATCCCCAATTTCTCTCACTTCCAAATTCCTAAATCCCTAGATCCCTAAATCCTCAATTCCTCACACTTCCAAATCCACAAATTTCCAAATTCTCATATTTCTAAATCCCTGAATCCCAAATTAACAAATTTCCAAATTCCCAAATCCCTAGATTCCTAAATCCCCAATTTCTCACATTTCCAAATCCCTAAATCTCCAAATTCTCATATTTCCAAATTCCTAAATCCCTAGATCCCTAAATCCCCAATTCCTCTCACTTCCAAATTCCCAAATCCCTAGATCCCTAAATCTCCAATTTCTCTCACTTCCAAATTCCTAAATCCCTAGATCCCTAAATCCCCAATTCCTCACACTTCCAAATCCACAAATTTCCAAATTCTCATATTTCTAAATTCCTGAATCCCAAATTAACAAATTTCCAAATTCCCAAGTCCCTAGATCCCTAAATCCCCAATTTCTCACACTTCCAAATTCCCCAATCCCTAGATCCCTAAATCCCCAATTCCTCACACTTCCAAATCCCTAAATTTCCAAATTCTCACATTTCCAAATCCCTAAATTTCAAAATTAAGAAATTTCCAAATTCCCAACTCCCCAGATTTCTAAATCCCCAAAATCTCATATTCCCAAATCTCTAAATTCCAATATTACCAATTTTCCATATTCCTCAATTCCCACATCCCCAATTCTCCAAAACCCCAAATCCCCAAATCTCTAAATCTTCAACTTCCCAAATTTCTAAATCACTAAAACTTCATAGCAAATTCCAAATTGTAAAATAGTAGCTAACTACCCTATTTCCTCGCGTCATAATTCACAGTACTGACGATGAAGATTTTCTTTCAGGCACCCTGTATACCTGTTTGTGTCGCGTCAGAACACTTGCATCATAACTCACATACAACTATAGTTTGTACGCACTGCCAGAAGTAATGTTTCAGTGTTAGACTAACCGACTAGCATCTACATTGTACGTTTAGTATATCGATGTTTCCAAGATGTTTTGAGGCTTAAGAAGTAACACCATGAAAAAAGTAAATTAGGTCACATGTCCCGGAGACCTTCGGATAGAGATTTAAAGGGGAGATGGTAGCTGCATGTTTCATAGAAACATTTCGTTGAGTACTATTGTTGTATACATATCTTGTTGTGATTCATTGTTAATGCTTGCATATTGTTAGGATTGAGTCATTTAGGTATGGATTATTAATTAACGTAGATAAAATTTTACTACCTAGCTCATTGTAAGCGTTAACTTCAAAGTTTTTGTTTCAGCACATTCGTTTGACTGGTAACCGCTTCGATAAATTAGGCTTGTAATTTATCAATTCTATAAAATTGTGTTCCCGAGATATATGTATTTTTAGATTGTTACAATATGTATCATACGACACGTTACCGATACAAAGACTGACATTTATTATCATACTTTTAATGTTATTATTTGTTACAGCTGTTTCCTTTTCCACCCCCCTTTTTCTTGAAAGTCTAAAAAGTACACTTTTTATTTTATTTTTATAATATTCTTTTCGAAGCGTGGAACATATTTGAATGTATCGAAATTAAAAAGTATTCTGTACGACAAAAAACAGGAAGATATGTTTTCGACATGCATTGCGCCGCGTTTTTATTACATTTCTTTCACACCCATTCTGTTTATTTGACGCTTATCTATCATTATACGCATATTCACGCGCGTTTGCTTTCAGCGCGATTTTTTGATGAATGACGCTTTTCATTTCCTTTTGGCAAGCATTATCATTCGATCAGCGTGTATTTTCTTTTACATTACTCACATACACGATACAGCACTTGACATCCACGCACCTGTGGTGACCGATATTAAGTACAAATTTCAGCGACCTTTTTCTGACGATGATGTGGAAAGCTATTTAGATTTTACTTTTGTGTTTTAATTTGTGCTGTTACACAAGATGGTGCTATATTTATTATTGTTAGCTGATATGAATTTTTATATTTACATTTGAAATGATCTACTGAGGACAACTTAAGTACCTCGTTAGATTATAATGAGTTTTTAATGATATAGGTAGATACACATTTTTGAAATGAAAGTAAAATAGAAATATGAATAAATGAGGGGTGAAACATAAAATAGATACTATTATTAATAAGTATACAAGTATAATAATATTCTTTGAAGAATATTACAAGAATAGGTAATAAAATAAATAAATTACTGTAGTGCCAAAAAATTTCAGAATTTCAAAATTTCCAAAATTGCAGTTTCCAAAATTCCCAGAATTCCCAAAATTTCGAAAATTAAAAATTCTTAGAATTCCCAAAATTTCATAAATTTAAAATTGCAAAATTTCCAAAATGGCAAAATTGCAAATTTGCACAATTTCAAAAATTCCCAAAATTTCAAATTTGCAAAATTTCCAAAATTCAAAATTACATTTCAAAAATTCAAAAATGTCAAAATTTCCAACATTTCAAAAATGTAAAATTTTCAAATTTCGAAATTTAAAAATTTTTAAGTTTCAAAATTGCAAAATTTCCCAAATTCCCAAAATTTCCAAAATTCCAAGATTGCAAAATTTCCAAATTTAAACATTTCTAAGTTTAAAATTTTCAAAATTGCAAAATCTTCAAATTTCCCAAATATCCAAATTTCAAAATTCCCAAAATTGCAAAAATAGTGCAGCTTATTCTACTATCAGATTGTAGACATACAAATATCTTTCACAAAAGAATTTTCCATATATATAATTTTATTTGAACAACAAACATATTACATTGATTTCTTATCTCCAACATAATCAACACATGTTTCATGCACTTTTATATGTCATAAATATCCACAATCTCATAACAACGATATCCAAGTTCCATTTTCTTACAAGTTATCTTCTGTAACAGCACTATAAATAAACTAAATTCTGCATTTTCTCAAATCAATTTCTTTAAAACATGACAGTATTGATTAATATTATTGTTTTCATCGCGTTGATTGATACTTTGAGCCCGGCTCATGCGTATGTTACAAAGATTATTAACTAAATGAATTCAAATTCGTACAAGGTTAACGATAAGATACAAGAAATGAGTCAAGGATGATCTTTTTTAATATGTTATATTTTTAACTCCAATGTTTAAGTCCTTTGATTGTACTTTCAGCTAGTAATGCTCTTATACAGCTTTTATGAGCTTTCAATTTTATTTTCGTTTTATTTGGTTTTAGTGGGTGATGGGCGAGGACGAGGGACACTGATGGCTAATTTTATTTTTGTGGAAAAACTATAAAATTTGAAAAGTTAAAATTTCTGTTTGAATTTGGAAATTTGATTGTAATTTCTGAATTTCCAAATTTTCAATTTTATAAATTTCAAAATTTTTGAAACTTTAAGATTGCAAAAATTTTAAATTAGCAAAATTAAAAAAATTCCGAAATATACAAATTTAAAAATTTCAGAATTGCAAAATTTCCAAAATTCCCAAAATTGCAAAATTCCCATAATTGCAAGATTGCAAAAATTTCAACATTTCCAAAATTCCCAAAATTTCCAAATTTTCAGAATTTAAAAATCTCCAAAATTTCCAAAATTTCAATAATTTCCAAAATTCCCACAATTTCAATATTTCAACATTGCAAAACTGCAGAATTGCAGAATTGCAGAATTGCAGAATTACAAAATTTCCGAAATTGCAAAATTTCCAAAATTTCCGAAATTGCAAAATTTCCAAAATTCCCAAAATTGCACAAATTTCAAAATTTCCAAAATTCTCAGTATTTCCAAATTTCCAAATTTTCAAAATTGCGAAATTTCGAAGTATCAGTAATGTCAAAAGTTCAAAAATTCTAAGTTTCCAAAATATCAAGATTAAAAAATTTCTGAGTTTCAAAATTTCAAAATTTCTGAGTTTCAAAATTTCAAAGTTTCAAAATTTCAAAATTTCAAAATTTCAAAATTTCAGTTTCAAAATTTCAAAAATTTCTAATTTTCGAAAATTCCAAATTTCTAAATCTTTCTTCTCAAGATCTTCATATTCCAGATTTCCAAATGTCCACCTACCTAAATTTCCAATTACCAAAAACTCTAACAACCAAACATCCATCTCTTCAAATTTCCAAATCTTTCAAAACTAAATTTCAATAAAACTTAATATCTCTCTCACATTTACGCCATCAGTGTCCACAAGTTCTTCGTAGGGCACCAAATCAGCCCATCACGTTCCATCACAAAAGTGAATGAAATTTTCAACGATCAAAGGGCAATACCGGGCTTGAAGCTTGAAATTGTAATTAATCTCGGTCGCATCGGAATAATGTCCCACACAGTTCACTTCTGCCGATTCTCCATACGCAGCACGGACATATTTTAATAATGTTATTGGACTTGGTATGTATGTCGTTCAGGGGGTCAGTCTCGGGCAGTCTGGGAGGATGTAACAGGTTCAACGCCGCTGACGTTCGTCAAAGATTGCGTTTCCTTTACCACCACTGTATCCGCTCGCTTCTGGTTAATGGATTGTCGGAATATCTCCGAAGCCACGAAAATGGCTACGGAACTGTACACACACGCGACACATGTACCGTTTATGGCTAAGTACGATTTTTTTATTTATTAATGTTTGTTATTAGAATTACAACTGGGTTTAAACCCAGTTTAGTACTACAAATAAAATTGGGGTTGGATTAAGGTGAAATGGGCTGAAATTAGATACAAAGGGAGGTCCTGTAAATTATACTGGTCCTATTTTATACTGGAAATTATAGCAAATTTTATTTGAAGATTCAATTTTATATTCACATTCAATTTTAGTGGTCTCCTGAAGTAGTCAGAAATTGACTGTTTTCATAAATTTTTAGAATTGAGGGTTTTTATGTTTATACAGAAGAATTCATCAAGTTTTGTTTAGTGTAATAAATATTACTTAAAATTAAATTCTAGTTTGGAAGACTTATGAAGTCTTAGTATAATTTATTAGTTTTTACTATTCACTTTTTAGTGAAAGATCTTCTTATAGTCAAATGACTAATATTTGATAGAAGGATATTTTATAGACCAAGCCTCAGAAAAACTTAATTCAGCCCTATATGAAATGTGTCATAATGACAGGTAACTCGATGACGGTCGGATGAAGTGATATTTATAGCAAATAAATTATGTCATTTGTTGATAATATGACAGATATGTCATATGGTTCAATTTTTCAAATGGTTAAATTGACAAATTCCTAACTCTTCAAGTTTCAAAATCCCCAAATTCCTTAATTTTGTAATCCCAAAATTCTTAAACCTTTAAATTGGCAAGTTTTCAAATTTTTAAATTGGAAAATTGCCAAATCATTAAATTAGTAAATTTTCAAATCCCTAAATTGATAAATTTTCAAATACTTTAATTGGCAAATTTTCAACTTCCTAAATTCTCAAATTTCAAGATGCTTAAATTCTCAAATTTCAAACCCTCCAAATTAGCAAATTTTTCAAATCCTTAAAGTCTAAAATTTCGAGCTCCCCAAATTCTCAAATTTCCAACCCCCTAAATTAACAGATATCCCTAAATTGCCAAATTTTCAAATCTCTAAATTTTCAAATTTTAGATCTCTAAATTCTCAAATTTCCATCTCCCTAAATTAGTAAATATCCCCAAATTGACAAAGTTTCAAATCCTTACATTGGCAAATTTTCAAATTCCTAAATTCTGAAATTTCCAACCCCCTAAATTAACAAAAATTAAAATTGACAAATTTTCAAATCCTTAAATTGGCAAATCTTCAAATCCCTAAATTCTCAAATGTCCAGACCCCTAAATTCTCAAATTTCCAACCCCCTAAATTAACAAAAATCCCAAAATTGACAAATTTTCAAATCCTTAAATTGGCAAATCTTCAAATCCCTAAATTAACAAAAATCCCAAAATTGACAAATTTTCAAATCCCCAAACCTTGAAATTTAATGATTCTCGAGTTCTCAAACTTCTCAATTACTAAATTTAAAAAATACTAATTTCTATACTCTTAGAAATATAAATTTGTAAAAATTACCCTCTCAATTTCCTTCACCAGACCGTCATCGAATAAAAAATATTAACACTCGATCAAAGAATCAGTATTTAGCTTGCATAGAACTTTTCTTTAACATAGTAAAAATTAATAGCAACATAACTTCTGCATTCAGTTCCATAGAATATTACAATTAAAATTCTTACAAAAATAGTATTAGATTATCGCAGAATAACAATTGAAACATAAAGAGCTTATAACAATCTGATGATACAATAGTATTGCAAAATACAAGTGGCATATCAGGTTTGAGCTTTAATAGAAATGACCTATACAAACATTTCATCGATATTATTAATATAATATGACTGATTTGACATTGAAACAACCTCTGAATCACCCAATTTTCAAGAATTTATTTTAAGAATATCGATGAAGTGTTTCTACAATTATTTTTCTACAATCAATTTTAAGTTTCAAATTGATGTACCATGAATACTAATTTACATGTTTGTGTCATCAAATCGTGTTAAGACTTTTTATCTTTCGATTAGGTATTTTATTATAGTGTCAAAGACTATTTGATACAATTTAATACACTTTTGAGTAGTGCATATAATACTTAATCATTCATTTAATCACGGTTTATTTGCATGATTACGATGTTGGTTAAATGTAACAGGTTACTTGATTATATGTGTTTTATCTCGCAGATTCGTAGTATTTGCGAAACGAATAGATCCTCTGGAGGCAAGGTTACGTGTCTTCTGCATGACTGATGATAAAGAGGATAAGACTTTGGAGAACCAGGAACATTTCACGGAAGTTGCTAAAAGTCGAGATGTCGAGGTAAGTTTACACTTTTACAAAAATTATTTACATCTTGGTATATATTAGTGCCGCTATTATATTATTGTCACAATTATTTTTGTATTGATTAATCACCTGATACTGCATCAATGCTCAAAAGTGTAAAGCACACATATGACTTTAAGTCACAACAATAAATAAGTAGACGTTATACAAATTTAAATAAGTAAACATTATATAAATTTAAATAAAGTTTTATTCAGAATATTATTTTTCTGCAGCACTATTTTACAAAATTGACCTATCTGTTTTTTTAAATAAATTCGAATACTAAATAAACTTGATGTATTCATTATTTGTGAACAGTTAATCACTATGTTAACTTCATTCCATAATAAGCGGATGAAAAGTACTGTTAATTGTTCGAAATTTGTTAAGAAATATAATTTCATGAAAAATATAATTTTCTCAAAAAATGTACTTGCACACATTTTTCCTTAAAAAAAATTCGTTATAAATGTACATTTATAAATTACGACACGTGGAATTTCGGGACGTGGAATTATGGCGCATGAAATTTCGGGACGTGGAATTATGGCGCGTAGAGTTACAACGCATCGAATTACGATACGTGGGACTTCGAGACGTGGAATTACAGCGCGTGGAACTATGACGCGTGGAATTGTGGCGCATGCAATTTCGGGACGTGGAATTATGGCGCGTAGAGTTACAACGCGTGGAATTACAACACGTGGGACTTCGAGACCTGGAATTACAGCGCGTGGAACTATGACGCGTGGAATTATAACACGTAGAGTTACAACGCGTAATTCCACGTCCCGAAGTCCCACGTGTTGTAATTCCACGCATTGTAACTCTACGCGCCATAATTCCACGTCCCGAAATTCCATGCGCCACAATTCCACGCGTCATAGTTCCACACGCTGTAATTTCACGTCCCGAAGTCCCACGTGTCGTAATTCCACGCGTTGTAACTCTATGCGCCATAATTCCACGTCCCGAAATTCCATGCGCCACAATTCCACGCATCATAGTTCCACGCGCTGTAATTCCACGTCCCGAAGTTCCACGTGTCGTAATTCCACGCATTGTAACTCTACGCGCCATAATTCCAGGCGTCATAGTTCCACGCGCTGTAATTCCACGTCCCGAAGTCCCACGTGTCGTAATTCCACGCGTTGTAACTCTATGCGCCATAATTCCACGTCCCGAAATTCCACGTGTCGTAATTTATAAATGTACATTTATAACGAAATGTATAACTTTATCACATAATTTCATTACATAAAATATCTCATCTCAAAAACCCAAAAAGTATTCGCAAACCCATGAAGCCATAAAGAATTTACAAACGAAAGATTTCAATTTTTTAACTCAATAAAATGTAACTTGAAATGGCAAGTTAAACCTCATTAAGTTCATCGGCTCTCAAAGTTTCTAGCGCATCCCACATTAAATAGAGCAATGACGTGTCAGATTCGTAACTTATGACTTATAGTAACTCTTAGTGACTTATAATAATTTAGAATCACAATTAAACCTCTGTATCGAGTCTGAAATTATTCCCACAGGTCTTGGAAGGCAAAACGCAGTACATGGAATTTTCGGGCAACCTCGTGCCAGTATTGAAGAGCGGTGAGCAGCTGCAATTACCGTTTAGAGCATTCAAGGAGAATAGAGTTCCGTTCACGGCGAGGATAAAGGATCCTGATGCTGCGGACACCATGGGTCGCATCATGTTCATGAGCGAGCCGAAGGTTCCCAAGGGCGAATTACCGCAGACACCCATATGCACGTTGCACATTTTATTGCCGGAGAAGATCTCTCCCGAACCGGCGATCTCCGAAGTGGATTTACTGGAGCTGTCGAAGAACTACAGCTTCCTGCGCGATGGTGGCATAAGTATGTGAATTTAACAACAAAACTGGTACTATAATTTAACTCCTTAACTTATGATTTTCTCAGTGGAACAGGGCGACTTAATTATTGTTTTACCAGATAGCAACCTTGAAAGTCTTTAATTAACCTCTTCTCGTGCTTTGACGAATGTCACTCGTGAGGCACTTACAGCTCAAATGCGGCAAATTTTGAATACTCTTCAACTTTGAAATTTAGATCCAACTATAAGTTGCGTTACTAAGGATCCCTGAATATAAAATACTCACAACATTTTAATTTTCTTTGTTCGTTTTAATGTTACAGCCCTGAATAGTTAGTCTTGACTGATACATCTGATAAATAAATGGCACGGGAAGGGGTTAAGTTTGCTGAATTCTTTTAAGATTCCTCTATTATTAATACAAACTATTTCTCTATTATCAATTATCACTATCTGTTCCACTATGTTTATACATCATATGTATTTAGATTTGCTGTTATTATTGTATAATACATTTCTTTCTATTCATAACACTTAGTATGGTTTGTATAGCTTAGTATGTATAGTTAAACTATATTTATTTTAAATTGTATTGAAATTAATGGTGAATGTCTTCAAAAGAGTCTCTACACTTCTTCGAGTGCAAAGAGTTAATAAATCACGCAATTTATAATAAAAAAACTTGTGTAGCGACTATTTGATCGGTTCAGCAGTTTCAACTTAATAAAATGGCGTAGAGTCGTGTAAATTGTGAATTGTTTCTCCAGGTCGTCCAGACGCGATTCACAGAGCTACCATACGACTGACAGACATCGCGAATTTGTTGGACAAGGACTGGGAGAAACTTGCAGAGGAATTAAATATCCCACCGAATGAGGTGTCGACGATTAAACAAGAGTATTCTAATAAGCCGGCGCAGCAGGCGGCCGCCATGCTTAAGATCTGGCAGAGCAACGGGAACAAAGCCACTGGTAAGTTTTTAGGGTTTATCATATAATACAAATTAAAACGTTAGTTTGTTTTAATTCAAAGTAACATGTCAACTTTTTAAGGTGATTACAAATACATTCTAATTTAGAAATAATTGTCAACGTTACTCTTGTAGCTTGTTACTCTTGTAAAGTTCTTACTTTCACTTTTAAGTACGTATTTGATCAGAAGTGGAGCTTTTAAGTACGCATTTAAATTCTGTAAACACAGCTGGTAATCTGCATTAAAGGTTTATTTTTTTCAAGTTTGTTATTTGACGTAAAGATACATGGTATAAAGTCAATAACTTCGTGATTAATTGCGCGTCTTACGTAAGAGTGTGTGCAGCTATGATTATAGAGTCATCTCACGGATTTAGATTTAAATCGTATTTTGAAGAGTTGTGTTTTCGTTTACTAGAATTATTTTAATATAGTAGTACTAGTTTCCGTATACATATAGGTACTTATGTATAGTTTAAGAAGAGAAATTGTATCAGTATCTAGGGTTAGATTTGAGCTAACACAGTATTAGATTTAGCATTCACTGATAGGTTCTGAATTAGGTTCAAAAATTTTGACTCACTGAGAATCAGGGTTTGGATTGCTCAAAGTTAAATTTTGCAGATTAAATTTTGTAATGCACAGAATTAGATTTAGGACTAATTTACGATCTGAAACTACATTTTGAATTACTCAAAATTAAATCTCGAATAATTCAGAAATAAATTTCGACTCACTGGGAATCAGGGTTTGGATTACTCAGAGTTAAATTTTGCAGTGTTTAGGTTAAGCTTTGAATTACTTAAAATTACATTATGTGGTACTCAGAAATAGATTTAGAACTAATTTACGGTGTAATTTGGAACTATTCGAAGCCACATTTTGAACTACTCAGAATTGAGTCTCAAATAGCTCAGGATTAAATTCGAACCGATTGAGAATTAACACTAAACCGACATACAATGTGTACTTAATTTGAAATTAAAGATGAAGTTAAAAAATAAATAAACAAACGACGAAACATAAATTGGTGTACATATTCTTTATCTTAATAAAAATCATTGCTGATTTCAAGGAATGTACTTCAACAAAATGTATATCTTATAAGAAACTTGTGGAGCATTTGATCGGTTTGGTAGTTTCATTGTTAAATTTTATTTATTGTGAATTAAATTTTATACTCCTCTGAATTAAATTTTGCTATGCACAAAATTAAGTTTTAAAGTGTTCACAGCTATATGAAGTGCTTGTGAAGTGCACAGAATTAAATTTTGTACCAATTTACAATTTTAATACGCATAACACTCGATTACATCAAAGAACAGCCTGTTTCCACGGTCCAATCATTTCAAGCATTACATCGACCAAAGAAATGAAGTTATCTACCGCTTCGTTTATAAAGTTACGACGTTAGTCACGTAGTAGCTGAAGTCTTCCATTTAGAATTCCATGCTCGAAAGATAGCGAACAGTTCACATGGCAAAGCGATTAAATTCGATAACAAAGAAAATCGTAAATATAGGTTGAAAGGCATTGTTAACTCATAATTGTAAGGCATCTAACTGTAAGTTCCCATGCCTTCGATGCGTCAGATCTAATCGTTCGTGTTCATCTCTTCTTCAAGAAACAAATTATTAGTAATTCCCTTCCACGAATCTATATATAGTTCTCCGATTGTATTATCAATATTTTGTTGCTCCACAATTTACGCGTCAGGTTTATCAATGAATTCATGTTTATTTAAATCGTTTTTTTTGAAATTTGGCAAAACAGACCGCGATAGGAGGTCGGATGTAGTAAGATAGCGAAATTTAAAAGGAACCTGTTTTCTCAGCAAGGCCAATTAATCAACGTTTGACTAAGACGCGTGGAATCTGAGGAGCAACGTAGTCGGTGATCTCATCCTGCATTATTATGCCTGACATAAACCTATGGACTCCTTTCCCCCTCCTTTTTTCTGCCAATACTAATGACACTGACACACGGCAAGAAATGCACGTAGCACATCGTTTACTGTTCTGCAATCGGTCCAAACAAACAGAAGTGCGCTCCGGCCCAATACAGTGAAAGTGATTGTAGTGTCTCGAATTTTTCTTCGTTTGAATTGTTTCATTGACAAGACAAAATGTACATATCGTTGTATCAGGAATATCAGAACGAGGAGACGAACACGTACGTCAGTGAATTGTCGTTGCTGTTTAGGAGATCCTCTTGTCAGAGATGTCAGATTTCGATGAGCACAGGTGTGTAGCGCTCAAGGACTATTAGCAATAAATTCATCCTTCAGGATTTGGTAGAATGTTTCTTTAAATTTTTAAGAAAGTTATTAGATATTGGTTTTAGTTATGGTTTTAATTATTTGTTGAAGTCCTTGTTCGATATTAGAGGAAGTTGTAGGATTAAATAAAAAGCTGTTTAAAAATGAACCGGTGCGTCAGAGTTATTCCGCAGTTGCGTGTATAAACATCGACGGAAATATTTTGCAGACTGAATGACAATTTTGTTTTCCGATTATGTTTAATTCTGATGAATTTTTAATGACCAGCGCGTTAACCTTCGTGGGAATATTAAACAGTTATTGATGACTCTTATTATAACTATGTATTATGCAATTATTATTATTACAACTAATTACTGCTACTACTGTTTCTTTAATAATGTACGTGAAATGCATATCAATTTAATAATATTATTCTAACTACTTGTCTATAATCTTTACTTCACAAATATTTTTGTATTATAAAGTTTATTTATAAATACAAAAATACAGAATTTATAGTACAAAAATGTAATAATTTGTACAATATAATAATTGTAGTGAAATAATAATTTTATTCGAACAAAATTTAGTGTAGTTACTATTACATGTCTGAATAAAATTAACACAGTTACAGTATTTAAATATTATTTATGTAAAATCTTCATAAACACTGAATTTTTGTTTCTGCTTTATGAAAACATTGAATTTTCAATTTTATTTTATAAAAATACTAAATTTTAATGTATAATGTATTTTATAAAAATACTGAATTTTTCATTTTTGTCTTATGAACACATGATTGTATTGAATATATTTGCGTTTGAACAGGGAATACTTTGGAGAAGGCGTTGAACAAAATAGGGCGAGAGGACATTGTAAAGAAATGCATATTCAATGTGGAATTAGTAACTGATGACGTAGAGAAAGCAGTAGCAAGAGTACGATTAGATCAGCCAGGATTTGATTCATTGAAAGAAGAACTGGGTCCTTCAAGGGATACTTCTCTTCGCCGTGACGCGACGATGGATCCGAAAATGGATCCTGATTATGATGAATTTAACAAAACTAAGGTTTGTATCTCTAATGAGATGCTTCCATATTTTTCTTACTAATAAATATTGAATTACTAAAATTATTATTTCAATAATAAATAATTCTTACAACATTTTAATTTCACCTGAGAGTAAAAAGTCGTAAATGAACAAAATTTATAATTTTACAATTTTCCTAACAAACTTCACCAAAGTTGAGTTATTTTACAATAACAAGTGATTTAAAATACTCAATATTTATTATTAATTATACTTTTTGATGATCAAATTTATTTATTGTATTATTTGTGTTATCATATATCATTTATTGTATTATGTATTTTATGTCACTATTTATTGTTCATTGTACTATATATTTGCATTGTCATGTGTTATTTATTATATTAAATATTTGTGACATCATGTATTATATTAAATATTTGTGACATTATGTATTATTATTATTGTATTGTATATATTATTTACTGTATATACTACGTACTTGTATTTTCAAAAACTATTATTATTTTAGGGAGCTGGATCAATTGAAGACCTAAATATTAGTGCCACTAAACGAGATACACGTATGTATTTCTAAATTTAATTTAATATTATCTCCCAAATCAAATTTCTTTCAGTATAATATAAAGAATACATTTGATTACGACACTATAACGGATATGACATCACATCATTGTTTCTGTGAATAACACGCCGGCTCCAGTTCGCTTCATGACTAAGAAAAATATGAACTCAGAGATTTCTCTGCTTACACTTCTTAGAACGCACATTATTAATATCGCTGTACATTTGAAACATCTGTGTGCATAGTATTATAACCGTTAATTGCACATTCATATATTTCATTTGGAATCCAAGAACATTTCGTCGAAACGTCGTTTACCGTATTGATGTAATCGGTTTATTGTACATATGCTGTATTTGAAACTATTTTATAATTACACAAATGTAAGAAATTAATTTAGAGGAAAGGAATGTCGTAAAAGAATATTGGACGTCGTGAAATTTTATTTAAAATAATTTTCGTTTAGGTCTTTTTTAGTTTGTAGTTAATAGTTGATGTAATTAATTGCTCAGAGTAAACAAAATTCATTGAATTTAGTAACTTTTCTGAAATTGGTAAAAACTAACTATAAAATAGTACTGAGACTTTTCTGGGGATGAAGTTGATGTGAGAGGAATAATATTGCATAATAATATTGAGTGTGTAGACCTCTTAAATTTGTTTAAAGACATCTTAAGTTTGTCTAAGAACTACAGAAACTTATCTAGAGATCATACTGAAAGATACGATGTCTGATAAAATGACCTAAAGAACCAATACAATACTATTGCATAATAATATGGAAATATTGCTATTGCAGTATTGAATATTGTATAGCACACTCAGACATTGTATATTGATATAACAGTATTGAATACTGCAGAATAATATTGAATGTCGAGTCCATAAATTTCCACACATTACACCCAGTTTTCTCAGAAAAAGTTTATACATGAGTGTCCTCATTGCAAATTTCTCCAGGAAAATCTAGAGTGCACATCGGTGTACAACCTGCAATTTTTCACTGTCGTTATACTTGTAATTTGACATAGTAAATTTAACCCTTTTCACTCAAATGGTGACACAGCGTTTAATACAATTAAAAATAATTGATACAATTGTTAAAACAGTTCACAAATTTTGTACAGAGCTATACATCTAAATTTACAGAGTTATGTTAAGATTAAATATGGAGAAATATTAGCAATTAATAATAGAGACATACCTTCAAAAAAGTTAAAGAGTCCTTATCTAAAAAGTTCAAGAGTTGTCATCCGCCAACACTGAAAGCGTGGAGTGTTAAAGGGTTAATAGTTTGCTTCGAAAGATGTATATGCCTAATACTGTCACGCTGTTTAAACCACGTTTTTCTGCACTTGACAGCGAAACAGCATGTCACAATCACAAACGGCACTGTATTCAACGGAACCTCGACCCCCATCAAAGATAAATACGCAAGCGACGAGAAAGAACTAAGGGACGTAATGGCCGATTTTCTTGAACACAAATGCCACGTAACCGACACGATGAGCAAAAAGTCACGCGACGAATTAGACGACGAGGACAAAAAACGACAGAGGGTGATCGCAGACGCCAACAGAATAGTTTCTGGTAAGTGATTTGAGCATACATTTTCAACAAAATGGTGGGTTGAGGGGCCGTGCTTCGGCTAAGCTGCAAATGGAAAGAATAAAAGAACATAACTTACGGCGCAATTTTATTGGATATCATCATTTACGATATTACATATCTTTCTTAAAAATAAATCGGCAACAGCAGCATGATCTATTTAATGCGATAATCACGCTTGGTCCTAGGACTACAACTTTATATTAACCATTCGTCGATAAAGTTTAAGCCACTAGTGCTGAATATTTTTCTGTATTCAAATATTTCGCTGATTTTATTTTTCTGTTTAGTGATATCGTGTTCGTAGTTTTAGTTTATCACGATGTGCAAGCAAACATGGCAGTTGTATTTGTATTTCAAATAATTTTTTATTATTGTTCAACAATTTTTTATGGGTTTTTTATGACTACATTTTTTGATCGGTAGTTTAGTTATTCAGGAGTTAAGACGATTTTAAGATGGCAGTTTTGTAGTGATTAAAATAGTAGGTTTGAAATTTTAACTAATGATGAAGAATAATCGTTTGAGACAGTGATGGGCAGATGAGATGAGTCCCAAACATTTATGAGTAGCTAATTTTCAAATTTCTAAAATTTTTCATTTTTATATTTCTAATTATCTAATTTTCTAAATTTCTCACTTTCTAGCTTTCTAGATTTCTAGATTCCTAAACTTCTAGATTTCTAGATGTATAATTTCTAAATTTTTTAATATCCAAATTTCTAAGTTTAAAAATCCAAAGTTTCCAAAAGATGTTCTCTAATAAACACTATATCTCCTCATCACTGATTTGATATGTAGTATCATTCTACTTTTATATATTTAATACATTACTTCAAATCTGTAAATATTACAAAATATAACAATTTTATTATTTAATATTAATTTCAATTTTCATAAATACTAGTTTAATAATGCATAAAGATTCTTTTCATGCTGTTTTGTTTGCATATTATTTAATCATAAATAATTAAGAATGAAATTACTTTCTTATCAGTTTGCTAAATTGAAGTCATACAGGCAGAATTATTTTCACTATATTCTTAAATCTGATACCAACATATAAATCTAAGTAATTTTCAAAACCTTGTAATAAAATCAAATTTATAATTTCAGCTTTTTATAAAAAATATTCTCATTTCCATTATAGTCTTATTTACATATTACACTATAAAAATTTGTGTAATCAAAGCTTCTGTTTTCAAAACAGTAATTGAACAATTATTGTTTTGAAGACACTTATGTCTTAGAAATATGTATATTCTGTAAATTAGAATTTTTGTGAATTCTGGAAGTGTGGCACGGCATTGTTTCTGGACACGATTCACGCGTGTGAAAATTCTTAGTTTCATGGAGAAAAAAAAAGAAATAAAATTGTGGGCACTAGAACAGTTACTCCTTTTACTTTATCATCGTTTACTTTCATTCACAGGTTCTGGAGGGCTGATGCGGATCTCTTCAAACTTATTAGCTTGCTTCTATTTTAATTACAACATAATGAACCATTTATTTTCTTTTACGCCTCTCGATTACATTTCATATTTACTGTACTATATTGCCAGCTCTATGTATTCATTTAATGATCCACTAATTGCCTTCTGTTACTTCGACACGTCCTATTAATTTGTTTCAGCAAGGTTCCGCTGCAATTTTTTGGCGTTGCATGATTGGCCAATATGTGTGGCCTAATTTTGCGGACGCACGGAGCAGCTGTCGTCTTTTATATTTTTCATTATCTTTTCCTAAATACTTTTGAACGTTAGACCAGTACTTAGTCGTAACTATTTTTAAAGTGTCATTAGAACACAGTATGGATAATATTCTCAAGTCAATTATGTCACGTTGAGTGTCATTTAATGCTAATCAACAATTTGATGACCACTAATTACTGTTCATATTAATGTTCACATTTTAGTGAATGGAATTTGGAAATTTATCATTCTGTTATTTGTGATATCACTTTTGTCATGTTTGTCAGATTATACTTTGAAAATTGGCCATTATGTGGGTATGTCAAATCATACTTAGAAAATTAGTCATTTTGTTATTTGTTAAATCAAATTTGAAGTATATGTTTCTGTTAGATGCTAGATTACATAAAATGTGAGGTTATCAAAATGTTAGAAGGGAATTTCCGTTTTGTGGATTCATAAATTGAAAGAACATGGACTTAAAAAATTTTTAAGTTCATGAAAGATATTTTAATTTCTAAATTCATGAAAGTGACATTCTATATTCTACATCCCTGATATAGTAAAAAAATCATATACAATTGTATACGTAAAACGGAAATCTCCCTTCAAATTAGTAGTAGTAATAAAAACTTAAGAATATTGTAAACCAATCATCGAATCATTCTCTTCCAATTCTTTCATTTGAAATTGATTCAGATTTAATTAGCGTTTGAAGAGTAGTTAGTCGATAGATGGCTGCTCCACAAATACACACAAAACACATACATACAAACACACACACACTCTGCGCCTAAACCGCACGAGAATCTAACCGCTGTTCTCAAAACAATGAGCAGTATCGAGCGAGCCGGCTTACACTAATGATGATGACGAAATGAAATTAAAAAAATGTGTTCTCTTGATTTTGCCACGTTTACAGATGCCTAAAATATGTAATACTTAATTAACAGGTGTAATAGCAGACGCAGAGAAAGAGAAGGGGAAGTTAGCGAAGGAGGGGTGGTCGGTGGTTTGTGATGATGATGCGCGGGACAGTAAAGAGGCAGGAGGTGCTGTAATTCAGAGTTTTGTTAGGGAACAGTTCAGTGACAAAGAACAGAAGGATAAGGGCAAAAAAGTGGACGAAGCGGTTGACGAGAGAATACCGGTCGTAGAACCGATGATAGTTAAACAGCGTTATGTTCGCGATGGGAAGGGCGATTCAGTTACGATCATTAAATCCGAAACTACAGTTACAATGGGCGATAAACCGGGCCAGCCCGTGATCACTCAAACTATCATAACGAAGGAGGCAGATCAAACTGTCCCCAAAATTGTAACCACCGTTTCCGACGGTAAAAGCGTTACGAGTAAGGAAAAATTGTCGAAGGAGGGCAAGGAGATCGACGAGAAGACGGTAGACGCTAAGAAAGACACAAAGACAGAAAAGGATGAAGCTCACAAGGAGCCAAAAGGAAAAACTCACATTCCAGACGAAACGAAACCTGACATACAGGTATCCGCTTACGAAAGCGTTTATAATGTTCAATATCCCTCAACGCAGCCCGAAGACAAGGAGGACGAGACAAAGAAGAAGGGCGGTATCCTCTCTGGAATTTTTAAGGGAACAAAATTAAAGAAGAGTAAATCAAAGGGTTCGAAGGATACGTCCTTCGATAGCGGCGATGAGGACAAAGTAGTTTCACCTACAGAACATTCGGTAGCCAGCGAGAAACCTGCAGAAAGTGCACCTGACGTAAAGTTAGCGACCATGCAATTTCTGGACGAGTCCAGACGCGTTGCTGCGGAAATGCAGCCAATGGAAATGGACTCGAAGAAGAAAGACGATGGCAAACCCAAGGAGTCGGAGGATCGTGGTGTGACCAGCGATACCAGCGATCAGGAGAAAGAGAAAAGCGGCTTCTTCGGTATATTCAAGAGTCCGAAGTCAAAGGAGAAGAAGCTGAAGAAGTCCAAGGAAGCGTCGTTCGACAGCGGCGACGAAGAGCTTCGAGTCGCCACGGAGAAGTTCTTGGACGACACGAGAAAGATTGCGGACGCCACTGTGTCTCCTGTGAAGGACAAGGAGCTTCACACGTTCACCTCGCACGTCCACTACGAGGAGGACACGCCGAAGGACAGATTAAACGGACACTCTTACGATATCTCTGAGATCCAAAAGAAGTCGGAGGCGAGAACTACTCCTCACAGGGAAATGAATGGAAAGTCCGAGGCTAAAAAAGCGAAGGATGCTCCACGGAAAGAGGGAAGTCTGGAAAGGTCCGCGGATTTGAAGCCAGACTCCGACAAACCGCGCGACGAAGAAGAAGAGGAGAGCAAGGACAAAGGTGGCGGATTCTTCAGTATGTTCAAGAGTCCGAAACTCAAGTCGAAGAAGCGAAGTGCGTCGAGGGAGAAGAGCTCTTCAAAAGAGACGTCCTTCGATAGCGGAGACGAGGAGACACGACACGTGACCGCCGCCTTCTTGGACGACACCAAGAAAGTCGCAAGTAGCTTGCATCACGATGAACCGAAAGAAAAACCCGACGTCCCAAGTGACGCGAAGACTGACACAGAACACGCGGAAAAGAGCAGCGGAATTCTCAGCAAGTTCAGAAGCCCGAAGCTGTCGAGAGAATCACGAAGCAGATCTCGAGAGAAGCATACGCCAGAACCGGCACAGGACAGTTCGCTGCGTGAAACGACGGCGAAGTTCCTGGAGGACGCCAGAAACATCGCTGGTTTAACGTTAGACACAAGCAAGGAGGAACCAAAAGAAGCTAAAGAATCCGACGTGAAGAAGGCTGTGGACGCAGAAGCGGAGGAGGCGAAGAGCAAGATCTCGAAAGAAGGCAAGAAAGCAAAGGAAAAGGGCGGAGGATTCCTCTCTGGTCTGTTCAAGGGTGTAAAACACTCTGCGGACGAAGTGTCTGAAGACATCAAGGACACCGTTGACGAAGCGAAGAAGGACGCTGCTCAGGAGAAAGCGCGTGTTCGAGATGCAATATCCGAGAAACTGGACGACATCGACGCAGCGAAGGACAAAGCTGCTGCAGAATTGAAGGCTGCGAAGGACAAAACTGTGACCGTTATAAAAGACACCGCAGATGCTGCGAGTACGAAAGTGTCGAAAGGTGTAGAAAAAGCGGCGGACACCGGTAAGGCAGTTAAAGACAAAATGGCCGACGAGGCGAAGCAGGCTAAGGAGGCCACAGACGCTGCCGCTCGAGAAGTAGTCGATAGAGCAAAGGCAGCGAAAGACAAGGCAGCGGCCGACATCAAAGATGCCAAGGAGAAAGTCACGACGGCTGTGAAAGACACTAAGGATCAAGCAAAGGAGAAAATGACCGAGGGTGCACAGAAGGTGACCCAAGCCAGCAAAGATGTTACGGGCAAAGTGGTCGATGGACTAAAGACTGCGGAGGCGAAAGTAGAAACAGCAGCGAAAGACGTGGCTGACGGTGCTAAAACAGCGAAGGACAAAGTGGTTACGGAGGTTAAAGAAGACACGGAGGCTGTGAAGCAGAAAGTGTCCTCCGGAGTGGACGCCGTTGTGGATGGCGCGGCCGCAGCGAAGGATAAGACTGCGAAGGAGGCTAAGAAAGCAAAGGAGAAAGCTGGAGGCTTCCTGTCGGGATTGTTCAAAGGCGCGAAGCATGCGGCAGACGAAGTTTCGGAAGATATGAAAGAGTTTGTGGACGAAGCGAAGAAGGACGCTGCCGAAGAGGAAGCTCGCGCTCGCGAAGCGGCGGCGAAGAAATTAAAAGAGGCTGACACAGCGAAGGACAAAGCGGCTGCTGGCGTCAAAGATGCGGTGGACAAAGCTGCAGGTGCGGTCAAGGACACCAAGGATAAAGTTAGCGAGAAAGTAATAGATGGTGTCCACAAAGTATCCGACGCTGGCAAAGAGACGGCCAAGAAAGTAGTGGTTGAAGTGAAACATGTTGGTGAAAAAGCGGATGAAGCAGCAAAGGAGGTAGCAGACGGCGCGAAAGCGGCGAAAGATAAAACGGTTGACGGTGCAAAGGGTATTAAGGATAAAGTATCTGAGAAAGTGACCGAAGGCGCACAGAAAGTGTCGGACACAGGCAAAGCTGTTGGTGAAAAGGTAGTCGAAGGTGTTAAGAAGGCAGAAGATAAGGTGGAAGCAGCAGCCCACGGAGTGGCAGATAGCGCAAAGACAGCGAAAGACAAAGCCGCCAAAGAAGTTAAGGAAGACGTCGAAATTGTGAAGCAGAAAGTTTCTTCAGGAGTAGACACCGTGGTAGATGGCGCTGCAGCTGCTAAAGACAAGGCTGCAAAGGAGGCTAAGAAAGTGAAGGAAAAGACCGGTGGCTTCCTCTCAGGCTGGTTCAAAGGATCGAAACATTCGACAGAGGATGTAACGGAGGATGTCAAAGACTTCCTCGAGGAAACGAGAAAGGAAGCGGCCGAAGAGGAAGCACGAGCCCGAGCAGCACTTGATAGTAAAATGAAGGACGCTGACGCAGCGAAAGGAAAGATAGCCGCCGATGTAAAAGACACCAAGGACAAAGTTGTTACTTCCGTCATAGATGCCAAGGACAAGGTTAAAGAAAAGGTCTCCGACGGTGTCCACAAAGTTTCAGACACTGGAAAAAGTGTGGCTGAAAAGGTGACAGACGGAGCGAAACACATTGCAGAGAAAACAGACGAAGCAGCTCGAGAAGTGGCGGACGGAGCAAAGGCTGCAAAAGACAAGGCTGTTGAAGACGCGAGCAAAGCTAAAGACAAAGTAGCAACTGCTGCGAAGGATACAAAGGATAAAATCGGCGAGAAAGTGTCAGAGGGCGCCCAGAAGGTGTCGGATGCTGGCGCAGCTGTGGGAGGAGCAGTGTTGCATGGAATTAAGAAAGTTGAAAGCAAAGCAGAAGCAACAGCTCACGACGTAGCTGAAGGCACGAAAGCAGCGAAGGATAAGGTAGCTAAAGAAATTAAACAAGACACCGAAATCGTGAAGGAAAAAGTATCATCTGGTGTGGATGCGGTAGCTGAAGGAGCTGCGGCAGCGAAGGATAAGACAGCGAAAGAAGCTAAAAAGGCCAAGGAAAAAGCTGGAGGTTTCCTTTCTGGACTGTTCAAGGGTGCAAAACACGCAGCTGACGACGTGTCAGACGAAGTTAAGGACTTCCTTGATGAGACAAAGAAAGAAGCAGCTGAAGAAGAGGCACGAGCTCGTGCCGCGGCTGAACAGAAGCTGAAGGATGCCGATGCTGCAAAAGATAAGGCAGTTGCTGGCATCAAGGATGCGAAGGATAAAGTGGCGTCCACCGTGAAAGACGCGAAAGATAAAGCCGGTGAGAAAGTTTCTACAGCTGCTCAGAAGGTGACAGACACTGGAAAAGCTGCGGCTGAAAAAGTGGCAGAGGGAGCACATCAGTTAGGTGAGAAAGTAGATCAAACAGTTACAACAGCAGCGGAGGGAGCAAAAGCAGCGAAAGATAAAGCAGCTGAAGACGCTAAGGAGGTAAAAGACAAAATCGCGACTGCTGCTAAAGACACCAAGGAGAAGGTCAGTGAGAAAGTAACTGAAGGAGCACAAAAAGTGTCAGACACTGGAAAGACGGTTGGAGGCAAAATTCTGGATGGAGTTAAAAAAGCTGAGGAGAAAGTTGAAGCCACAGCTCATGGAATTGCTGATGGTGCGAAGTCTGCGAAGGACAAAGTAGGAAAGGAGATTAAGCACGACACTGAAATCGTCAAGGAGAAAGTATCGTCTGCTGCCGACGCAGTCGTAGATGGTACAGCAGCAGCTAAAGACAAAGCAGCAAAAGAAGCTAAGAAAGCTAAAGAAAAGACCGGTGGTTTTCTCTCTGGCTTGTTCAAGGGAGTAAAACATGCTGCGGATGATGTATCCGAGGAAGTCAAGGAATTCGTTGATGAAACAAAGAAGGAAGCTGCTGATGAAGAAGCGAGAGCACGTGCTGCAGCTGCACAGAAGCTGAAGGATGCTGAAGCAGCCAAAGACAAAGCAGTTGCTGATGTAAAAGACGCAAAGGACAAAGCAGCATCCGCTGTGAAGGATGCTAAGGATAAAGCCAGCGAAAAAGTTTCTACCGCTGCCCAGAAGGTATCAGATACCGGAAAGGCTGCGGCTGAAAAAGTAGCGGATGAAGTGAAACATGTTGGTGATGCAGCAGATAAAAAAGCACGTGAAATAGCAGATGCTGCTAAGGCTGCCAAAGACAAAACTGTCGAAGGTGCCAAAAAGACTGGCGAACAAGTTACGACTGCTGCTAAGGATGCGAAGGATAAAGTTAGCGAGAAAGTAGCAGAAGGAGCGCAGAAGGTATCAGACGCTGGAAAGGCAGCTGAGGAAAAAATACACGATGGAGTGAAGAAAGTAGAGGATAAAGCAAAAGCAACTGCACATGATGTAGCAGAGGGTGCCAAAATGACCAAGGACAAAGTAGCAAAAGAGATCAAAGAGGACGCTGATGCCGTGAAGCAAAAGGTGTCATCCGGTGTGGATGCAGTAGCTGATAGCGCTGCGACAGCAAAGGATAAAGCAGCGAAAGAGGCGAAGAAAGCTAAAGATAAGGCTGGCGGCTTCCTTTCTGGATTATTCAAGGGTGCAAAGCACTCAGTGGATGATGCTTCTGAAGACGTGAAAGAATTTCTAGATGAAGCCAGAAAGGATGCGGCTGAGGAACAAGCTAGATTGCGTGCAGCCGCTGCAGAGAAAGTGAAGGATGCGGACTCAGCTAAGGATAAAGCAGTTTCTGGTTTGAAAGATGTGAAAGACAAAACAGTATCTGCTGTAAAAGACGCCAAGGACACAGTCAGTGAGAAGGTTTCTACTGCTGCAGAGAAAGTATCTGATACTGGAAAAGCCGCCGCCGAAAAAGTAGTAGACGGTGTAAAACTAGTTGAAGGGAAGACCGAGAAAGCAGCTCACGACATGGCAGATGCTGCCAAAGCTGCCAAAGACAAAGCTGTAGAAGATGCAAAAGAGGTCGGTGACAAAGTAGCAACAACTGCAAAAGATACAAAAGAAAAAGTTGGTGAAAAGTTGGCTGCAGGAGCACAAAAGGTGTCAGATACTGGAAAGGCGGTTGGAGACAAAATCGTTGATGGAGCAAAGAAAGTCGACGAGAAAGCTTCTACGGCAGTTCACGGTGCAGTAGACACCGCAAAAGCAACAAAAGACAAGGTTGCCAAAGAAGTTAAAGAAGACGCTGACATTGTAAAGCAGAAAGTATCCTCAGGTGTTGACACCGTAGTAGACGGAGCTGCGTCAGCCAAGGATAAAGCAGCGAAAGAAGCCAAGAAAGCCAAGGAGAAGGCTGGAGGATTCCTCTCAGGATTGTTCAAAGGCGCAAAGCAGGCGTCCGATGACGTATCAGACGAAGTTAAAGAATTCGTTGATGACACAAAGAAAGCAGCAGCTGAAGAAGAAGCCAAAGCACGAGCGGCAGCTGCGGAGAAATTGAAAGAAGCCGAAGCTGCAAAAGACAAAGTAGCTACTGATGTAAAAGGTGCAAAGGATAAAGTAGTATCCGCCGTGAAAGATGCTAAGGATAAAACCAATGAGAAAGTTGCTGCAGCTGCTCAGAAAGTATCAGATACTGGAAAAGCTGCAGCTGAAAAAGTAGCGGATGGTGCAAAACAGGTTGAAGACAAAGCAGAAAAGGCAGCTCATGAAGTAGCTGATGCTGCTAAAGCTGCCAAAGACAAAACTGTCGAAGGTGTCAAAAAGACCGGCGAACAAGTTACAACTGCTGCAAAGGATGCCAAAGATAAAGTTAGCGAGAAAGTAGCAGAAGGAGCGCAGAAGGTATCAGACGCTGGAAAGGCAGCTGAGGAAAAAGTACACGATGGAGTGAAGAAAGTAGAGGATAAAGCAAAGACGACTGCACATGATGTAGCAGAGGGCGCCAAAATGACCAAGGACAAAGTGGCAAAAGAAATTAAGGAGGACGCTGATGCCGTGAAGCAAAAGGTTTCATCCGGTGTGGATGCAGTCGCTGATGGCGCTGCGGCAACAAAAGATAAAGCAGCGAAAGAGGCGAAGAAAGCTAAAGACAAAGCTGGAGGCTTTCTTTCGGGACTATTCAAGGGTGCAAAACACGCAGCCGATGATGTTACAGGAGACGTAAAAGACTTCCTGGATGAAGCCAGAAAGGATGCGGCTGAAGAACAAGCTAGACTGCGTGCAGCTGCTGCAGAGAAAGCGAAAGATGTGGACACAGCTAAAGAAAAAGCAGTTTCCGGCTTGAAGGATGTGAAAGACAAAACAACATCTGCCGTAAAGGACGCCAAGGACACAGTCAGTGAAAAGATTTCTACCGCTGCAGAGAAAGTATCTGATACTGGAAAAGCTGCGGCCGAAAAAGTAGTAGACGGTGTAAAACTAGTTGAAGGGAAAACAGAGAAAGCAGCTCACGAAGTGGCAGACGCTGCTAAGGCCGCTAAAGACAAGGCTGTTGAAGATGCAAAGGAAGTCGGTGACAAAGTCGCAACAACTGCAAAGGACACTAAAGATAAAGTTACCGAAAAGGTTGCAGAAGGTGCGCAAATAGTATCAGACACTGGTAAAACCATTGGTGGAAAGATAGTCGATGGTGCAAAGAAGGTTGAGGATAAAACTGTAACAACCGCTCATGAAATAGCAGATGGCGCCAAAGCTGCAAAAGACAAAGTTGCAACAGAGATTAAAGAAGACGCTCACGCCGTGAAACAAAAAGTTTCATCCGGTGTGGATGCAGTAGCCGATGGAGCTGCGGCAGCGAAGGATAAAGCAGCAAAAGAAGCTAAAAAGGCAAAGGACAAAGCTGGAGGTTTTCTGTCAGGATTGTTCAAGGGCGCAAAACACGCAGCTGATGACGCTTCTGAAGAAGTTAAGGAATTTGTCGATGATACAAAGAAGGCTGCAGCCGAAGAGGAAGCTCGTGCTCGCGCTGCTGTTGCGGAGAAACTGAAAGATGTCGATGCCGCAAAAGACAAAGCGGTTGCCGACGTGAAGGATGCAAAAGACAAGGTTGCATCTACTGTCAAGGACACTAAAGACAAAGTCAGTGAGAAGGTTAGTGTCGTGACCCAAAAGGTGACGGATACTGGAAAAGCTGCAGCCGTAAAGGTAGCAGAAGGAGCACACAAAGTAGGCGAGAAAGTAGACCACACAGTCACAGAAGTAGCCGATGGCGCAAAGGTAGCGAAAGATAAAGCTGCACAAGATGTGCAAGATGTTAAAGATAAAGTCAGCGAAAAAGTGTCCGAAGGTGCACAGAAAGTATCCGATGCTGGGAAAACGGTTGGAGGCAAAGTTCTCGACGGAGTGAAGACAGCTGAAGAGAAGGTCGAAGCAACGGCCCATGGAATTGCTGATGCTGCAAAGTCTGCTAAAGATAAAGCGGCAGACGAAATTAAGCAAGACACTGATGCTTTCAAACAGAAAGTTTCATCCGGTGTAGACGCGGTCGTGGATGGAGCGGCGTCAGCGAAAGACAAAGCTGCGAAGGAAGCTAAGAATGCCAAAGAGAAAACTGGCGGTTTTCTTTCTGGCTTATTCAAGGGTGCAAAGCATGCCGCAGAAGATGTGACAGGTGATGTCAAAGATTTTCTCGATGAGACGAGAAAGGAGGCGGCTGAAGAGCAAGCTAGACTGCGTGCGGCAGCTGCGGACAAAGCGAAAGATGTGGAGTCCGCCAAGGACAAAGCAGTTGCAGACGTGAAGGATGCGAAACAGAAGGTTGCCTCTACCGTAAAGGACGCCAAGGACAAAGTCAGCGATAAAATCTCTGACGGTGCTCAGAAAGTGTCCGAAGCCGGCAAAGGTCTGTCCGAGAAAGTTAAAGACGGAGTGAAACAAGTTGGTCAGAAAGTTGACGCCACTGCTCAACAGGTATCTGACAGTGCAAGTGCCGCTAAAGGTAAAGTAGTCGAAGATCTGAAAGACGTGAAAGACAAAGTATCTGTTACTGCAAAAGACACGAAAGACAAGGTAGCCGATAAAGTAGCTGAAGGCGCGGAAAAAGTATCAGATTCCGCAAAAGCAGTCGGTGGAGCGATTCAAGATGGCGTCAAAAAGGGTAAGGACAAAACTGAAACCGTGCTCCACGATGTAGCGACCGGCATCAAAACCACGCAAGAGAAAGCATCGAAAGAGATTAAGGAAGATGTTGGGGCGGTCAAAGAAAAGGTCTCATCCGGCGTAGATTCGGTTGTGGATGGAGCAGCCTCTGCCAAAGATAAAGCAGCAGCGGAGGCTAAAAAGGCGAAGGAAAAAGGAGGTGGATTCCTGTCGGGATTATTCAAAAGCGCAAAACATGCGGCAGACGAGTTCTCTGAGGATGTGAAAGAATTCGTGGATGAAACAAAGAAGGAAGCAACAGAAGAGGAAGCTCGCGCTCGAACTGCTGTGTCAGAGAAGATGAAGGACCTCGACAAAGCGAAGGACAAAGCGGCAGCTGACGTTAAGGACGCGAAGGATAAAGTTGTTTCCAGTGCTAAGGATACCAAGGATAAAATAAGCGAGAAAGTATCTGAAGGTGCACATAAAGTATCAGATGCAGGCAAAGCTGTCGCTGGAAAAGTCAGTGATGGAGTTAAACAAGTCGGACAAAAAGCTGACGACACGGCAAAAGAGATAGCTGACGGTGCAAAACTCGTGAAAGACAAGACAGTTGAGGGCGCGAAGGATGTGAAAGATAAAGTCGTCACTGGAGTAAAGGACACCAAAGAGAAGGTCAGCGAGAAAGTGGCGGAAGGTGCACAAAAAGTATCAGACACTGGTAAACTCGTTGCTGACAAAGCACTCGATGGAGTGAAGAAAGTGGAAGACAAGGCAGAAGCAACCGCCAAAGAAATGGCTGACGGTGCAAAATCGACGAAAGACAAGGTGGTCAAAGAAATTAAAGAGGATACCGATGCAGTAAAGCAGAAAGTCATCTCTGGAGTTGACTCAACAGCGGAAGGTGCATCTGCAGTGGCGGATAAAGCAGCGAAAGAAGCTAAGAAGGCCAAGGAAAAGGGTGGTGGTTTTCTCTCTGGATTATTTAAGGGAGCAAAACACGCTGCAGATGACGTCTCAGACGGAGTTAAAGAATTTCTAGATGAAACTAGAAAGGAAGCGGCTGAAGAGGAAGCCCGAGCTCGTGCTGCGGCTGCAGAAAAAATGAAAGATGTCGAGAAAGCTAAAGAGAAAGCAGTCGACGGTGCAAAGGACGCAAAGGACAAAGTTGCAACCACTGTCAAGGATGCCAAGGACAAAGTCAGTGATGTGTTCTCTGCCACTGCGCAGAAGGTGTCAGATACCGGTAAAGGTGTAGCTGAGAAGGTCGCAGACGGTGTCAAACACGTGGAAGACAAAACGAGTAAGGCGGCTCATGACGTAACAGATACCGCCAAAGCTGCAAAAGATAAGGCAGTAGAAGATGTAAAGGGTGCGAAGGACAAAGTTGCATCTACTGTGAAAGACGCTAAAGATAAAGCTAGCGATATGGTTTCCTCTACTGCGCAGAAAGTATCAGATACCGGCAAGGATGTGGCGGAAAAGGTAACAGATGGTGTGAAACAAATTGAAGATAAAACGAGTAAAGCGGCGCAAAAGGTGGCAGATACTGGAAAAGCTGCGAAAGACAAAGTAGTTGAGGATGTACAGATGGTCGGTGATAAAATTGCGACCACTACAAAGGACGCTAAGGATACAGTCAGCGAAAAGGTGAGCGAAGGAGCACAGAAAGTGTCAGATACTGGAAAGGCGGTTGGAGAAAAAATAGTCGATGGAGCAAAGAAGGTGGATGAAAAAGCTTCGGCGACAGTTCACGGTGTGGTAGATACCGCAAAAGCAACAAAAGACAAGGTTGCGAAGGAAGTTAAAGAAGACGCTGACATTGTAAAGCAAAAAGTATCGTCTGGTGTAGACACAGTAGTAGACGGAGCTGCGTCAGCCAAGGACAAAGCAGCGAAAGAAGCCAAGAAAGCTAAGGAGAAGGCCGGAGGTTTTCTCTCTGGCTTGTTCAAAGGCGCGAAGCACGCGGCAGATGATGTATCAGACGAAGTTAAGGAATTCCTCGATGAAACAAAAAAAGAAGCTGCTGAAGAAGAAGCCAGAGCACGAGCTGCTGCAGCACAGAAGCTGAAGGATGCTGAAACAGCCAAAGACAAAGCAGTTGCTGATGTAAAAGACGCAAAGGACAAAGCAGCATCCGCTGTGAAGGATGCTAAGGATAAAGCCAGCGAAAAAGTTTCTACCGCTGCCCAGAAGGTATCAGATACCGGAAAGGCTGCGGCTGAAAAAGTAGCGGATGAAGTGAAACATGTTGGTGATGCTGCGGATAAAAAAGCACACGAAATAGCAGATGCTGCTAAGGCTGCCAAAGACAAAACTGTCGAAGGTGCCAAAAAGACTGGCGAACAAGTTACGACTGCTGCTAAGGATGCGAAGGATAAAGTTAGCGAGAAAGTAGCAGAAGGAGCGCAGAAGGCATCTGACGCTGGAAAGGCAGCCGCAGAAAAGATACACGACGGAGTGAAGAAAGTAGAGGATAAAGCAAAGACGACTGCACATGATGTAGCAGAGGGCGCAAAAATGACCAAGGACAAAGTAGCAAAAGAGATCAAGGAAGACGCTGATGCCGTGAAGCAAAAGGTGTCATCCGGTGTGGACGCAGTAGCTGATAGCGCTGCGGCAGCAAAGGATAAAGCAGCGAAAGAAGCGAAGAAAGCTAAAGACAAGGCTGGCGGCTTTCTTTCTGGATTATTCAAGGGTGCAAAGCACTCAGTGGATGATGCTTCTGAAGATGTGAAAGAATTTCTAGATGAAGCCAGAAAGGATGCGGCTGAGGAACAAGCTAGACTGCGTGCAGCTGCTGCAGAGAAAGCGAAAGATGCGGACTCAGCTAAAGACAAAGCAGTTTCCGGTTTAAAAGATGTGAAAGACAAAACAGTATCTGCTGTAAAGGACGCCAAGGACACAGTCAGTGAAAAGGTTTCTACCGCTGCAGAGAAAGTATCTGATACTGGGAAAGCCGCCGCCGAAAAAGTAGTAGACGGTGTAAAACTAGTTGAAGGGAAGACCGAGAAAGCTGCTCGCGACATGGCAGATGCTGCTAAGGCCGCTAAAGACAAGGCTGTTGAAGATGCAAAGGAAGTCGGTGACAAAGTCGCAACAACTGCAAAGGACACTAAAGACAAAGTTACCGAAAAGGTTGCAGAAGGTGCGCAAAAAGTATCAGACACTGGTAAAGCCGTTGGAGATAAAATAGTTGATGGTGCAAAGAAAATTGAGGATAAAACCGTAACGACCGTCCATGAAGTAACTGATGGCGCCAAAGCTGCGAAGGATAAGGTTGCAAAAGAAATCAAAGAAGATGCGGACGCTGTAAAGCAAAAGGTTTCATCTGGCGTGGATACAGTTGTGGACACTGCAGCAGCTGCAAAGGACAAAGCTGCAAAAGAAGCTAAAAAAGCCAAGGACAAGACCGGAGGCTTCTTATCAGGGTTATTCAAAGGTGCAAAACACGCAGCCGACGAAGTTTCCGGCGAGTTCAGTGAATTTCTGGACGAGACGAAGAAGGAAGCAGCCGAAGAAGAAGCTCGCGCCCGTGAAGCGGCGGCAGAAAAGATAAAGGACCTTGAAACAGCGAAAAGTAAAGTAGCAGCTGATGTGAAGGACGCAAAAGACAAAGTCGCAACCACAGCTAAAGACGCCAAGGAGAAGGTCGGCGAAAAATTATCCGACACCACCCAGAAAATCTCTGACGCTAGCAAAAGTGCAGCTGAGACCGTTGCGACTGGAATGAAGCAAGTTGCCGAAAAAGCGGACGATAAAGCTCGTGAAATAGCAGACGCTGCAAAGTCCACGAAGGACAAGGTAGTCGAAGACACGAAGGAAGCCAAGGACAAAGTCACAACCGCCGTAAAGGACGCGAAGGACAAGGTCAGCGACAAGGTGGTCGAAGGAGTACAAAAGGTGTCAGACGCAGGCAAATCAGTCGGTGACAAAGTACTCGAAGGAGCTGAAAAGGCAGAACTCAAGGTCGAAACAACTGCTCACAAGATCGCCGGCGATACTAAAGCAGCGAAGGATAAAGTGGTCACAGAAATTAAGGGAGACGCCGAAGCTGTAAAACAGAAAGTCTCTTCGGGAGTAGACACCGTGGTGGACGGTGCAGCGGCGGCGAAAGACAAAGCTGCGAAGGAAGCTAAAAAAGCGAAAGAGAAAGGTAGTGGCTTTCTTTCTGGGTTGTTCAAAGGTGCAAAGCATGCAGCAGACGAAGTTTCTGAAGACATGAAGGAATTCGTCGACGAAGCGAAGAAGGACGCCGCTGAAGAAGAAGCAAGGTTGCGTGCAGCAGCTGCCGATAAGGTGAAAGATGTCGAAACAGCTAAAGACAAAGCTGTTGCAGACATTAAAACCTCTAAGGACAAACTTGCGGCTGGTGTGAAAGACACCAGCGATAAGGTCACTGGAAAGGTTGCTGACACCGTACAGAAAACATCTGATGCTGGTAAAGCTTTTGGAGACAAAGTCGTGGATGGACTAACGGAAATTGAGTTGAAAACAGAAACAACTGTTCAAGATGTAAAGAGCGGTATGAAGGACGCAAAAGACAAGGCAGTGGCTGACACAAAAGCTGCTGCAAAGGATACCAAAGACAAGCTCACCGATAAGGTAGCCAAAGGTGCCCAAAAGGTTTCGGACGCTGGTAAAACCATAGGCGGCAAAGTTGTCGATGGCGCGAAAAGTGTAGAGGAAAAAGCAGAAGCAGCTGCGAAGGAGATCAAGAAGGACATTTCATCCGGAGTAGATACCGTCGCGGATACCGCTAAAACAACTAAGGACAAGGCTGCGAAGGAAGCAAAGAAAGCCAAGGAGAAGGGCGGTGGTTTCCTCTCTGGTTTAATCAAAAGCGTGAAACATGCAGCTGAGGATGTCTCAGACGACGTCAACGAGTTTCTTGATGAAACGAAGAAGGAAGCCGCCGAAGAGGAGGCCCGAGCTCGCGAGAAGGCGGCAGAAAAGTTAAAAGACGTTGAGAAGCTCTCGGAAAAAGCCTCTGCAGATGCGAAGGCGGCTAAAGACAAAGCGGTAGCTGGTGTAAAGGATGCAAAAGAAGCAGTTAGCAAAAAGGTGTCGGGTGCTAGCCAAGCTGTTGGCGCTACTGTTCAAGAAATAAGCGACACTGCAAGAACGACGAAACACAAGGTGGTTTCGTCCGCGAAAGACAGTAGCGACCGAATCAGCGAGAAGGTAGCTGCCGGAGGTCAAAAAGTGTCTGACGCCGGAAAGTCTATTGTCGTAGAGGGTAGCAATATCAAAAGTGGCGTAATGGACTTTCTGGAAGAACTGAAACGAGACGCTGCGTTGGACAAATCAGGTTTCCAAGAGAAACCTGACGACGTTCACAGTTTGTACGAGAACGTGGACAGATTCGGCAGAGTCAGAGAATTAACGCCTGACCCGAAGGGAGAAGGTTCAAAAAGCGAAAGATCTGACTTTGACACGGTGTTCGATCCACTTGCTGGTGTTAGCTTCGAAGCACAGAGTAGATTAACCGACACGAGCAGAAAGGACGGTGTCGAAATAAAATCGAAGAAGATATCTCGCATTCCACAGAAAGTTAGTTCCTCTAAAGACGCAGGAATTAGCCCTAGTAGCTCATTGGATAGTACAGTTAGGGTAGTTAATGTATTTAGCGAAGTAGAGCACCTCGAGCCTCACACACGACAGACCGTCACCACAGTCGTAACAAAGTCTGTGCGGACGGCAGCGACCCCACCACCCAGTCCCGCCGAGTTCATTGACAGTAGAATCGAAGGTATCTTGCAATAATTGCGTTATACATATTACATACCAGCTGTGTGTAACATGATTAATTAAGTTGTCGCTTTTCTATAACTTATGTTTTTTGGTAGTCGTACCAAAATGGCCCGAGAAAGGTCATTGCACTATGTCATTCGTAATGAATTCTAACACCCTGATCTCGATCACTCTTTAGTGTACTAATGTCTACGTGATCTTTTATTAAGCAACGACACGTAGCATAAAGTGAGACTAATACAACAAATTATAACACTATACTAGATTCATTATTCTAAATATCCACTTTATGGTACGTCCATTTTCAATGAAAAGAAGATCAACCGTAGCGAAGTATGAGGAGACACGTCTACATTATTTCTATTTATTTGCTGTTCTTATTTTCAGTTTGTGCGTTTTTTAACTTTTTTAACAATTTCTTTGATGCATGTTTCCAGGTTTTATATGCTATTTCCTTTTTTTTTTCCTCTTAACATTAATATTATCCACGAAGACGTTTTGTTGTACACATCGACAAGTTGTCGGATTTAAAAGAGCAACAACCTTATTTGTCATTACTCGTTCCTTTTATTATAGCATAACATCATATGTTATTATTAAACGATATATATATTTGTTGTGTATATATATATTGTATATGGATAATATATATATACATATGAATCATTAAATTAACAGGAAACCACAACTAGCGAAGCATGAACCGAGGTATGCCATGCAGGGATACATCATTCATCTAATCTTTGTCAGATCATTGCTTTCAATGTTCATCTGGTCGTTTCTGTTTCCTTTAATCGCTATGTTCAAATGCTTTTTCAGATGTCACTGAAGAGGCAGCAAGACGAGCGCAGGCATTAGCCGATCAAGCGTATTCGATGTCGAAAACAGGTAACGTATGGTCAAGAAGAGCATAAACTCTCACAAAACATAGATCACAGGCCGAAGATCAATATGTTAGCAGATTCTATTTTGGTGCCCTCATTTATATTTAGCTTTATCTTCCATAGTTAGCACCTGCCGACGCTTTCACACTAATATTGTGCGCACGTTTCTTACTAAATAGTTACCTCTTTCGTCGGAGTTCGAGATACACGAGAAAGCTTTAAATTTCTTTCAAATACTTTTTCCACACGAACGGCCAAAAATTTCGATCAAATTAACCAAATTATGGTTTGACAAGATTTTTATACTCACCAATTCTCTTCACCGCTAAAGAACAATCGCTTTCAACAAATTCACAAGATTCACGCTTTGAAATACTTTTCTACAGGGTAAAAGTTTTTAGTTTCTGTTTAAATTCGAGAGATCAAGTTATTTCAGGGTACATTTTAGTAAGATTCAGGCGCCACGACTAGACACCATTTAATTGAGTGTTTCTTTTTGATAAACATACTAATCCTGTTGCAGTATTGATACTAACTAAAATACTAAATGTAGACGTGTGCTGCACATACACACACGCACACACACAGGCATATCATGCGATATAATATGCATGCGTGTGTGGGCCACCACGAGTTTCGTGTGTATGCGCGTACACACATACACAAAGTACGTATGTGAGACAAAACACGCTGAATCTTTCAGTCCAACTGTCGCAGCTGGGCTAGAGTTGAAAATTCTTAGTGTGTATCAATGTGCTTTATGTCCTTGTTCCTGTTCTTGTCCATGTCCTTTTGGATGGGTCAGGGCATGATTCGGCTGAGATTGATGGGACTGTAGAGAGGCATGCTACTTCTGCTCCAACAAAGCAACCTGTTCCCGCCCCGCGACACTCCACCAGGTCGTCCATCAAAACAGACTTTCATCTAGACTTGGGTGACACCTCGTGCGCGCCGTACAGTCCCAAGCATAAGACGAAAGAATCAAAGCTGCAGGAAGAACACTCGCCCGAAAAGAGCAGTCCTAAAAGTAAGATACCGATCAAGGTAAAAAAATCCATGGATAACGAAAAGATGGCTTGCAAAACCGGAACCGATAAGGTAAAGTCAGACGTCGAAGATACGAAGCAGCTCGAGAAATCGGAGCCAAAGGGTGACTCCGTAAAGACCGAGCTGTCGAGCGAAACGTGCACCACGATGACGACCAAAACGACCGCGTCCGCGCTCGATTCCGAAACGCTCGAGAAATTAGCTGGAACCGTAGAAAAGATAGAGTCCGTGACGATCGCGAAAGGAGACGCTAGACCGGGGGAACTTGTGAGGGAAACTAAGATTGTAGAGAGTTGGATGGGTCCCGAGGAAGCGGGGACGATAACAAAGACCGTGAGAAACGTTACGGATCAGGTGGTGAAAGAGACCGTGGTGAAAACGATCACGACCACGATGTGCACCACCATGGAGTCCGTTGGCACTGACCAGACGGAACGGATCGTACGGACGGTGACCACCAGCGGGGACTACGGCGACATACCCGGTCTGAAACGATTGCAGGGCGATATCCTGCCACTAAGTATCGAACAGGGTTCGACAAAGATGATGAAAAGCATTAGCGAGATGTCGGAGCCGTGGGCGCACGGCAGCTTGATAGAGCACTCGTACCTGAACGATGAGAAGGTAGAGCAATGGGAGAGCCAGCTCTCCCAAGACACGTCGCCCGGTTCCGGTAACGGTGACATTTACGCAAAGAACGGTAGCTCACGCCACGATTTAAACAGCGACACTGACAGTGACGGTTCGCCACGACCGAGAAGAAGATCTCCGAGCAAGAGGCGTACATTGGGCAGTTCCAGCGGGTCTGATGTAGCACTGCACGAAGGTGCGGAGCTGTCCCCGTTGGAGGACGACCAAGGTACCGCACTCACAGCTAACCTTCTAAGTAAGCAATGTACATAATCCCGCTAAGACCAAGTTATCCGAGAGACATAAGCTCAGATCCGAGAACGTGAATTTGCATATCCGTTTATTTTAGTCGCTTTATCATGAGCTTCTTTATGTGTACGCATGAGACCCGCGCACCTTTATTTTCTGTTTCCTTTGGTGTTGCTTGCAGAGAGATTGGTTTTTTGTCAATTATTTATTGTATGATTTGGCTACGATTTATTCACGGACGTGAATTTTAAATCGAAGGTAAACGCTGTCAGGACGAAACCGATGTTTTTCAAATTTCGGTATATGATTCAAAATTTGTGTTCGACTCGGTCGATTCAATTGAATGAATTATAGTCGGCCGTGTACGGTAGACAAGTTTATAAAAGACAAGTAAAAATATTTTAACGAAATAATTGGTGTTCTCTTGGTAACAAGCGGAAAACTGTACGTCAGTATCTAATTTCTAGTACGTCGCACCACAACGTTGCATGATCTTAAGCTTGTATAACCACTATAACTTTGATGTGTATCGCACAAGGTGGGAGGATATGAAATGATGAGTAACGCAAGGAAAAACAAAGCTTGTACGAGGCAGTCGTAAATCTGCCTACCTGTGTGGTTTTATGATTCTTCGTGGACATTATCGGGGGCGAGTGTTATTTCATAAGGTTGGTGGTGATCGATTCAATGTGCTTCGTTCAAAGAAGTATCCCACTTTTTTTCTTATCGTTGGTCTTGGTTCAGTGGATATTATGTACGATTAGGTGCTTCTGGGACTAGCATACTTTTCATTGATTCTCGCGATCAATTTTTTGATACGTATAAGTGTGTTTAAAAAGAAATATCATACTTGGTGGTATCTTGAAAAATTAATCTTTTAGTGGAACTTCAAATTTTTTTTTTAAATGCAAGCATTTTATATTTTTGTCTTTTGTATTTAATTTTTTACGTCAATAATTGTTTTCACTCTTTGTTTGGAAAATTTCAAGCTTTCATAGGAACTTTTTTTAAATTGTTTTCTCTTTCTGTATAGTTGCATTATATTCATTTATTTTATCCAAGATAAGTGAGATAAAATAAGTAATATTTATATTATAACAATATAAACTTGCTTAATTTTCATTAAAATTGATAATATAGATGTATGATATTTCTTTTTAACTGCTAACCCATGTTCAATATCGCATACGAATGCGACTTCGCAATAAATCACAAAACACCGTAAAGAAGCGTACAAAAATACATCTAATCCCAAAACTTCCCTATAAATTACACCATAAATTGTACGTGAACAAAATGTACAAAATATCTCCAAAAAAAGCGACATATTGGGTGTAACACATTTTGGTTGTATTCTTTCATACACATCAAGTATCAATAACAATTCACTAAAGCTCGTTCGACGAGTATCAAAAAGAGAAATAAAAAATCAGGTTTCAAAGTTATATGTATTATTCTTTTCAAGCTAAGCTTTATACTGGGCTCGATTTAACACAGAATCTACAATTAATCCCAAGAAGGATATTCGTGAATAACAGGTGCAATGGCTCGCGAGAGTTGCCAGCTTTCGGCTAACGATGTTTTAAAAACACGGAAGACGTTATCATGTTATCATCAGGTTATTATTAAAAGAAAAATTAGGCGCATTTGCAAATCAAATCTTTCGAATTCTTCGCATATTTCGCCCGCTCCTTCATACTAATCACGGCGTGGGATCGCGGGTTTTAATCGAGTCGAATTCACGAAAGGATGTATTTCCGAAAACCTGTCAAATCTGATCGAGTTAGAATTTGGTAAATATTTTGTGTAACAGTGCGACAAGGATTTTTTCACAACAGAATTTTTTGTCATTTTAATATTGGTCGCCATCTTAGTGACATTTTAAATGCTAGAACATAACCTATGAGTCAAAGAGTTAAAATAGAATGAGAAAGACTAAATTGAGAAGAGATTCAGATGTACAGTTCTGTATGATGTATTGAAATCTGGTAAAAAAAATAATGGAAATGATGAAACACACTTGAAATACTTAAAGTTCACCCTTTTGATAAATTGCATCCCCTAATGTACTTTGAGTATTAATTTATTTTAAGTACGATTGACTTCATATACATAAAGTGTGTTTTTTAAACTATAACTAAATGCAACTCACTTGACATACGTAATGAAAATTGATAGTTTTCAAATTGTGGACAAATACAAAATATTTCTAATACTGCTGTAACGGCACTCTTTGTGTCGGTGAGGTAGAAAACGAAATTAAAATGGCGAACAAATTTTTCCTGAAAATCCTTCTCGCTTATGCAAAATAATGCTTGGAGAACTTCAGTGAAATTAGTTGACAATTGCATAAATTTCTAATACTATAATGCTATTTTAAAATTGTGTCTATAGAAAATTTAATTAAAATGAGAAATAACGAAAATAAATTTTTCGTGTTTGCTAAAAATCTTCCTGGTATTATGATTATTACCCTCTCACAAAGAATTACTACCTTGTAAAACTTGTACCTTGTAAAACTTGTAACTTATAAAACTTGTAACTTGTACAACTTGTAACTTGCAAAACTTCAATCGACAGTTTAACAATTAGATGAAAAGAATATTGACAGGTTTTTGGAAATGTCAGAACAAATAAACGGGCGACAGAAAATTCATAGGAGGCATAATGTTTAAGTGACAGAAACAGACAGTTCGGTACAGTCAGTTTGTTCGAGCATGCGACCAAGTACAGTAGAGGGAACATCTAGGAGGAAGACTTCCGGTAGAACAAGCTGCGCGTGTTGGATGAGCGTAGCTGCCGCTACGTTGGTGGTCCTACTAGCAATATTTCTTGCCTTGGAGCCACGAACGTTCCAACGTGACATCTACACCCTCTCTAACAATGTCCCGAGGCAAACTGGGTACGATTTACCCTTCATTTTATTTATTTCTTTTACGCGAATTTTTTTTTTGATCGTATACCGCGTAAACAATCGTAGACCCCGGACCCATGCCCAAAAATTTTAGGATTAACGAATAGTATTTTTATTTTTTCAGAGTAAATCTATATGTATTTTATTTATAATTCTATTTATTTTGAATTTTGTTAAGGGTGAAAGGATTTTAGATAAATTTTTTAAAATGATTTTTAATAATTTTCCGTATAGTTTCTAAGAACTGAAGGATTTTTTTTTATAAGTAATTTGAGTCCAGCGATTGATATTAGGTTTCCCATATATCGAAATCCATGTAATGTAGTTTTGTATTTCGGAGATTATATTCACTCTTTTGTAACCTGACTTCTTCAACATGTACAGCTATATTTCTCAGAAATATCAACGATTAGAAGTATGCACAGTCCCAAAGAAGCTGTGTACCACGAATTCAATCTTACTGATGTTAATAGTCCCGGAGGAGTTATATAGGGTGCTTCACAATTAGTGTAAGGAAATGGGGGGTAGCTGACGTGATTCTGAATAAAATTTCCCTTTGCAAAAATGGGGTTTGAAGCTTCACGAACACGAACCAATCAGAGCGCAAGTGATCCTTGCGCTGGGATTGGTGAATTAGCACTTGTGGAATTACTACGTATCGAATTACCACGCGTCGAATTACCACGCGTAGAATTACCACGCGTTGAATTACCACTCGCTGAATTACCACGCGTGGAATTACCATGCGTGCAATTACTACGCGTAGAATTACCACGCGTGGAATTACCACTCGCTGAATTACCACGCGTTGAATTACCACTCGCTGAATTACCACGCGTGGAGTTACCACGCATGGCATTACTACGCATAGAATTACCACGTGTGGAATTACTACGCGTAGAATTACCACGCGTGGAATTACTACGCATAGAATTACCATGCGTGGAATTACTACGCGTAGAATTACCACGCGTGGAATTACTACGCATAGAATTACCATGCGTGGAATTACTACGCGTAGAATTACCACGCGTGGAATTACTACGCATAGAATTACCATGCGTGGAATTACTACGCGTAGAATTACCACGCGTGGAATTACTACGCATAGAATTACCATGCGTGGAATTACTACGCGTAGAATTACCACGCGTGGAATTACTACGCATAGAATTACCATCACGCGTGGAATTACCACGCGTAGAATTACCACGCGTGGAATTACCAAGCGTGGCATTATTACGCATAGAATTACCACGCATGGAATTATTACGCATAGAATTACCACGCGTGTAATCTTATTCAGAATCACGCCAACTACCCCCCATTTCAGGAACCTACACTACTTGTGATACACTCTGTACATAACAAAACATATCAATTTTAATGCAATGTTAAAAATCATTTGCAGGTTAGAAATAAACTGTGTTATAAACTAGGTATAATTTTATGGTGAGAAGCATCGAAAAGAATAAAGTATATAGGTGTGGTATTCGAGGAGTATTAAACACGATTTGAGCGACAGGTAAACCTCGAAGAGTACGCAAGCTTTTTTTTTCTGAAGTTTGATCCTACCAAAAGTGCTGCATGATCCGAGCACAATCCTCGCATGATCTGGCATTCTATCAGTCTTTTAGTTTGTCTCCTGCAGCGTTTTACACGCCAATAATTTTTGTCTTGTTTTTCTTTCTTTTCCAGTTCAGTAGCGTTCTTTTTACGCCTGATGCACGTACCTCCCCAAAAAATACCGAATAATAGAGCTCGAATCTCACTTTAATTTTCATGCGTCCTATATAGATCACTTATTTACCCTTTCTAGCTCTTCTCTGACAATAAGCAACTCAAGATAAAGCTAAAGTGTAGAGGGACCAACAAATCGTGTTTTTTTAGTCATGTTAGGATTGTTAGGCGAATCGTCATGTAAGTAGCCTTTATCTATGTACACGTGCGTGTGAACACGAATCCATTCATACACTACAATCGAAATCGCTCGACAGATTGAGCTTCAATGAACGTCCCGACGCTTCGAAAGCTACTTTGAATGCGTTTTAGAATTAGATTCTAGCGGTTTTGAAGAACGTTGTCCGTCTTCTTTTTGTTTAGAGCTGCAAATGGCTAAACGATTGCACATCGTTTGTCATATTTCAGATTGTCATTCTTAAACACAGCACTTCAGGTAATCTTCAACTTTTCTTCCGACCAATCTCTCTTTAGAATACCTTTCTAAAAAAAATTATTCAAAATATTCTGCATGAAAAATGTCAAACTACAATTTTTAAAAAAGTTGACTGTTCGTGAGACACAAATTTTAAATTCAAAATTGAAACCTGTTATATGAAACTATAAAATGTCTCACGAATTGTTTAATTTTTTATATATTTTTTTATCTGTTTTTTATTTGAAATATTCTGAAAAATTAATTTATGTAAAAAGATATAATTTCGTTTTAAAAAAGCAACATCTTTTACGTGTCTAGTTAAAAGAGAACTAATTAAATTTTATTTTTCTCTCAAAAAAGAACAAAGTTTGTCTAAAACATTTTTCAATAATTCTTTAAATTTATGAATTAAAATATTGCACCCTGTATATCAAATAAAATTAATGAAACAATAGTATAAATTAAATTAAGTATCAAATACTAATAATAAATTTGGACAAAATTTATAGCAAAATTTAGATAAAAAATTCCAGTAAAATGCACCCAAAAAAATTTAATAAAAATTACAATAAAATTAGAATAAAGTTCGAGTAACATAAACACGAAAATTACAGTAAAATGTAGAAAAATGTATAAAAGAAAAATTGTGGTAAAAAAATGGTAGTCGGAAGAAAAGTACCAGAGGACCGTAAGCCTGTAACACAGCACAAAAGTTGCCTGTTCCCCGAGCAAAAAGCAAATAACTACAAAAACCGCGTTAATATAGCAATTAATATCTGACCGTTCGTCTAACAACACTAACTGATGTAGTTAGTACGCGCCCCTTTAAACTTGTTGCCACTATATACAGGGTGTTTCAAAGAGCTACGGTCAAAACCAGAGAGCGTTTTCCTCGGTCGAAAATTGTAAGTATGAAACTGCTCTTCTACGATGATAAAGCTCGAACTGTCGAGAAAGTACATATGTAATTTTTATACATTTGATTTACGTTCTTCTAGTCGTTGAAGTTCGATTTTCTTCTTTATTCGTAATTGACTCGATACATTTGTTAGACGATTTTGACCGTTTCACGAAACGTGCAGTATCATTTTATAATAAAGAGATCTGTTCAACGTATAGCGTGAACGTAGTAATATTATTTTTGTATCTTGTTTCGTGACGATTCAGCGATAGTTCCTTTTAAGTAGATAGTTTTGATAGACTCGACTTAGCAGTTTCGATTAGAAGATTTCGTTACGAACGTTTCCTACTTGTTTTCCACCGAAGAAACCCCCTCCCTCCTCAGTTTTTACCGTAGTTGAATACTCTTCTGTTGTATCGGACAGTACCTTATATACAGTATCTTATGACTAACTGCTAAACGCTTTATTATTATTATTATTATTATTATTCAGTAGCTTTTATCAGCGCTTCACACGAGCTCGCTGCGTGCAGCACAGTCCTGCTTGCAAGGCAGGTTTCCTTTAACTTTGCTTTATTAATGAAACTCTGCATCTTCAAATAATCGAATCGAAGAAACGTGTTCTGTTACAAAATTCTTAAAACTTTCAAAACTTCAATTTTATAGAAAATATATTAACAAGAGTATAATATGTTTTCTGGTAAGAGACACGTTATTCTTCCTTTCCATTATTTCTTGTACAAAGACTTTCATTAATATCGAAATTTAAAGGATCGAAATCTCTCTTGTAAGAGGTGTCTTAAACGTGCCTAATTATAATTATCCTCGAGTATAATGAGAAACGGACTCTCAAGCGCTGCTATTAGTGCATAGTATTTCACATGTGACGAAAACATTCGACGAAAGGGTGTCGTTCGGTTCAAAGATATTCGCTTCCTCTGACGAACTGAAATTTTAATCAACGAACGTGTGAAGTATCGAATTATCGAAGAAGTAAGGGAAAAGCGGTTGCATAGTTGGCTGATCAAATAAAAATGCGTATTATTATATTATATATTATGTATCGTCAAATGTATAGCGTCGTTGTTACTTTTTTTATATGTGTCTAGTATTACCCCTTGTTTTGGGCATGATGTAACATTGAGAGATATATACGATTGGTACTTGTATCTATGTGAACCGCTAAAATAGTAAGAACACGCACCCACCTATGCGAGAGCATGTCTTTTGATAACTTCTCCTTTGTTACGCAGAATCTGACTTTTTGCAACATAGCGAGCCATCCTACATGGAAACGACAACGACGGAAGTGGACCCTGAAACTCAGGAAAGGTAAAAATTATCATTTTTACATTTTTAAATCACACTGTACATGTACAACAATATAAACATTAATGACTAATAATTTTTAACTAAATATTTTAACAACATTTTTACAATGTCGATTGTTAAATTAAGGAAGATGAAATTATACTTTGAAAAATATTCTTCTTTTTTAAAAACTCAGGAAAGGTATCAAAATCTCTTTAACATTTTTACATTTTTAAATCACACTGTACATGGTACTTCAACAATATAAACAATAATAACCAATAATTTTTAACTACATATTTTAACAAAATTTTTACAATATCGATTGTTAAATTAATGAAGATGAAATTATACTTTGAAAAATATTCTTCATTTTCAAAAACTCAGGGAAGGTATCAAAATCTATTTATCATTTTTACATTTTTAAATAACACTTTACATGGTACTTCAACAATATAAACAGTAATGACTAATTTTTAACTGCATATTTTAACAACATTTTTACAATATCGATTGTTAAATTAATGAAGACGTTGAAATTATACTTTGAAAAATATTCTTCATTGTCAAAAACACCCTTTAACAAATTCTTATTAAAATTAAGTGATTTCAGTAGTGACAGTATTTGCAACCCCATATTAACCTAATAAAAAATTGTTGCAGAATAACCAGAACTGTACAAGTAGTTACAACGACCAGTGGTACAGACGAATTGCGAGAATCCATGCAGAAGATCGTCGATCAATTCATGATGGAGGAAAGGCGAGATCAGTGAAGCATCATAGGTCTTATGGGGCGATAACATCAAGAAAAGGATCCTTTTGTCGGCCGATGATCGTGCATCGATATTAAAATAGCGTTGAAAGAAATTCTCTGTTACGCTAATCGAAACGTATGTCTAATCTGACGCATCCTCGAGCGTCAGAGGAGACATTTGAAAAAAAAATGAAGCTCGAAGAAAAGATATCTCGATATAGATCTATGTCTTTAATCTAAGAGTAAACGCAAGGTAATCTTTTTTTCTTCGACGCTTTCGAGATCATAGGAAAAAAAAAGTATGCACGACGATTAACTTGTCACACTCATGGCCTACGCTTCGAATTTGCTTGCCTTTCGGTTGCATTAAGTTGCCTTACAAATATTTACGTTTAATCTTGCGATTAAATGAACATATGTCGTCGCTAGTCCGACTAGCCGATCCGCTAGTCTTCACTACGCCAACCCGTCCATGTACAACGCCTTTCTCGTGTTGTTCAAAGCGAAAATGAAAAGGGAGAAGGAGAGAAGAAAGTTAACGAAGCAACAAGCGCTTACATGAACAATGGTGGACGAAAAAGAGAAAAGAAATAGATGATGCAGTTTCGACCAACATTACGGCGATATATACATATAATATATATTTGTAAAACAATAAACGCGAGACAAAATCGAAATGAAAACAGATTTTATGGTGACTTCGCGAGACTCGCCACTCGTCAGTTCGTTTTTTAGCTTTAGAGGATGATTGTAATATCTATCCGCGTAATGCATCGCTTGATATGGGTCAGCTACACTTCAACCACCTTTTCGACGATGAACTGCACACGTACACATACATGCATATATACACAGATTCTAAAAAGAAAGAAAGAACAAAAAAAAGATAGAGTTCTCGTTGCTGTTCGAGCGTAACGATGAAACGAAGAAGAAACGAGAGATAAATGTTTACTCCGATTCGGATAGCAACGAGAAATCGATGTTTTTATGGATCGCAATACAATGTAAATTTAACTTATTTAAAAAGAATATTTCCTAACAATTTTTAATTGTATATATGATAATTTCTTAGCGTAACTTATATAAATGTACTATTATACGATTGTAATAATTGCAAGATTATAACCGTGAATATTTTATTTATATAGCGAAATAATTGGACAAATGTTACACGCATAAATCTTATGATCGAAGAGAGAGAAAATGTTGAACAAAATTATTATAGTTATTCTAAAATAAAAACGAAAAAAAGAAAAGGCATGACCGCTATAGAAAAAATGTGTTGTTTAAACTTCTACGAATCGAAACACGTCTTGATAATTATTTTAAACAGCGTTAGCTTTCAATGTATAACACAGTTTTCAAAGGCACAGAAAGGAATCGTATAGTATGTATTTAAAAAGAACAAAAATATATATATACATATACATATATAAATATACATACTTTTAAATAAGGTACTCTATTAATGTATAATATATTGAAAAAGATATAATTATGCATCTGAAGTTTATAAATTATTATCTATAATGACTGTTATTCTATGTTTAATAGACTTGCCTAGAGCCTATCTGACCTAAGGACCAAAGGCACAATCACACACGCATCAAAATAAACTATTATGCTCCCATGTACTGTCGTATACATTTATTATAACTCGGTAACGGACGTTGCGATACTGGCGTTTAAATATTTCGGCTGTTATAATACATAGTATGTATTATAAGACGGTGGTGGCCAGTTAAGTGACCGTTAAATAACGCACGGACACCGACGTGCTCGAAACTAACCATGGAGATTTTTAAATTTGAACCTTAAAATTTAACCCTTTGAAAATTTGTGAATTTAAGAAATTTGAGAATTTGAAAACTTAAAAATTTGGAAGTATGAGGATTTAGAAATTCAAAAATTTGTAAATCTAAGGACGTAGGAATTTGAAAACTGAAAAATTATAAATCTAAGGATATAGAAATTTGCAAACTGGAAAATTGAGAAATTGTAGAATTTAGAAATTTGTAAATCGAGAAATTGACTTCGTATGTGCTACATGTCCGTCGCTGTCCATCGCCGTTACAGAACAAGAGAAACTGTTCTACATTTTACGCAGTACGCAAAAGCTAATGTAACATGACATGAATTGTTACAATCCACTTACGATAGAATTTTTTTATTCACCGTCATTTCTCTCCAGTATATTAGTACATTTTTTACTAACTATCTATACTCTATTGAGTACGTTTAATAAGAAAACTATGCAGACCACGTAACTTCACTGGCTACGTTTCATATTGTGTTTCACTGAAAGAATTAGTTGAACTACATTTAAGTACTAAATTAAAAATTTAATTTTTTAAGAAAATGTTCAGATTAATATATAAAGTATAAATTATTTATTAATAAGAATTTGTAGAATTTATTTCGATGTAATTAGGAATTTGTTTGACGTAAATTGAGTGACCTATTATGTACTAATATTTATTTGAAAATGTGTGTAAAGCAGTAATGAAATTTGTAACTGCTAAAGTTCCTCTATTTATTTATTTATTTTCTGTTGAATATTTTCTGCCAGCCAGTAATGTTACGCTATATGAACCTGTACACATTTTGTAATTGCCTAAACTCATCAATCTCATTTTTAATTTAATACTAATAGGTTAAACAGGTCCCTCGTGCGAGCAAATTAAAAGTATGTACTCATTTGTTTGATTCTAAGAACGTTTACTAAGAACATTTCATCGAAACTTTGTAATCAACTTTCTTAACAAAATGCGAGAAATCTACAGTGTAACTCGGTATAAACAGGTTTTTTGCGTTAGGTAAACACCAATATTGTTACAACAACATGTAATGAACTGAAGATTCGCCTCAGTATTTTATAACTACACTCTAACTTTAGCTATCGACTTCTTATGACAATTGTTATCGACGTAAAATAAGGTATGTAAAGATTAATTACCATCTCATAGACACGCATCTGAACCAAAATGTATTTAACATTCAGTATCGCATCAGTGCGCTTTTAGCTCTGAACGTAATTTTCTACCCTTGATGGTTCTGTTTTTGTGAATAACGCGTACGCATCGTGAGTCCGCTCTAATTTTCCTCTAATGCTTAGCCCTCCGTAAATATAACGATGTTACATTAAAATTATAATGCCATCGTATGGCGTACGATATCAAAAGTAACAGAGAAAAAAAAGAATATGATTTTATCATGTACTATTGTGTGATAGAGTTATCAACAACGATGTAATAAATAAATTGTTGCATCACAAACCTTGATGTACTTGTAACAAAAAAGGTGAGATATAAAAGATCCGAAATTATACCCGAACCTTTATTTCAATATTTTTGTGGCCCTTGAGGTGCTTTGAATACCTCTTTTAACGAACCAACCCTCTGCTTCGCTTACTTATTTAACAAACATTTTACAACTTTTTTAACGAAATAAAAATAATTAGTTTCTGATGACATCGTTCTACATAAAAGAATTGGTATAAATTAATAAATAAAGTTAACTCGGTATTTCATATATTTTTATTCGTTGTTAACAGCTGACATTAATTTTATTTAGTACACATTCATGGATTTATACAGAAGGTAACATGATATGAATATTCGGATAAATTTTTAATACAGAAATACAAATTATAATATTCATATAATAAACGTGTTATAAATAATTTGTTCTGCTAAATAAGTTGTTTTTAAATACGTATCTGATCTACTTTTTGAACTGTTTCCGAAACTTATTTCTTGACAAATACTTCTAAATAAAATTTCAAATAACCATGATTATGATATACTGTTTCTATAATTCACAATTAATAATTTTGTTCTTAAAATACAATTAGTTATCAGTAAATACAATTACATAAACAAAATAATAGTTGCACATGTAGTTGTATAATAGAGTATTCAATGAAACAATTTGATACATACAAAATAATTGTAAATATAACTATCTATATATAATTGAATTCAACCAAATATGAAGTTATACAATAACTGATTAGTTTAAAATCAAATTTTGGTAACAATTTTATTTTCACAATTGTTAGATTATTTAGGGTAATGTATAAAATATCCTATTAGAAGTAGGACATTGTTTTTAAGGTCACATAAAAATAAAAGACAGGCTATACAGTGAATACAACACGTCTAATAACGCTGATAAATCCTGACAGTCCAGGACTGAAGATTTTGCGCTGGAAATTATTATTATACAAATAAATGAAAATTTATTTATAGATACAGAAAATTGACTACTTATTTCGAAAAAATTTTAATATTTTAATTGCGCAACAAATGGTAGCATCTTGTAAAACAAATAGGTGTTTCCATGCACTCTTGTACCATACCTTTTATTTTTATACTGAAGGTCATCAGATCTGGAAAATTTGACACATTGATTTGTTAATACATCAAATTTAAATATGATGTGATTATAACTGTGCAAATACTACATTTTGTAAATACTACAAAAAGGTCCGATAATTTATTTACATTGTTAATGCTAATTTATATTAAAAATATTAAAGACTCACGTTGTCAACATCATCTTCATCATCATCACTAATTTCATCACCAAATTCAATATCTTCATCAAAGCCATCTTCGACAAAGGTGACAGTGTCGTTGATACGTACTGCAACAGTATTAAAAAGTCAGAATTTAAATTACAGATTAATTCTTAATAAACACAGTGGCAAATTTCAATTTATCGCTATTATAATTTCAAATGTATTGTAATATTTGTATGATTTAAGCATTATAACAAATTGTACATACCAGTTTCAGGAAATTCACCATAAGTTTTCAAATTACGAGCTTCATCTGATGTGTACTTCAATATAACATCAGCTTTTGCATTTTGGTAATCTCTCAAACCAATTAATATTATGTCACCTTGATTAATCCATACTTTTTTCCTCAACTTTCCACGAATGTGACATAATCGCTTGACACCATCAAAGCACATTGCTTCTAACCTTCCATTGCCAAGCATTTTTGTGACTTGTGCATACTCTAAATAAAATGTAAGATCATAAAGACATTCATTAACTTACATTCAAAATTCTATTAAAATCATATAATACATAAAAGATTCTTATATTTATTATTTTTACTTGAAATATTGTTATTGCCAATGAGTATTAACAATAACATATGTCAAAATCGAATTTTATACACATACTTTCACAAAATTGCGAAACCTTGATACATGAAAATATAGTACCGTATATAATGTTCTTAACTTTACCTTGTCCATCTTCTTTGAAAACTAATTCTCTTTTTTCCGTTTCATTTTCATTTTTACCCCTTCTCCTGTTTTTACCTCCCTTTCCTAAAGAAAAAACAAATTTCAGAATAATTCAGCAACAAGGTTTGATTTAGAAAACATTTTCGAACAAATGATTTTAATATCCTATAATATAGCTATCAATTTCGAGAACAAGCTTGACATTAACAGGTTAGAACGAATTAACCACATTGCACATTGGAAATTGCATGACCTCTGTACAGATAATACTATAATTCTCATAAATAAAAGATGCGACACAAAGCGAATGGTTACGTACCCTTATTCTTCGGCATTTTGACTTAACGAAATGTGCGTAAACAGAAAACGTACAGCAAATTCAGATAACAAGAAAGAGCAAATCACTCAATATCCCAAAAGCCAGATTTGCACCATCGAACACCTCGTGGAAAAGACATAGACTACCCAGGAATGTCAAGACATACAAAACTCTATAGGGTTATGACCTGTTTCGTTTCAAGGGAATGAACATTCTATTTAAAAAATTACTTTTATAATTTTTACAACATTCCAACTGCAATATTAAACGCGAAGTTTGTCAAAGTTTAAATATTTATTTGACTAATTGTCAATGACAAGTTGAAAGTATTCGCTTGCCAGGGAAAGTCTAGGGAAATATATTTTTAGCATTTGGTACCTACCAGACAAAAGAGTAAAATACAGCTATTCAAACATTGGTAACAAAGAAATACGGGGGATTAGAATAATTAGTTGTTATAAAAGCTTGTTTGTAAACTATTTAAAAAATGTAAAGAATTTTTGAAGTTAATAAAAGTTTCTTTGCGTGTTATATAAATTTTATCGTTACTGCTTGATGACTAAGCTTTGGGACATTCTTGGAACTGATAATATTGGGTGTCCTGAATAACTGGAATTAAATGTTGAAATATTGCAAATGTTGAATGATATAAAATTTATCATTCTATAACTGAAATTTTATTTATAAACAAGATATAAGAAATGTAAGCTTTTCTACAGAAATAAGTAGTGTAATATTAAAAGAATTTATAATTCAAATATTTCAAATTTTGTTATAAATATTTTAATATAATTAATTTTAATTTTAAAATAAAAATTCTTCTCAAATTATTTTCCTATTTTGATATAAAATTGTTTAGAGAATTAATTTTAATGTACATGTAATAATTTATTATAATAAAATAAAATTTATTATTACAATAAAAGTTATTATAATAAAATTCTATTTTAAACAGCTTGCATTTTATTCAAAAATAAAATTTTGTACAACAATAAAGGATAAAAACAATGTTCACAGGTTAAACAACCAAGACAGAATTTATTTTGTAACATAAAATCTTAAGAATACATATCTGAATTTTATTTTACAATTTTTTATATTTTTACTTCTTTCTTTTTAAATAAAATAAATTATTTAGTCATGCGTACAATGCCTGTTTCGGTAGTGCATAAATAATTAACATGAATATAGTTAACTGTTAACAAATGAATTATAAACAGTTTTTAAATCGTGCAAACGTTCTTAGAAAGCCATAGAAATCTACGGGAAAACGAGATCCAGTGATATGTTGAAAATTTCGTCACTGTATTTTTTATATCCAAAAATTGGAAAAATTTCCATCTGTACAAAATATTCTCACGTGTCGTCAAAATACAACATGTTACAACTTTTGTAATACAATGTTGTAATAACAAAGCCCCTGAATATTACTGTATATTATTTTATCTTGTAGTGGTAACTATTTTATCAACTTTAATAGTTTTTACCCATAATAATATTGGTAACCGTATCTATAAATAACAGAGTATTCTCAATAACAGAATCTACAAATTTTATTACAAGGCATTAAATATTTAAACAGGTTACGAAAGAAGAAGTAAAAAAAAGAGGGGTATTCAATACATCTATTTAAAATTTATAAATACAAAATAAATAAAAATTACCAACGCAAGGTCGCGTTAGATTTAACACGTTCACGACGGGAACCACCCGGGTGGTTAAAGAAAATTTAAGAAATTTTAACACGTCACGAACATGTTAAACAATTGGCATTATTATTGTTTCGTTTATCACTTGCTTAACACTAGGTGGAATTAAAATGTTTGTCGCTGATAATACGTCAGTAATGGATTCTCGTTTGCACAAGTTGTGGACGTCTCACTACTATAAAATGGTAGCTTGTTGTAGTATTCTGACGACCAAACATTGAATTCCATAGCGCAAGCACATTCCATATTAAAACCGTAGCCTGTAACATACGAAAGATATTTTATGTAGTTTAGTTGTGTAATTAATTATTGAATATTGTAGGTAAATATAGCAAGGTGTAATGCGAAAATTAAGTGGTATTAAGTTATGTGGAGGTGCGTATTTGGATCGAGGGTGATGTAACTTGGAATGTGTGGATGACAATTAATGTATGGAATGTGTGAAGTCTATTGTGTATTGGAGAATTTTTTGTGGATGACAGTTTGGGTGGTATTTTATTTCTAGTTATTTTAAAATTGCCAAGATTCTAATTCCTAGGTTCCCAAATTTCCACATTTTAAAATCTTAAATTCTCAGATTCCTCGATTCCAAAATCCTCAAATTTCCAATTCTCCAAATCCCCCAAATCCTTAAATTTTCAAATCCTCAAATTTTCAAATCTCTAAATTCCCAAATCTTCAAAGTCCCAAACCCTCAAATTTCAATATCTCCAAATCCCCAAATCCTCAAATCCCCAGATTCTCAAATTCCCACATCCGCAAATTTCCAATTCTCCAAATCCCCCAAATCCTTAAATTTCCAAATCTCTAAATTCCCAAATCCTCAAATTTCTAATTCTCCAAATCCCCAAAACCCCAAATTCCCAAATCTCCAAATCCCCAAATCCCCAAAACCCCAAATCCCCAAATCCCCAAATCCCCAAATCCCCAAAACCCCAAATCCCCAAATCCCCAAATCCCCAAAACCCCAAATCCTCAAATTCCCAAATCCCCAAAACCCCAAATCCTTAAATCCCCAAATCCCCAAATCCCCAAATCCCCAAATCCCCAAATCCCTAAATCCCCAAATCCTCAAATACCCAAATTTCTAAATCCTAAATTTCTTAATTTCCAAATTCCCAAATTCTTAAATCTTCAAACTATCACACCTCCAAATTCCCAAATTCCTCAATTTCAATATCTTTGCCTCACAGCCCACTTAGCCTTAATAATGATAAGTATGCATGACAAAGTAATGATTTAAGGAACGAAATGTCACAAAAAAAGAAAAACATATTTTCTACAGTGTTTGTTTATCGAAATTCATTTATTATTCTTAGTTCGTCGTCATCGTTACAAGGGGTCATATATCGTACCTGAATGGCCGTCAGACTCCGTATGTCATAATAATTTTATGTTGCTTGGACAGCCATGATTCATTCTGTATTCCACATAGAGCATTCCAGTATTGTGCCAATAGTAAAGAGCCAATACCACTAATAGATGCCACCATTGATGAGAGGAACCGATATAATCCACCCAACCTTTAATTTAAAACAAACAAATATAAAATTTAAAATTATATTACATATAAATTCATGACAATTAAAACTATTATTATAATAAAACTATTTACAAAATTAGATGTGCAAAACGTAACAAAAATATTTTATATAAAACAAGAATTAAATTAAACAGTATTCAAAGGAGTATTTTTCAATAAATTAACTTGTTGAAGCGAATAAACATGGAAAGAGGTTTCAAGGTCACCTTCTAACAAATAAAATTATTACACAGAAAAAGTTTGACTGTTTTTTCCTGAAATAATAGTATATTTTTGGTACAAAAAACAGTGAAGCGACACTAAAAGTGAAACCAAACTTTCGGTTTTTAAATTTAGATGTTAGGGATGTGCTTGATAAATCCTTTTAAGGGACATCAGTAGTAATTCAGTAAATTTTTAATAAAAATTCTTTTGAAAATATTGGTCATTGCTTCAAACACATTAAGTTCATAATTTTCGTTAAATAAATTCTTAAAAAATTCTCCTATATTTTGTACATCAAATGAATCTTCAAACACATAAATGTTTGATCAAATTATTGTTGAAGTTAACTGAACTGCAACCACATTGGTCGTAACCACAATATCATAAAATCGAATAATAATAAAGCATTCTTTTAAGGAACATCAGTAGCAATTCAGTAAATTAATAAAAACTCTTGTAAAAATGTTGGCCATTGCTTCAAACACATAAAGTTCATAATTTTCGTTAAATAAATTCTTTAAAAATTCTCCTATATTTTGTGGATCAAATGAATCTTCAAATACGTAAACGGTTGTTGAATGATCTAATGGTTGTTGAAGTTAACTGAACTGCAACCATACTGGTCGCAAACATAATATCATAAAATCGAATAATGATTAGGCTTTCAATCGTCTGGAATTACCTGGACAAAATCGTTCTGGTATTTTGCTCAAATAAATAACAAATGCTCCACCACTAATGACATACATTCCTAATACCCTTGGAAGTAACATTCTAACGATCGGGTTGTCCATCCCGCCCATAGCAATGCTCCAATGCAACGTTGGCAGCACTCCATAAGCTGCCCATGCGACAAAAACGACTAGCTTGATATTTCCATCAATATCCAGCATTTGTAGGATCATTGCGAATACGAAAATGGCCAGCACGGTTATTAGATAAAAACTCTGCAGCTCCTGTGGACAAATTACGATTCTGTGGTAAAATTACGATTATCACTTACTGCAAATTTCCAGGGTTTAGAAATGGACGCTTCAGAAATTTGTATAACTAAGGAAATAATTGAATAACTAAAGATATGTGGATGTAAGATATTGCAAACGAAAAGTTTTAAATGAACAAATTATGTGGTAAAATTACAATTATCATTTATGTCAAATTTCCAGGGTTTAAAAATGGACCCTTCAGAAACTTGAATAATTTAAATAAGTAAAGAAATAATTAAACAACTAAAGATACGTGGATGTAAGATATTGCAAACGAAAAGTTTTGAGTGGACAAATTATGTGGTAAAATTACGATTATCATTTGTGGCAAGTTTCCATTGTTCAGAAATGATGAGTACAGAAATTTGAATAATTTACATAAGTAAAGAAATGATTGAATAACTAAAGATACGTAGATGTAAGATATTGGAAACGACAAGCTTTAAGTGTTACGAGTTTTACATTGCGTATTGATCCAATATTCAGTTACATAATTTTGTTCACCTTGTGACACCAGAAAGCGTAATAAACTCCAGACATGTATATCGACAGAAGGCTCAGCGCGATGCCAAATAAATCGAACGATAAGAAACGCCAGTAATCCTTTTCGCTTCGACAGGAGAATGTATGGTACACCGACGATAATATCATGCAAGCCTGAAACAGTTTTGAAATTACAGTTTTTGTGAAGACAGAATTAACCCTCTCAAATACTCTTTCCACGTTCACAAATTCTCAAATACCCAAATTCTCAATTTTTCAAATTTCCAAACTCCCAAATTCTCAATTTTTCAAATTTTCACATCTTCAAATTCTCCCGTCCCCAAATTCTCAAGTTCCCAAATTTTCAATTTTTCAAATTTCCACATTCCCAAATTCCCACGTCCCCAAATTCCTACATTCCCAAATTCTCAATTTTTCAAATTTTCACATCCCTAAATTCCCACGTTCCCAAATTCTCAAATACCCAAATTTCCACACCCCCAAATTCCCACGTTCCCAAATTCTCAAATACCCAAATTTCCACATCCCCAAATTCTCACGTTGAATTCTCAAATTCCCAAATTTCAAAATTCCCTAAATTCCTATTTACTAAATTTCCTAGTTCCCAAATTCTCAAATCCCAAAATTTCCTAATTCCCTAGATTCCTAGTTTCCAAATTCGCAAATTCCCAAATCCTTAAATTTAAAAATTTTTAAATTCCCTAGATTTCACGTTCCCAAATTCTCAAATACCCAAATTTCCACACCCCCAAATTCTCACGTTCCCAAATTCTCAAATACCCAAATTTCTACATCCCCAAATTCCCACGTTCCCAAATTCTCAAATACCCAAATTTCCACACCCCCAAATTCTCACGTTGCCAAATTTTCAAATACCCAAATTTCTGCATCCCCAAATTCTCAAATACCCAAATTTTCACAACCCCAAATTCTCACGTTCCCAAATTCTCAAACACCCAAATTTCGACATCCCCAAATTCTCAATTTCCCAAATCTGCAAATTCTCAAATTTCCACACCCCAAAATTCTCAAGTTCACAAATTCCCACACACCCAAACCTGCAAATTCTGAAATTCTCAAAATCTAAAATTCCATAAAGTAATAACTTGATCAAACAGACAAAATGGATAAATATTTGTGAACATTACCTGGAAACAGATTAGTAAAAGAGTCACTATGACTTTGTCACCCATGGGTGCATGAATATTCAGCAAACAAAGGTCGTACAAGGTCAGACCGAAAAACAGCATCCACCCAAATATGTGGCTCCATATGTTTACTGTCTCGTTTGTCCACCAGAATATGCTGAAATATTTCATTTTCGTCAATAAAATATACCAAACTATATCAATTATGAGTTAGTTTTGATCAATTATGAATAACTAGATTTATTTATATTCATATTCAAACAACGTATTCAAATATGTTTCTTATGCCTGGTACGTCAGTTTTTTTTTAAAACAAATAAATTTTAAGTTTTTTATCGTTTGATATACTTTTTATATCTTTAAAAGAAAATTGAGAAAAATTGCAATATTTACTATTTACACAAGTCTGTGTTTTTACCGAACAATTTTAATTGAATAAAGTATTTGAAATAATTAAGGTATTTACAAATAAATATCTCATGTGGTATTCTGTGTTTTTATATAGTTTCTTAAAGTAATAAAAGCAGTCACACTTTTGACAAAATATTGTATATGATAATGAACATGTGTTTAAAAATTGTATAAAGTTCTTTGCAAATCATATTAAAAAGTTAGTAATAAAAGTTACAAACCTTTCGACGCATAACTTTGTGGTAAGATAGCCTCGATATCCACGACGAATATACGGGTTGTGCTGAAGATATTCAGGAGCTTCTTTGTAAGAAAGAAGACGTTTCATTTTCTCTTCATCTTCGTGCGTAACTTTACCATGGATCGGCGAATCTTCAAGCTTTCTGGCAGGTGGGTACACCTGAAGAAAATTGTGTGCTTCATTTAACATGTACAAAATTCTCTTTCTAAAATATTTAAATTTTGATCTTAGAACAGCATATGACATTACAAAGTTTAGGATTAAAATTTGATCAATTACATGTGGTTGTGAAAGTTAGAATTTTGCAAAATTATGGTATGCGCCTTCTTGAAATTGAAGAAAATTTCAAGTCGAAAATTTGAAGACCTGTAAATTCTTTAATTTCTAAACTTTAAGTTTGTGAATTTGCAAATTTGTAAATTCTATAAATTCGTAAATTTGTAAATTTGTAAATTCTATAAATTCGTAAATTTGTAAATTCGGAACATTGAAACTAAAAATGTGTGAATTTCAATATTCAAAAATTAACAAATTCTTAAGTTTGAAAAATAGATTTGTCAATGCAAAATGTTGAAGCTATAAATACACAAATTTCAGTATTTAAATCTTAACGTTTACAAAAAAAATTGTTCTTAAATCTAAAAATGATAAAAGTAGAAGTAGATGATAGAAGTAGATTCTTTTTCCTAAAAAAGAAATGAGTTGTCATCATATTATCACCGCAAAAAATTGCAAACGAAATCTTTTATTTCACAGCAGCAGAAAAGAGCGATCGAAACCAAAGTGCAGTGACCGCATCTAACTACACCTGTTCAAATTCGCGCGACTTCCTCCGAAAGAGTCAAAGATACTCCGAAGATTTCACCTCCCACTAATCAATTTTTCATGCAATACTTGATTGCTCCTATAATTATACCACATAAAAGATTTTAGGATGTTATTTCGAAGTTGCTACCCAAAGATGCGAAAGCTGTGAAGTAGGTCGCAACGGTACTTGCCTTTCATCTCAGTGTGTCAAGTTTATACCGCGGGCTTTCTTCTTCGCCTTCGCTGCGTATCTTTCACTAGCGAAATCGATTTTTCACTTCGCTATACTAGTAACCGTGTTACACTGTATCACTACAGCATCATGCTCTTCCGCGACAGATACAGGATATCTCGTGTAAGTGTCGCCGCAAAGTTTCGAGATCTTTACGAGAAAATGGCGGATACTGTGCTTAACCCTTAACTCTTGCGTTCAGTTGCGAATATGTGATATAAAGTAATATAATATGAAATTTATGTAATTCAAAATTTATTATGGAGGAAGTAGTCTATTGGGTTATTAGTTTTATTGTAAGATGCATTCCCTGTTAAATTATTTTGAGATATTTGCTGTATAGCTAAAGTTGCGAATATGTGGTATAAAGTAATATAACATGACATTTATGTAATTTAAACTTTGTTATGGTGGAAGTAGTTTATACAGCTATTAGTTTTATTGTAGTATATATTCCCTGTTAAATTTTGTTGAGATATTTGCTGTATATCTAAAGTTGCGAATATGTGGTATAAAGTAATATAATATGAAATATACGTAATTCAAATTTTATTATGGAGGAAGTAGTCTATACAGCTATTAGTTTTATTGTAGTATATCTTCCCTCTTAAATTTTGTTGAGATATTTGCTGTATATCTAAAGTTCCGAATATGTGGTATAAAGTAATATAACATGAAATTTATATAATTTAAACTTTGTTATGGAGGAAGTAGTTTATAGAGCTATTAGCTTTATTGTAGTATATCTTCCCTCTTAAATTTTTTTGAGATATTTGCTGTATATCTAAAGTTCTGTTTATGTTACAGTAATGTATGACAAAACTTCAAAATTTCAAGATTTCAAAATTTTACAGAAGTTGTAAATTAAGTTTGATTAACTTGAACTCTTAATCTTTCGTCGTACTCTAACTTGCAAGCACACCACATAAAATAATATAATTTAATTTCTACAATGATAGAAAAAGTTTAAATAAAAATTACTAATTTTATTGCAGAATATATTATCTGTTAAATGTTTTTAGAGTGTGACACTTCGGTGTATATATATCTAAAGTACACTTAGTTTATGACACAATATATAACAAACCTTTGAAATAGTCCTCATATTTTACAGAACTATTGCGATGTTTAAAAATTTCGCGACGACATACGCAAGACTGCATAATTACACGTGTTGTAGAATTTAGGATAATTGTAGTTCGGAACTGCAATTTAAACTGAGTGATAATTATACATATTATCGTTTCATTTTTTCAAAGGTACTACGACAGTATATTAGTTAAGCGAGTAAAATAAGAACACTTGAAATAAGATTTTTGAAGAAGGTTTTGTCTATCAAACACCTATAACTCCATATTACATTTATTGTACACATTGTAGCAATAAATATTGTACATGTAAAATATTGATCATACATGTACATGTATTGAAGATACTAAAAACTAAAAAATTTCATTGATAATTTAAGAACTTAATATAATTTATTCAAAAACTTCACTATGACATAATAGATGATTAGCATTGTTAAATTATTACAAGTAAAAATGTATTATTAATCTTGGCTGTCATTAAACATTAAACAGTAAACACGAGTGTAATAGTAAAATAGTAAATATGAGTGTAAATAGTAAATATGTGTAATACAATTCATATTAGTAACTCTAATTACCGCATTATTGTACACGTGTTTCATATTCAAGATTTCAAAATTATGTTTCTAAAGAATATTAAAGCTTAATTTGCTTTTCAAATTTTCTACGTCTAGTGCCATCAGCAATGTGTATTCTTGTGACTTTAATACTCTTATTTTTATAGAGCTAATTGTTTATAAATACTACATTTAAATTATAAGAGTTTTGTTTATTTATTCAAGAGTGTAGAATATGTTTTTACTTTGGACATATACGAACGTATTCGTATTAAGTTATAACCTTTTCGATGACAATGATTTGCTACTCACGTTAGAAATTCAGTGTTTAACCTTGATGCAAATCGAATAAGAAACGGAGAGTCGAAGATGTGAATAACCTGCGCAGTCGTAAACACACGACAATGTTTTGCAAAACTGTTCTAAAGAAATGGAGCATGAATACGATTGTTATGAGAATTACCATATGATTTAGTTAATTATAGGCTGTTCAGAGTGAAAGTCGAGAGCCACAAATATGGACGTATGTGACCACAATCTTTCTTCCGTTTTGTTAAAAAACAACGGCGGTTTTTACTGTTTCCAGTTTAGAAATCAACCATCTAGATTGTTGTAAAGATATATTTTCTTACTTCAACATAATACTGTCTTCACGAATTTCTATTTGACAAAATTGTAGTTCACTATTAAACCCATCACTATTAAATCGTAAATGCAATTTGTTTTTCACACGTACTCAGTTTTGCCATTTTGTGTTATTTATGAAGCTAGAAGCCTTTTAATTATAGCAGAAAATTAAGTTTAATCTCTTGACTTTTAATGTAAAGTCAGACACGTGACGCACGTTACAGTTCAAACGTGGCATAAGTCATGTTTGCATAAGAATGTAAATTTGAACTCAATACAATTGTAATTTGAAGAACTAAAAATCTCCATTTGAATAATTAAAGCTAAAATAACATTTCATCTTAACATTTTAGTAATAAGTGATGTATCTAAAAAATCATAGGTTAAGTGGTTACGAATACTATATAAATTAGATTATGACCTCTTTTCTTATTTTAATTCCTAGAATATTTTTCTATTGTCTTTTTAAAGTGAAATAAAATTAATCCTCTCACAAAGTATAGTTCAACAATCATGCAGTATAAACAAAGTATATAAATAAAGTAATTGTGTCTTAAAAAACGTGAATACACGTGGACACACATTTTTTAATTTTGACGTCTTCCTCCATTAATAGAAAAGCGTCAAAAATTCATCAGTTTAAAAATTAATTCGATATCGATTTACTACGTTTTCGGTTGACCTTTCAAGAAAAATTCATCGCAGCAAATAAATTCAGTCACAATTATAAAATGGTGTAAGATAAAATGGATTAATGGAACCATTTTGTGCAGCAGCAAAAGTTAAAAGGTGTATTTACCTCATCAGTGAGTAGCTTGACCGTCTCTTGTACGATATCTGTATTCGGTTGTTTCTCATGATTATTGTTGTGGGACTGCTCATCGCTCTGCTTCTTTTCGTTTTGATCGCTCACCTCTTCCACGCCAGCTAGTAATTTCATCATTGGAAAGAGTCGAATATCTTACTTGGGAGTCTGCAAAGGAAAAAAATAAGTGTGTCAGCCGGATAAGAAACGGTGTGGTATAGAAAGGTCTCACTTGCTCTAACAATTCGACGTGCATTAGGTAGATTTTTTTTTTAACTGTACTTTTGTAGCTTTCCGCTGTTTAGCCGATTGTCAAGGAGCTGATAACGGTTGCTTACTGCTTATTAACGACACGTTTTAGTCACGCGAACTTAATTTGGAACTTTAATTATTTTAGAGTGTTAATATCGTTGGAAAGAATCTTCAGTATTTGTAGAATGGGGAAAGTGTTGAATTTATAGTCTACAGGTTATTTTGCTAGAGGAACGTTTTAACTACTGAGGTAGAGAAATATAAAATCTGTTGAGGAATTAATCTTTATGGGTTTAAATTATAATTCCATGAAATTATAATCATAAAGCATGATTTCAGATTGAATAGTGTTTGAAATTTTTACATTTTAGCATTCAAAAATTTTGCAAACTTATACTTTGCAGATTTCACCAAAATGTTTGAAATGTTTACATTTTAGTATTCAAAAATTTTGCAAACTTATACCCTGAAGATTTCATCAAAATGTTTGAAATGTTTACATTATAATACTTAAAAATTTTGTAAACTTAAACCCTGAAGATTTCATCAAAATGTTTGAAATGTTTGCATTTTAGTATTCAAAAATTTTGCAATACCTAGAAAATTTCCGATATAATAATTAAAAGTAATTAAGCAAGGAAGACATCTAACATAGCCAAGTACTATATTGACAATGAAAGGCAACAAAATTGAAAACCTACGTTACAAAATTGAATCATAGAGTCTTGAATAGCTTTACAACGTTACTATACGCGTCCATTTTCGTTGTGGCAATCAACGTGTTAAAGTGTTAAGGAGAAACTACTCTGAATACGGACAAAAATTGATTGAACATCCTACAACACAATAACGAATTAAACGATATCTCAGTGTGTGTTTGTTAAAGAACGAAGTGACATTAATTACGTCCGTTTAAATATTAATTATATAAAGAGCACACTCTGTTTGAAAAGTAATGTTTTAATTATTTAAGTGCTTATTATGTTCGAACTGTATATTCGACGTGTCAACGTATTAATTACTACTATAAACATAATTATCTCTTTTTTTATACATCAGATGCAAATAACGTAAATAATCATTGGTTCAACCACCATTTTAAAAACTCGTATGTCGTGCGACTAATCACCGTGCTGCATGCAACATCCTCGTCAAAGAATATGAAGATAAAATAATAAAAAGACGCAGAAAATTGCTGCTTCTTGCACGGAACGGATGGAGAAATTTGTACGACACGGAAGGAACTTTGTTATAAGAAAAAAGTGAATGCCCCTTGTTTCTAAACTTTGGTCTTTTACGAGACATTTCTTTAACGAACTGTGCGTGAAAATACGATGTTTTTTGCCGATAAACAGAGATTCTTGCATGCATTGCTAAGCACGTTCAACAAAGAATTTCAGGAAAATTGTATCTCACGATTGGCTATTTTATGCTCTTACACGGAATCCGTTCACTCTCTCCTGCGCGCTGAATGATCTCTCACGTTTAATGTACGAGAAAGTCGAGGCTCTTCGAAACTCGTTACGACTAGGTTTCTGCTTTGAAAAACTTTGTTCCTTGTTTTTAAAATTTTTGTCAGGTGTAGTAACAGATATATGTCTTGTACCGAAGTGATTAATTTCTCAGTCTTGTTTAAATGTTACTCTTCAGAAAATACCTTTAGAAAATTCATTATCATAAGATTTCATAAAATTTACGTATTTAAATACTTCAAAAATTTTAAGCACCAGAATTAACAAATTTTAAAGTGTCAAACTCCTAAAATCGTAAAGTTTAGAATTTCTAAAATTCAAGAGTTATAAAACTCTGAAGTCCCAAAGCAAACCCTAATGTTTAAAAATTGAGAAATTTAGAATTGTTTATGTACCTATGTCAAAAAGCGTAAAAATCCAGCAAAGCGTGTAAAATTAAGAGAAGTCAGAATTCTAAAGCTTAAATTGAGGAATTTGGAAGTTTTATATTCAGAAATATTCATGATCCACTGGTGATGTAGAAACCACTGGAAGATGACATTGAAAAGAAAATGTATTATTAAAAGAAATTAAAAATCTAATACCAATCATTTCTAAAGAATTACTGATTCAACATGAAAATAATAACTTATTGTATACAGACAAAATTTATTTTTCAAAATATATCCAGTATCACACAATAAACGGAAGCAAAGAACTTCATGCAAAGAATACAACTACTAAAATGGCGGCCTTAAATTTATTGCATGCCTCCTCAAATTAATCTCTAGATATGTAAACACTTTGATAAAATAATTAAGATTGAATCTATTCCATTTTCAAACTTTCTCTTCCTCTTTACGAACTATTATACCTTCTCCTGTACAGTCATTGAAAAAATATTTTTTCAGATGATAAATCGTTAGAGGGAAAGAAAGTTGTATAACAAAAAAGAAATTTCTATAAAACATGAAGTTCAAATATCTCTGTCACTATCGAGAAACACGTGCGTGTAGGAAGTTGTTTCTCTTCGGAAGGCTAACACCACTTTCTAAAACATTGCTCTTCGAATCATTTACAAATCATAGATTTTACATAAATATCAATGAAAATGAAGATGAAATGAAGATCAATGAAAAAAGTACATAAAATTTGTAGATAAGAAACAAAGGATATAAGAACAAAGGATCAGTTGAAATTTGGTTTTTGACAAATTATTCAAACGTATGCACCTGTAAATAGCGTCATGAATATTCAATTTGAGGCTGGATAAAGATTAATATTGATGAATGTTCTTTCATGTTCTTCGATAAACAACGACACAAAGCGAAGTAAAAAGATTAAAATTAAAAGAAATTGCTTTTCGAGTATTCTAAACGCGATTCGTAACAAAGTCGGAAACGTTACAAAAAATTAGTATACTCGCAATTTAAATCTGATCAAAATTCTTTAGCCGTTCTCTTGAACTGATTACCTATTCCATTGACAATTCATGCAACGAATAGTCGAAAATTGCAAATTTTCTTTGTAAATCATCCTTGAGTTTGAAGGAAAGGTGAGAAACTAGCGTGTGACTTAGTCACGTCAAATAAAAGTATTTGAAAATGCACAAACTTGCAAAATAATTCACTGTTGAGAAATATTTAAAATTGCATTGGTTTTTGAGGAATATTATGTACTATTTAACAAAGTTCATGTAAGTGACAATTATTGTTTTTTCTTTGTAAGATCAAAATTTTTGCTGAACTCTGAAATTAATATTCACTCTTTGTTTTATTTACTCTTTGTTTCAATATACACCGATATGTAATATGATTGTATATTTGTAATTATAATTTCAAATTAATATTTCTTAGGGTCTACACCAATTATTGACAGCATAGATAACGCGGTTTTTCTAAAAGATAACTTAGAATAACGAAGCTTGTTATAACTGCTACGCGTGATGTCAAACACGCAACCGTCAGCGAGTACGTTGAAAAAATTGATCAAAAATTCACTGTACAGATTAATTATCTCGTTTATTGCGACTGTTTAGCGAAACATACTTAACGTCACTTGGACTTAATGGAATGAACGTAATTACAGTTTTGAAAAACGTGTTTTTAAGACAAATTATTCATATAAATCAGTACTAAAAATGATCAAAGAAATGTCAAGTTTTGCAATTGTGCATATAAAAACGATTGCGGCTGTTGAAAAACTCGGATAACTATTCAAGAGTCAGCCTGAAACGTATTAGAAAGTAAAATACATATCAAAAGAATGAAATATGTTAACAAATAAAAGTAAAATACTGTGTTTGTTCAGTAAAATGCTTTGAAGACTTTTGCTTCAAATTCAGAGTGAAAATGAACGTCACAGAGAAGTAAATGTACATTCAAACGGGACATTTGACCCATTAAACTTTTTTTAAATCAAGCTACTTTTTAAATCCTGAGACAAAGAATTATTTTATGTTTCACCGTTTTTAATTTTAAGTGACGAGTGTACACCGGTAGTAAAGTATCATTTGCCAGTGAAGACTGACAGGAAGTCTTCACAAACTGACAGTCAAGAAAATATTACCCGTTTCAGCCGACAACTCTAAGACTAAAATGCAATTTGTCAGTGAAAATTTTCATCTAGTCACACATCTCTGTGAACACGTGTTCTCGAGCAAACGTTTGACACCGCGTCGCTCACGCGCTATTTTCAATTACCACTTTACAATGATTTAGAACGTTCCTCTTAGTTAAGTTCTAACAATCGCGAGTGTCGATTAATGGTACATTAAGGTGATACGTACCATTCGACTATGGCCGGTGTCAATCTGTACGCGTTCCCCAAGCGATCCGTTTTCGAAAAAAGTGCCGACGGATGTTGAAAATCAATCGAACGTCGATATATCCTTAAGACGGTCAGCTGGTGATAAGTGTGACACCCTGTCCCGCCGAGTGGTGTGCGAGCCGAGAACAGCACTGACACTGAATAAACCGCACCGCAACCAGACGGTCCAAAGCGCCGCTCGATAGATCGAAACACGTGCTCGTACTACGAACTAGCGATGGACTCGACTCATTCGAACAAGTAACCGGAGCGACCGAAGCTTCATCTGGCTCTAATAAAATTGGCGGGATTTTGTTCACGGACTTTTCACTGTTTTGTAGTTTTATGGTTTATTGGTTTGTAGTTATGCTTTACTGTTCGATTCAGTAGTGAAACGGGAAGTTTTCGAGTTTCTAGATTTGCAAACTTACTAATATACAGGTTTTCTAATTTGTCAGGTTTCAGTTCCCAAATTTAAGTTCATAAATTTTCTAATTCTTAAGTTTGTAAGTGTGCTAGTTTTGAAGTTGCAGATTTTCTTAAACTTGCAGATTTTCAAGTATTAATTTCTTAATAATCTTTGGAGACTTGTAGCTCGTATTTTGACTATTTGTTCAGGGATGCTTAATGACAATTATTAATATATGATGTACATATGATGTGCATATATTATTGTACACAACGTGTGATGTACATATGACGCACATATACTATGCACAACGTATGATGTACATATGATGTACATATATTACTGTACACAACATATGATGTACATATATTACTGTGCACAACGTATGATGCACATATGACGTACATACATATATTACTGTACAAAACGTATGATAAAACATTCTTTTAATGACAGCAATAAAATGACCTTAAATCAGCAGTTGCTCCAACAAATTTTTGCTGAGAAGATAAATCAATAAAAATCTTTAGGATGCAATAAATAAAATTACACGTTCCAATAACAGATCAATAACTCCAAATATAAGCGATTATTTCCTCCCATTGATATTGTGTTTACCTGAATTATAGTTTCATACCATTCCAAGCATCCTAGTAATGCTATAATGATAATCTCAGAAAAGTCTGCGCAATGTTTATAAAACGTATTATATAACTATTAATTACTTCCTACGTATGTAATATACATAACCGTAATTACTATGAATGCAGTACTTCTCCAAGAATTGTAATTCATTCTTAAAGTTTTATCGCATTAATACAATTACATCGAACTTGTTTCATTACCCACGGTTTGTACAAAAGATAAATACTTTTTATTTAGGTATCACAAACACGATAAGTCTTTGTGAGAACTAAAATTAATTTCGGCAGTCTTATCTCAGTAGCTACTTTATACTACTTTCGTAACATTTACATATTTGAGTTTCCGTAAACAGGAAAGATTAATATTCGCACTTCATGAAAGATTAATACTCTTTTTTTAGATATTATGGAGTAAATTTTTTTCTTGTGAACTGCTTTTAATTCTGCCATTTTCAATTTGCTACTTAGGTAGATTAGATTGAATTTTTTACACTTTTATACTACTTACGTAGGATTTTAGTGTGGCTACTTTTTATTTGAGCTTAATGCAGTTATTTAATGTGATTGTGTATGTAATTTCTTATCCTTATTCGATCTTGAAACTTGTACGTATTTTATAAGTAATGAACATAATGAGTCTTTCAGTAATTAACATTATTATGGCCTGATTACTTTATATAATATTTATATCATTCAATTGCATTTTTAAATAAAAATAAATGCTCTATTTAACTAGCGTGAATTGTTATTAATTTTTGATTATTTTTCTCAAAAAATACAAGAGATTTTCTCAAAAGACAAGAAATGTTTTTAATAATGTCAGTAATTATGAAATGTGCTATTTATTTATGTTTTACAAAATATCAGAATTTCATAATATATGCTATATAATACAATGTATTATTTTATTTAGCATATTTGCAACACAACATTGGTTTAAATTAAACATTTCTACGTTATTATACAATTGCCTTATTTAGATTTAATATATGTATTTTTATAATATACATTTCTAATTTAGAGAATCAATATTTTTTATTTACTTTTAATATATGAATCCGATAAATCTTTTTATGAACGAATATTCATTACTTTTATCGTGGTATCTGGTTATTTCGTACCATGTACCTGGAATTCATAAAAAAAGGAATGTTCTTTCTTTAGCCACTGTTATTATATTGTGCAATCCATGAATCATTTTGTACACAAAGTACTGCACTGACACAGAACAAAGTAGTCCAACCATTCTCAAACAATCAGTATAAAATTATTGAACAGTAATTGGTTATTAGTACAAAATTATACTATAAAATGGACTAAAAAATGTAAATTCCCATGATTTCTTACGAGTAAGCTAATTTCTAAGAATATACCTTCTGAAGAAATAAAAAATAATTGACTTCATTTTAATTTAAGAACTCGTACATTGTTAAAATATTATTACTTCTCACACATTATATATTTTACTTATGCACCTATTATTTTTATCTATAGTGTCAGTCTCAAATCATTATGCGATATATTACTGTGTTAGATCGACGTGCGTTGTATACTGTTAGATTGCCATAAATTATGCAGCTACTCCTTAAATTGCCGCATATTAAATTACTACGCATTGTTAGATCACTGGGTGTACATATAGTTACACTTTATATAGCCACGTGTTTTACACTTATGCATCATATGTTAGATTATCGTATATCGACTTGCGTTTTATAGTCATGCAATATATCACCATACATTAAGTACTCCGAGAAAAGGAGATCCACCTGCTAATTAAATACACGAATGATTTTAATCCTACGCTCAAAATAAATAAAACTAATTCAGATAATATCAATTGCATTGCACCTATATTCTACTAAACTCGATAAAATTATGTCTCATAAAATGTTGCCGAATTAGCTTTCAAAAGATTTATGAAAAATTAGAAACCGTTACAAGTTTCCTAATGTTGAGTATTAACCGAATAATTAAGCGAATATTACTGGACCGAGGAATTTGCAGATAGTGCCAGCTTTCTATTCTTTTCACGTTAAGATGCTAGATAGGAAGATCCTTGGTATACAGTACATTCCATTGTTACATGTACAAAAATGACAAAGACGTACTTAATACAGGGTTTGTCCAATAAGTATCCGGACTGATTTTTTTCTGCTAGTTTGGTAGGTTAGGGAGCAATCTCTATTAGCTAGATCGATGCGGAAAGTTGTTATGTATAATAAAAATCTAGGTTCATTTGTTTTCCACCATTTGTTTCGTTTATATCGTGCTTGAAGTGGAAGCGTATTTAACGTTCGCGTCGAGATTGAAGATGCAACGAAACATCGAGCAGCGTTGTGCGATTAAATTTTGCGTTAAGCTAAATAAATCTGCTACGGAGACATTTAATATGATTCGTCAGGCCTACAAGGATGATTCCATGTCCAGAACGAGTGTTTTTGAGTGGCACAAAAATTTCAAAGATGGCCGTGAAGACGTTGAAGACGAGCAACGCGTTGGACGACCGTCGTCGTCCCGATCCGATACGAATGTCGACAAAGTGCGGGAAATTTTGAATTCCGATCGCCGTTTAAGCATTCGTTTAATTGCACAGGAATTAAATTTAACGAAATCCATTGTTCATTCAATCGTAACCGACGATTTGCAAATGCACCATCACGACAACGCGCCGAGTCACACGTCGTTAATTGTGAGACAAATACTGACGAAGCATAACATCACAACACTACCCCAACCACCCTACAGTCCAGATATGGCACCCTCTGATTTTTTTCTGTTCCCTCGCATTAAAAGAAACCTTAAAGGACATCGTTTCGGGACGATTGAGGCGGTTCAAGCGGCTTCGACGGAGTGCCTGAACAGTCTTACGCTTGCCGACTTCCAGGAAGCGTATAAACAATGGAAAACCCGCTGGCAACGGTGTATTGATGCAGGAGGGGCATACTTTGAAGATTATTAACTCAATGTACGTATATCTTCAACGCACTTCATTTTAGGACATCAATCCGGATACTTATTGGACAAACCCTGTATTAAAGACTGCATTATCATAATTGATTGTATTGAACACAATACCGAAAAAATGAATATCATTTCTACAGAAATTGAAATAACGTAAGTAGAACGCACGCACCTTGACGACCTACATGCATATGTATTTTATATACGCAGTATCCCCGTTTTGTGAATAAAAATAAAATCAGTAAAATGACGAATTGATGATTCTTATTAAACGAATTTTTAGTTATGTTGAACGAAGGTAAAAATCTTCGAAACAAGCAGAAGTGATTTTTTACTCTCATTTATTATTTTGTATGTGTAACAGCATTTTTTAATTAAGCTTGAATAAATTACGACGAAATAAATTGCTTGAGAAAATGTTAATATCTGTGTCATAATATCCTTAGTATGTCAAGAAGTAATTAAATCGTCACTGTTTTGTCATTAATATCGATATAAAGTTGCTCATTATAATCTTTAGAGATCCCCAGCATAAATGGGAATAATTAATAATTTAAGCTGGTTCTGCATTGTTAAAAAATTCAGAAATTTAGATATTTAGAATTTTAAAAAATTAGAAATGTATTCTCAAATTATTAGGTTTGTACAACTTTTTAAAATTAGAAAAGCAATGAATGAATTTCAAATTTTCATTCGTTTCAAAACTTCCAGTGCAATAATATTGCAAATTTGAATATCTATTACGTCAATAATCTTAGTCCATTTTGAACTAAATTAAGATGATCAGATAATTGTTAATTACAAAGATAAATTGTGTAGATATTTAGTTTCCAAATTAATTGATCAGGCGAGGATACGCTTATCTCCATCGCTGAATATGCTACCTCAGCAAGTTTCTGCCAACACTGCAGTAAAATACAACGGTCAAGAGCGACCAGGGCAAAAGGGGGAAAGCCTTTGCCACTTTCACCGTTCCTCTTCTTTTTTAACATATCGTAAGCTTCCACATTTGACTCAACAACAGTTTCGTCCTTCGTGAAAGTCTAATAAAGACATCTGCTGGTTCACTCGCGTACCTCGGACTTCTAATTATACAAAGATATTTTATTTGTTCCAAGTTCACTGTCTGTGAATGGACTATAGATGGTAAAACTTTGGATCAATCAACTATATACCGAGGACAATGATTTCACCTTAAAAGTTTCATAAACAGCTAAGAAATTTATGAAAGGAGGTATAGAAAATTATACTCATTGTTACATGAGTTGAGAACTTTATTTTGTCAAAGATTTTGTTTTAGAAATTTAAATAATTTTATGACAATGGAAGAAAATATTTGTTAAAAAGTGTTCGAATATTGAGAAAAGAAGAAACAATCACAGTAGTAAAATTTAGGTCCAAGTAGAATTTGAAATAGATCGAACAATATGATATTTTGCTATTCAGCAGTGATTTCGGTAACAAATGATTAAAAATTAAGATGCTAGGTTTTATCGTCATATGGAATTTATTATATAAAGGGCTAATGCTAAAATAATAATTAATTATAATATATGTATATATACATATCCATGTACGTATGTATATATACATATATATAATAATAATTACACATGAGATGTGATAATAATAATTAATTACACATGAGTAGTTTCCTTCTAATAGAGATGAACGATGATTCACTTTCGGGGTTGGGGGCAAATATTTAAATACCTGATTTGCCGCGTGTTTACTCGTAATTAAATTACAGCAGTATACGTTCGTACGAGACAAAATCGACATTAACAAGTGGTATACCATATTACATACTAATCGATTTGTCTTCTCTAGGCTTCGTACTCGCTCTGCGTTTGCCATACTTTTTAAGCACCGATTTACAATCGAGACGTTGATCGTTTACACACTTTACACCATTCGCAAGACAAAATCGTTTACTTACTCTCTAATTAAGTGATCATCTTTACGATGTCTCGGATTTTAAACATTATCTAGGATTAGAAGCCGAAACACTGCCAGCACCGGCAAAGGGGTGCATCGTTTCTAGATTAATTTAAACAAACTAACAATGAACGACACGTTGTGTACCAACGTGTTCTTCCATCATGTAAAAATTATTATTAGGTAGATTTTTTTTGGGAAATAATTTCGAATCTTATTGCAGTCCTTTGCAGCCACAATATACACATATGAAAAATATATAGCATTGAAAACGTATCACGGTATTAGTAAGACTAAACTCTATTTAATGGTCATTTTATTTGAAGAGTTTTATAACATTAGTTTATACGAATAGTATGTACTTATATTGTGGGTGGAAAGGAAACTTAAGATATGTACTAAACAACAATAATAATAATAATAATAATAATAATAATAATAAAAAATTATCGCTTAAAGAAAAATTTACACGCAAAACAATAGTAAACGCACTGATTCGAGTAAAACATAGTGACGATCGAACTTTTAATTCGTAAGGTACGACGCATGACTTTATCGATAATATAATGACGCATTATTAATAAAATGAATTTAGAGTTTTACAAATTCACTGATAAGCTTTTGGGGCTCATTGAGATATTTTGTATCTAATTCATGACGCGTTTTACGTAAGAATTCAAACAAAATGTACTTCGCACTCATCATTTATCGATAAATAGTGACACCGATCACTACACTTTTCTTATATGCAAACAAAGCTAGATGATGTTAAGATTCGCGACCTTAAAAACTTGTGGATGTATTTGATTCAATTAGGATCGTACAAGTCCGTGAACGGCAGGTACCTTATGTCCCGGTCGGTTATGTTGCTAAAAGTTTCTATTTGTTTGTATACTATAAGTTATCTGAAGCTGTATAGTCCAATTTATCGATTAATGATATGCATAATTAAACTACTACACACACACAGGAACCAAACCAGAAATTTCGAGTTACTCGTAGAATTTGTTAGATAGGTAAGGAATTTTAATAATTGAACAAAACATACAGGTATATTTTCAGTAGTATTTATATATAGCCCAGTCTTACAAAAAAGTGACCGCATCGTTCCAAGGGACGGGCAAACATTGCTCATTTGCGTTAAAACTAACAATTGGTGTGCTGTCAGTTCAAGGTTTTCATTTCACTGAGAAAGTAGGTATATATAATTACGGTATAATAAGCACAATGATTAGAAATTAAACTATTAAATTCAAATACAAATCCTACTTTCACTCTCCTATATTTTACTTCCATTTTTTTTTTATTTATGAAAATCAAAGCGGACATGTTTCTTTTTTTCCTGATTTATATATATATATATAATGTTATGTGACCACCTTTCAAATTGCCTCAATTGCCATTGTGGCAACGTCTCAATATTCGCAGGCCTCTCGGGACGAAGGGAACTTCAGATCGATCGCGTTTCTCTGAGCATTCTCCGAGCCCGAGTACTGGCTTAAGTTTAAAAGTAGACGAGCCATAGCTAATTTCAATCGGTGCTGATGCATAAGTGGCAATAGGCTGGGGCTGCTTGTTGGTGGCTTTTAGATGTTGAAGTCAGCAGAGATTGGCGCATCACATGGCATATTTGCGCGTCCACTCACGTGCCAATTCATTGTACTTCTCCCTGTCAGTTTTGTATAACCTTGCTATCTCTGGTACCAGAGGGTCATCTGGATTTGGATCGCACAGTAATGAGCATATTGATAATAACACTGAAAACAAGGAAACTTTCATAATGTAGTCCAAACATTTTAGACATTTTTACGCATAATATTAAAATATTGACTCAGATAATTGTTGCATTCTATTATTTATCGTTTTTAATTTAAATTATATTTGCAAATTTATGTACCCTTTGATATGGTAAGTGCTGGTGACCACTGCGATCTTAAAATATCCAAACAAATACTTCCATTACTGTTGATATTTGGGTGATAAATTCTAGTCGTAAAAGCAACCTGTACAAATGTGCACTGAATGAATATACTAATCACACATAATAGTAGGCATATCAAACAGTGTTATCTTACATTTAATGTACGTACCTTAGGTGGTTTGAATGGATAGTCTGTGGGGAAATGAATTGTAAGGAAAAACACACCTCCTTGATACGGACTGTCAGGCTGAAAATAATATTTACTCCAAATTATGTACTAATATTTAATATGTACCCATTTAAATACAACATGGTTCTTGTAGATTTTCAAATAAATAAATACAACAAATAATCACTTATTAATTAAAAAATTTAACAATAAATCATGTATCAATCTCATTAAAAATGGATTGATTGGAAAAAAGTTAATGATATGAAAAAGAAACAATACAACATAATAAAATATCAATACAGTATTAAAAATATAATTAAAGATATAAAATCTTAATAGGTTATTATTATGTCAAACATTACATGCACTATATCTTAAACAAAACTGTTAATTAAATATAACAAAAGATAAATTTTATTGCTTGGAAGTTACCTTTAAATGTCAGAGTCAAAGTGAAGATACTTGGAACTAATGCTTACAAATTATATGTACATATATATTAACACAATTCTCCAAAAAAGTAGATACTTTCAATTTGACACATATTAGTTCAATTAATTAATAATGATAAATAAAAATATAAAATTTTATGTATACTTACTGGTCCCATAATAGTTGCTTGCCAATGGAATACTGAAAACAATCATAAAATTAAATGTAGAAGCTTTAGTTTACTAAAAATCACTAATAAGCAGAAAACTAAAGCATGATTAATAATTATACCTAAATATCTAAAGTTTATAGCTTTATAAAAATTGATTAAGATTAATTACAAATCAACTTTATTTTCTGTGTATTATAATAAACAAACAAGTTTTTAGAGTAGCAAATTGTTCAAAGTTTAATAGTTTAATATTCTGTAATTAGTGCATATATAATCATAAGTGGCATTAATAAACTTACAGTCGTCTCCTACAGGACCAGCAGAACATTGTGCCGGTGGATCTCTACCAAGGTCCTGAAGTTCCTGAGTATGAAAAAAGAAAACATTTTCATAACAGTATAAGTAAAAACTGTTAACACTCTTAAATAATAATTCAAATTCCAAATACATTATATCATCTGACATGTATCAACATTTATGAATGTTATTTTTAACATAAATATCATATGGTTAAAAATATATTCTATCAATAATATGTCTACATTATGCATTGCATCATAAAGCTTAAAGTAAAAGGACTATATCTATATGTTTAAGTTCAGTTAAGAAACATATGAAACATGTGTAAACAAAATGTTCTAGAACATTCTTACATATGTGTATATAATACATTGATATGTATATATTACAGATATGAATTATATAAATTTTAATACTTTACAATGTCTGATTTCAAGCTTATACAATAATTGTTTTATAATTGACATATCATACATATCAAAAACATAGATCAGACTGAATCATCGATGAGAAGACAGAAATTACTAAAAGCTTAAAATAAAAGAAAGTGGATTGCAACATCTGTAATGCAATGAATTAAATGTTATAATGCTTTGATTAACAATAATTAACAGAAGTAATTAAGATAAGTTTTGCTCAATGGATGTGTATGTTTATATTAGACAATGGTATAAGCTAAAGTATTCTTATTACTTATGTTCTAATGGAGATACAATTATAAAATTTATGTTAGAAACAAAGTGACATAGTGCCTTGTGTTAAATATGATTATTGTGTGGCCAATTCACTTAGCGATTTCCATTCTTTTGTCCAGTTGGTTGGACTGATGCTCCGACTGAGAAACATTATAATGACTGACAGGTCAAATCACTGGCATGCATCATACAGAAATATATCAGTTCTAAATGATTCACTTTATCTCATTAATGTGTGTACAGCCACACAGGGAATTCCATGTTATTCATTAAAACAAGTAAGCAATGGTCACTAGAAAAAATTTTGTGATGATATATCTATGTCCACAAATGGACTCTGAATGCACTAATGAAATTTTCGTAATTTCTGAGTTATCTATAGCTACATACATATATGTATATACGTATATATGTATATATATGTATATATAGATGTATGTAACGCACGGTTTTACGTTACTTCCGGCAATTTATTGGGTAGCCACTTAAAATTTTTTTTAGAATTTCACTGTCACCGTAGCTACTACGTCCACTGGCACAAAGTGGCACTGTGCTGCGTGTGCAATGCACTACATCGACATGAACGCATATGCAAATAAATCAAAGCACAATCGAAGAATGTAAAAAAAGGGGGAAAAGCCAACATGATTTTCAATGCTGGCTCACATTGCTTCACTGCAAAATCGTTAAGGGCGTTCAACCGCATTTGGCACACATCACATTAACACCCGACTGTCTTTGTACAATACGAACACCTCTAATCATTCACATACCTTATTAATTCGTTTTAAAGCCATTTGTTGAACTGTGTGTTGATATTAACCGGCTGAAAACCAGACAGCGATACCCGCTAGCCGAAGATCTTTGATTAGGGATTGCAAGATGGCTGCCTTCTAAACGTAGTCTTACTACGATGGTCAAACCAAAATCCGTCAACTATTCTTGTACAACCTCTTTCACCTTCGGATAAAGCATTCTTAATCACATCTACGACTATTTTAACAGATTAATTTTATAACGCAAACATTTCAACGAAAAATAATACCTCCGTAATTTTTCTTACATCTTTTGTTGCAAAATTAAGTCAAAGTCTTTACGGATTTCCTTTTATCGGCAACTAGTGGATTTTTAACATTATACCATCATTTCTCGGTAGATGTCGTGATGAAAGATGTAAATGATTGGCCAATATGAATGATTAAAACAAATTCTTTTTATATATGTCTATTATGTATACAGGGTGTTAAGAAAAGGTTTATGTATTAAAGAACAAGTGGGTTGAAAAATGACTACAATTGAAGTTCTACATTTTATTAAATGCAACAAAGATGTCACGGTCAAAGTCAGTTTTATATATTTAAACATTACGAAGGTAATTATCTTTTACACATTGTGAAGTTGCAACAAAACTATCTACAATGATTAAAGATTTTTTTGTAGTTTCATTGTTACAATCAGTACAGGGTTTTTCATAACATGTGGACCCACTTCAAGAGGGGACTCAAACAATGGAAAACATATGTCCGATTTGACCTTGTTTCAGAGTTATCACCACTTTTGTGCTTCAATAATCTCTGACAACTTATCTTCAGAAGGTGTTTGAAATATCTTCGGTTAAAAAAACTGAATGCATTATTATTTTAATCTTCCACGTCCGATAATAAATCTTTGCACTCAAGGTCAGTCAAGTCGCTTTTTCACATTGAATAAAAAATACGAGCTTGATTGCATCTATTTTTCCATCGATTTCCTCAAGTACGTTGAAAAGGAGATACCAATTTAAATCAGTTCGTTAATATTCATTTGCAAAAGTCATATCTCAGTAAACGGAGTACATATAAAAATATAAAAAAAATTAATAACTTTACTGATAAATGAAGTTGCTTTACTGATTTATTTAATTTTTATTTTAAAACATAAAATACTTATTTCAATACAATGACGTTATTTAACAGAATCAAAATTGAAGAACCTCCAAGAAATTTCGCAATAACTTTATTACTCGACATATTTACTACATCGATCCCAAAGAAATATTCAAATTATGTCTTGAACATATTTACAATGTAGATAGTAAAACAAAACAAATTCAAATAGTAAAGGTTAGACAATTCAGAAAATTGATAAGTATACTACAACGATAATTTAGGGTTTACACCTGCAAATATGCCCGAAAATAAGAGAAAAGTCCCAGGATGTTACTGTATTCATAAAAAATTGCACAAACCACCAAAAAAGAAGGAGCAGTGCAAAAAGAAGAGGCAGACGTTCGTGTATAATCCGGAAGAGGATATGTGGCACGAGCCATACATGAGAGATTTGAGAAAGGAATTTTCGGATGTGTCAATATTATGTGATTCAAAGATCGAATTGCCGTGGAAGGACATCGCGTTGCCAGTAGCTGGCATGAAAATTCGTCAGGATGCTTCACTGACACCGTTAAGCGATCCTACGGAGCAAGGCGAGGATGGCGACGAAGAACTGGCGCAAAAAGAATCTGAAGGCACCATGCCTCTACCGTGGAAGGATTTGATCATCACGGAAACAGTACCATCGTCGAAGGCTGATCCTGCAAGCTGTGATTCCACGTTGGAAATTCCGTGGAATGATCTCGTGCTCGAACCACCGGTAGAGATACGACCTGTACAAGAGGAAGCTTGCGTTACCGATGACGTCGAAATTCCATGGGATGACATTTTACTACCTCGAAATATAGTAATCGAGTCGCAACCAAAGAAACATCCATCTTCGAAATATCCACCCCGGTCGAGCAAAAAAGGTGCTAAATGTTGTTGCGCTAGTGTTGGATGTAAGATGAGAATGACAGCTTCATGTAAATAACATTGTAAATAACGGGAGAACGTAATACAACAATGAAATTGATATTATAATAAACGAGTTTCCTGCAGGATATATTCTTTGGTTTGAGCTTCAAAATGGGAGATTTAGTTTATGTACAAAGGACAATTTCTTAATAAATATGTTTCACTTTAATTTTTAGAAATTATAGGAAGTTTTCTTGAGACAACATCAGATTCAACATCTGTAAAAGCATTTTGACATTTAAAATAGAGTTGGCTGTATTTGAAAGAACATTTACTTTTACCATAGTAGCAATAAATAATTTGCCCATGAATTAAATTTGTTTATTCTTCCTCAGAGAATTACGTCAATACTATCTTCCATACTTGAGACCATGTCTTAAATAAAAATGCTACGGTGTTTTAATTTATTGAGCAGCGAAAGAAAATAACATAGAAGTTACAAAATAATTCATTTACATATAAAGTTTAAATATGGTGCAAGCCTTATGTTTATGTATAAGTTATACCCTGTATATATAACTTATATACGATCAGAAAATGGTTATAATGGCGCCATCTAATGATGTAGGAAGCAACGAAGTAGAAAATTGATCTTCGTCGTAAAATAAGTAATTTCTACGCATTTGTCGTTATAAATACGACGTATGTTAAACAAATGCATTATCTTAGTGCACTGAATTCAATAACTAAAAAATTCTACAATATAAACTTTACAGTGTAGATGAATTCAGGTGTTAAGAATTATGTAAATATTGTTTACTTATTTATAATACCCGGCGCCTTTTAGTTGTTATAGCTTGTTTGCGTTATTAAGAGGCTTCAAATAACTGTATTAGAATGTGTTTAATGTGCTAAAACCAGCAAAAAAGAAATATTTAACTTGTTACCGACATTGTAATTCGCTGATGACCAGCTTATTTGAAAATCGTACCACCAGCGTCATCGACAGGTGATCATGCAAAGTAGATAATTGCAACAAAAAATAAGTGCGTTGCAGATATTTATCTTTATTCTTGTCGTTACTACTTTTTTAAATGTATTCTCATACAGTTATGTGAGGCTTAGCGATAAAGAACAATTTGTACCTAATAATCTTCGAAAATTTAAATTGGTATACAAGTAAATCCAAAAAACCGCCATTTGATGGCTTTATTCTTTTTTGTATTATGGCGGGATTTTTAAAATTGTCACAAAGGTCAGCATTGTCTACGAGTATCGTATTTTACAAAAATTAATGACATAGTGCTGAAACTTGGGTCTGTGTTAAAATTACAACAGCTTGTTTCAGCTATGTTTGCATTAGCTTCTAGTTTCTGACAAGGTACTTAATCCATCACTGTCTCCAACGAAAATTTATTGTGTACAAAAGACTTGCCAATATCGATTTTGCCTTGAACTTCGCAAACTTTAATAACAACCCTACAGAAATCAAATAAAAGCTATTTCTTACAAATGTCTGACTAGATAACTAAAAATATACATTCAATTGTATTCAAAATTGTATCAGACCATGTTTAACAATATAAAACGAACAATGTAAACGTTTATTGACTACTGTGTAATCTCTAATGTCAAAATACATTCTCAATACAAAACATTAATTTCAAAAGTCCTTCAAGGTATTAATAAATTATTAATTCTTAAATTTCAGCGCTTCCGTGGTATAAATATTTGAATACTGTTATGGTTATAAAACTTTGACTCGTCACAATAAACTTTGGAAGATTGGTTATGTTATGAAGAAAGGCGTTTCTTTGTTCTATTAATTTCGTTCGGTCACCATCAGATAGCGATAGTGGCACTCGTTTGTGGCGGCAGTTTTTAAAATTAATTATTGTTGTCTAAAAATAAGAGAATGTTTCCTTTTCGAAAGTGTACACCTACGTCTATAGAGAGATTGAGAGTTCTTCAGATATTTTTATACTTTGTTTCAGTTTGGGGCTCAAGGTCAACAGGAAAGTAACTTAAATTAATCTTTCATCTATAACGTGGTTAAAAAAAAAACATTTAAAGAACCTCAGACCTTGACATTTCAAGGGAAATAAGATTTAAACACTACAAATTATATTCATTTGATGAATTTTTTAAATTCTATACATTTCACTGGAAATATTTTATAACAAGTAATTAATGTAATTAAAAGTTTCTTAAGGTGTTTTTGATTCACCCTGTATACTATCAAGCAATGCAGTTGGAGTTTTCATTTACAAATAATTGTTAATTCATGTACGCGTCTTATAATCAATTCAAACTCATTTATAGATGAGGTGTAAATTTTTCAAAATGTGCAAAGTGGTTTTATTCATACAAAATATGAAAAGTGGAGAATTACGTGATGCCTCAACAAATAAATCCATCCTAAATTTTTCCAATACTTATTTGAAGGATGTTATTTGAATTATTTTATAAAATATGAAAATGACTTATCTGACATTTTCCAAATACGTGTAAAAACATATCCGTGATGAAAAAAAACATGTGAATTTTATGTTTATATGAATGACATTCCAAATTTACAAATTTACAAAGGGAAGTAAAATATGTAGTTCATTGCAAAGGGTAGAAAATATTGCAAAAATTATTTGTGGTCTTAGCACTATATCAGTTATATAACTACTAATTTGCAATTTTAATCTTTCTTACTGCATAAGTAGAATGTTTGTTTTTAAAATTTCTTTCACTATCTATTCACGGTCATTGATAAGGATTGTTATATATAATAATTATAAACGAACATTTTAACATTCAAGTCTGGAATTTTAGTCAAAATATTTGCGAATGAAGAAGCATTTTGTACAGACATGTTACCGAGAGTTGCGTTGTACGTAGTTTGAACAAACGACACATTGGCGCCAGTAGCAGCCAAACACAGCGCCGCCATGATTATTATTCGGCCGGAGTTCGTGATTGGCGGCAGTCGGCATTTGCCTGTGTACGCGGACGGTTGTTTCTCCGTGTTGTAGTTCAGTTAAACACTACGTACCGAAAATGGCGTAGCAAGGTGGTATAATGCCATCAAATTTTCTCGTGACAAATACATCGTAAGAAGTTATGAACAGTGCACGGCGTTCCAGCACTTGACTTTCCAAGCATTTGTAACGATACCGTCCAACAAAGAGCTACGTGATAATCTCAGCGGAGCGTTTGTCGTAATAGCAGCGTGAAAAGTGTGTTGTGTGTTGGTGACTCGTACTGTGATTTGACAACGGAAGTGTTCACGTTTCCCGTGACGTTTCGGAGTTTGAACGAGGTGCGCAGCGTTTCGTGAAACACGCGTTATTTGATCTTTGTGCCGGGAAACTCAAGGATGGCACTTGTACTAGCGAGAAATCGAGAATTTTTCCTCGTGACAGCTTGACGACCTCGACTCTAGACGAGTTCAAGATGGCGCCACCGGCATTTTGACACTTGCCCAAGATCCGTCAGCTGGATTTTACAACCGCCCCGAACTCCGATTATTATGAGCAGAGAATTTTACGTTCCTTGTACATCTTACACTTATCAGGTGAGTGATTCATTGATTGTCAACCTTACAGTGAAAGCACGTAGCGTCGTAATCGTATCTGCTGATTGTTTCCTGTATCGCCACATCAAGAACAAATTGTCAATTCTTGCTTTTGTTAAAAAGCAATTATTTCGTCATCTCGTTTGCATTCTCAGAAATGTCAATAGTGTATTCTTTATTATAATCGTACGTCAATCTTGTACCATTTATACCTCTCATTTAAAGGCAAATTATAGTGAGTCATTTTTTCACAAAATGCAGGAATTGTGAAACTTTTATTTCAACGGTCTTACAAGTCTGTTTTTTATAACAAATTATTGACCAATATAAATTTCATATAATTTGGTAATTCATTATTTTAAATTGAATGTTTTTATTTTCATTTTGAATATTTCTGTTTTGGACGAATCTTTTTGGAGTTCCATTGTGTTCCGTTAGGATATTTAAAATCAGAGCTGTATCGCGTGTTTCCGCTTCCGTGCAGTTGACAGTGTACTCAAACTTGATCTTTAAAGATATAAATCTTTGGTCAACGAAGCAACCTAGTTATAGTTATAATTCATGAGAAGTGCAGATATTAAAATATGTAACAGTGACACTTTTCTGAGTTTTAAATAAATGTACTCGTTTTGAGTGCACTATTTTTCAGTGTTAATAAAGTAATATAAAATGGGGGATACAAAAACAGATCAATTTGTAACTTCCAAAGTACAGTGACTGTAAACACGCCATAATTAACGAAAGATTAAGCTTACAAAGTCCTTCGCGTTTGATGCAAATGACACGATTTGTCACGCGTGTTTTCACCGTTGCTCACCTTTCAATGTACACCAAGTGCGTCTTAGAATTTACGCGCGTTGAATCGGTTACGTTGCGAACATCGAAATCGAACGTGACCGAGGAAAAACAATGAAAACAGTGTCGGTGAAAAATCGACGGTCGATGAAAAGTCGACGGATCACGTCGATCCGATGACGTGAAAATTGACAAGTAACCTAAAGGTCCATTTTCTGCGCGCTTTTTCCTCGATTATTTGAGTTTCGCTATGAACGATGAGCGTCCGTCCGGAATTGTATCCGGAAGTGGGGCCTCTGCGTCGGACGACGCGGAGGAATTAGGCGTGCAAGGTCCCGCTAATAGTAATGCTAAGAATTTGAAACCGTCTGTCAGTAATATAACCAGGAAGGTGAGATTTCAAGTTTCGTTTAACGTTTGTGAAATGTAGGAAATTTTATGATTTTGAGAAGCAATGTGAGACTATATTTTTTAATCAATGAGGGACTATATTTTTTTTGTAATATAATTTTAGGTGTGTGTAGGATTTTACTGGGATATGACAGTACATTTGCTTTTATTATTTTATTCTTTTTTTTGAAGTTCAGTAATGTACCGGTTACAAGGATTGTTACATTTTTTTTCTTCTGCAATTAATGGTTTTACTAATCATTAAGCTAGCATGTTATTATCATAATGTGAACCGAATATATGGACGTTATGATCTGCAGTAATTTTTTCATAATTATGTTTTAAATATGAGTTATTATTCTTTATTCTAATCTTTCAGAGATTACAATATATTCAATTGACTTATAATTCAAAATTGTAGAAATGTGTTATTATAAAAATTTGTGGATATAATAGTGAACATAAAATTTTGATATTTTTACTCTGAATATTTGTTAAGGTTTTGAATGTTTTGATTTTGAAAATGTTAGATAAAGTTGGTGATTGAGAATTGCTAAAGTGTAACTGTAATAAGCGCTATAAATAAATAAATGAAACAAGAAATTAAGGATTAGCTACTTGAAACCGGTTATAGAATTACAAAATGTACATACGTTGAGCATAATTATCAAGTTTATAAATACGTACATAAGTGAATTGCACTTTTCATAAACAGATTCACGAAGAGGATAAGCTGCTTTTCTAACAGATCTTGCTAGAATATCTGTCGCATTTAAAATTGTGGAGTGGTCGACCAAACCATTCATAACTGTAAACAAAACGAGTTTTATATTCATAACAAAATTATTAGTCGTGACAGTGTATTTTAATTTCTGTGTCATCATTTTAATTATCCAGTTATTAACTACTTTTGTATTAAAAGTTGCTTTAAAAATTGTTAGTCACTGTAGTGTTTAATATTTTTAATTATGAATGTTCTGAAGAATTTTTTAATTATATAGTCTGTTTCAAGTATGTTACATAAAATAATGTAGTATATAATTGGTGTATTTTTGAACATTAATAAATAGCAAACTCTGTAATGAACAAAATTATTTATAACATTTTTTACTTTTAGTAAATAGAATTTTTTGTAGTCTTTTTATTATTGCAAATTTACAGTGTTGTATAATTTTTCATCAAATAAATTTTTTTAGTAGAAAATTTGTATAATTTTTTGTTAATTTTGTGACAATTTAGATTTATTTTTTTCTAATTTTATGAGAGTTCAAAATTTATTATTTTTTGTTAATTTTGTGAGTTTTCAAATTGTATTATTTTTTGCTAATTTTATGGGAGTTTAAATTGTATTATTTTTTTGTTAATTTTGTGAGTTTTCAAATTGTATTATTTTTTGCTAATTTTATGGGTTTAATTTTTATTATTTTTTGTTAATTTTCTAAGTGTTCAAATTTTGTTATTTTTTGCTAATTCTATAGGAGTTCAAATTTTATTATTTTTTGTTATATTTGTGAGAGTTAAATTTATATTATTTTTTGCTAATTTTATAACAGTTTAAATTTTATTATTATTTCACAAAATTAGAGAAAGTAATATAACAAAATTATTTTATGCAATATTTTATTAAGAGCGTTTAAACAAACTATTACAGAAATATTCTAAACAGAAAGAAAATGAATAAATTCATATTTCTGATAGCTATATTTATTTAGCTGTTCACATGTCACACATGACATGACATTTTATCTTGTTTTGAACGAAACCTTTAGCGATCATAACAAACAGATCAGATCGAAGCTACCTAATGTCGGTCGTTACCTGAAACGTTTGAGATTGAGGAATGGCAAACTCAGAGTCGAAAAAGAAACAATCGATGGTTCTTCAGTTGCAGTCGCTCAAAATATTGTAAACGAGGTGTCGGAAAGTTCAAGTGGTAAATATTCAAGTTGTAATAATTCTTTCACGTGTGCCTTCTATTTTTAACTGTATAACAATTTTTTTTTAATGCTGTAATATTTAACAAATATAGAAAGTACGCATATTTTCCCTACATTTATCGAAATGATATAGTATTCACAATAAATCCTTAAGTAAAATAGGTTTCTCTTTATTTATTGGATAGTTCTATTCCCATCATTTATGTTACCGGTTGAACAAGTTTGCATTCACACTAGCTTTTGCACGCATTAATGGCGTTCACCCACTATTGCAAGCATGGATATGTGGAGAATGCTGCAATATAAAGCGTTGTGTAAATTTTCAAATTTTAACTCGTTTACAATTTCAGTGTTTCAAAATTGCTATGCTTCCAATTCCTCGCATTTCCAAATTCCTAGGTCTCCAAATCCCCATGTTTCCAAATTTCTATATTTCCAAATTTCCACGTTTCCAAATTTCTACTTTCCCAAATTCCTACGTTCCCAAATTTCCACGTTCCCAAAGTTCTACTTTTCCAAATTCCTATGCTTCCAAATCCTCACATTCCCAAATTTCTATGCTCTCAAATCCTCATATTTCCAAATTTCTATGCTCCCAAATCTCCACATTTCCAAATTCCTATGGCCTCAAATTCTCATAATCCAAAATCCCTACCTTCCCAAATTCCTCTATCCCCAAATTCCTACGTTCCTAAATTCCTATACCCCCAAATCTCTACGTTCCCAAATCTCCACATTCCCAAATTCCTCTATCCCCAAATCCCTATCATCCCAAATTCCTATGCCCCCAGAATCTTACGTTCCCAAATCCCTAAATTCTCCATTCCTCAAATCCCCAAATCCCTAAACTCATAACCTGCTAAAATATCTAACAACAAATTTAACATGACGTTCAACACTGATGTCAACGAATCACTTAATAATTCAAAAATCAAACAACTCAATCTTTATTTACATAATACTATCGATTTGTCAGTGTCCACCATCAACGATCTGAATATTACGGAAGACGGGGATTCGATTTGGTCAGAGAACCCTGTAGCCGAAACAGTCTGGCACGACACACACGATGACTCTTCGAATTATTTCTCGGCACTCGATTTTGAAGGATCTTCAGCTTCTGCCGCGAATACAAGTAGTACTTTCAATTTGATTGATTATGGGGGTATGGAGAGGCAAACTCACTTATGCGGGCTCAATAATTCTCTCGTCGAAATACTTCTGTTTAGTCATTCATAGTTTGCTCGTGCATTGTTAAAGTCTCTCTAGCTTTCGTCGTTGGTTAAATAAAGTTACAATACTTTTACGTTTTTAATTAGGAAATTTAATTATTAAGGTTTTAATGGATATTGAAGATTTATTGGGGATATGTACATTTTGTTCTAGTATTTTTTGTGAAGGGAATTATCTGATATTTGACAAACTTAGCAAGGCTAAACAAGAAAAACTTGATCAAGTTTGTAATAAAAATACGAAACATGTTAAATAGTCATTTTGACTTCTTTGGTAGAGTTAGTATTAAAAACTCATAGTCTAAGTATTTTTGTCAAATTCATGCTTTTGGCAAGTAGCGCACGTTACACAATATTACATTATATGTGCTTTGAATCATTAAGAAGTCTAAATATCATCTATCTTATTGAACTTGTGGTTAAATGAAGCAAACATAATTAGTTTTTACCTAACAATGCTTTGAGGTACATATTCTCTCAACAGTTTCATATATCGTCTTCATACATGGTGCTTCATACATCATCTTCATACATCATCTTCATACATATAGTTCCATACATCATCTTCATACCTGGTGCTCCATACATCATCTTCAAACTTCATCTTCATACATACTGTTCCATACATCGTCTTCATATATACAGTTTCATGACATCATCTTCATACATGTATTTTTATATATTATTTTTATACATGTAGTTTGATACTTCATCTTCATACATACAGTTCCATACATCATCTTCATGCATCATTTTCATACATACAGTTTCATACATCATCTTCATACTTCATGTTCATACATACAGTTTCATATATGGTCTTCATACATACAGCTTCATATATCGTCCTCATACATACAGTTTCATACACCATGTTCATACTTCATGTTCATACATGCAGCTTCATACATGGGTTTCATACATATAGCTTCATACATACAGCTTCATACATCGTCTTCATATATAGAGTTTCATACATGATCTTCATACATACAGTTTCATACATGATCTTCATATATACAGTTCCATACATGATCTTCATACATACAGCTTCATACATCGTCTTTATATATAGAGTTTCATATATGATCTGCATACATACAGTTCCATACATGATCTTCATATATACAGTTCCATACATGATCTTCATATGTGCAGTTCCATACATGATCTTCATACAAACAGCTTCATACATCGTCTTCATATATAGAGTTTCATACATGATCTTCATACATAATCTTCATAGTATAGTTTCATATGATATATCCTCATACATAGTTTCATACATCATCTTCATACATACATTTGCATACATAATCTCCACACATTCATTCTAATAAAATGCAAACATATCAATTACAATTATATTTATCGTTACAATCTACACCATTAATTCCACTGACTAGCTTGATTAATTGGAAATGGTTATAAAAATTCAAGGAAGTATTCGTCACGATAGAGATATATAATTTACCAGGGAAATTCCGTTTTGTCGTGTTACCATCTTTTTCTGGTGGACGACACGGAAGTCCAGTAATGTAATATTCATCGATTCGTGCGTCACGAATTTTAGTCGGGCTTCCTTACAGGCGAATATCAGACGGGAAATCAAACCATGAATCCGACTTCTTCCACGTTGGTCGAAACCGAGCCTATTCGAATGATTTCCATTTCTATGAACACCTCCGAAACGGACGGGCTTTTCGTCACCACGTTGAACCGTGAAAATATTGCGGCGAGGAATATTTTGGAATTCAGGGAAGCTCTGGCTAACCCGTTGGGGTAAATTCAATTATGATTCGTACAAACTTAATAAGTAAACAGGTATAATTAAAAGTTTCTTGTTTGAGTAACAAAGGCAACGCGAGTCGACGGATTAAACAGGGTTGTAGTTTCGTTACAAAAGAAAGTAGTTTGGTTCCACAAGCATTGTTTAGACGATCGTTTGAAGAGGCGATCAAAAGGAAGGGCTTCCACTAAGAAAGACTACAATAATTGTACTCTTTAGAAGGCCAACGGAAAGGCTTAGAGATCAAGAGCCTCGAACAGTCCCTTTAGTCCGCATTCGAAGCGAAGATCGTCACGAACGCTACCTTCAGGACAACGTGAACGGTGAAAGCGGATTTAGTAGATCAAGTACAATCGGGTAAGCGATTTTTATACTCGACAATTACACGGTGAGTTAAATTATTATTCGTTCCGTTCTTCAACCTTTGAACGATCTGTTGCTCAAGAGTCTCGGAATCGATTCGAAATCGACTGCATTCGCACAACGTAGCTTGACTTTTCAATTACTTTTTAATTAAATTGATATATTGGCTCTAAAACACAAACGTTGTTAAAGTAGCGAAGGATCAAGGTTCTTACATTTTTTTATCATATGGCAACTTTCTTGTATTTCTGATATGATGTAATAATATTTTTACATTTTTGATATAATAATTTTTTTTACATTTTTGATATAATAATTTTTTGTACATTTTTGATATAATAATTTTTTATACATTTTTGATATAATAATTTTCTTAAGATTTTTTATATAATACAAATAATTTTCTTCAACATCTTTTATATGATACAATAACTTTCTTCACTACTATATAACACGAGTAACTTCGTTTAACATTTTTTTATAAAATAATTCAACTATAAGTTAATAGTATCATCGAAGAAATTCTTTCATGTTCTTTAACAATATCTAACTCCACTTACTCTTAAATTCACTATACATTTGTACGATCATGTTTCCGTGTATTGTTATAGGTGCATTGTATATCTGAATACATATGTACCTGATGTATAGATCACCTAGAAACGGTAGTTAATTAGTTTATAAGTTGAGTCTAAATAAACCCGCAGTGTACTGAACAAGGTTATCCCTTTGGGGTTGAGGTCTTACTATAAGACAATTAACAGAAGTTGAAACTTTCTTTCGAACTGTACCACAGTTCTTCTTTAAGTTTTTACAAACTTTTAATTACTTTAAACTAACGCAAATTTTTGTACGTTTAAAGTCTGTTAATTAACGTTTGTATAAGTTTGTTTTTATAGTTATGTGGACAATTTTGTTTCAATAGTTAAATGTATCATTTCTATTCTTGTAGTTATATGTACAATTTTATTTCCATAATAATTTTATTCCATAATAATAAATTTTCAATAGTTATATATACAATTTTATTTCCATAGTTATAATTTTTTAGTATCTTTGAAAATATCAATTGTTTAAATATTAATTTCATCAGGTTCAACTTTTGAAAATATCAATTTTTTACCAATTAATTCCATCAGGTTCAAATATGATAAAAATAAATGCATATCAGAAAAAAATCAAACTGACAAACTTGACAAACTCAACAAATTTCCCAATAGACATCTACGTTCGATTCGCATTTCCAATTGCCCTACTTGACCCTGCACAGACAATGTCTGGCGCATACAATGTGATTGTATTACAAAGACATACAATACAGATCTCGTTTACCGAACAGTTCATTATCATCTTTATTGGACAGGTATTGTAGAATGCACATGCTGCGTCATCGATTGCATTACAAAGATATTATAGAATGCATATGGTACGTCATCGATTGTATTTCGTAGATACTATAGAACGCATATGGTGCGTCATCGATCGCATTGCGTAGATAGTATAGAACGCATATGGTGCGTCATTAACCCTTTGACTGCCATGTCACTTATATATGGATGACACTCAAATTTTTATACAGAATTTTTATTTTTATACACTTATATTATTACAAATTTTGTAACTGAAAATAATCGTATTCATTAATACCTGGAACTGTGGAAAATAAATATGACAAAATGTTATGAAAATGTTTGGTACGATTTGTTAAAGATTAAAGTAATATCTAATTCAATTTTTGATGATAGTATAAAGATAGTAGAGCATAGTAAAAATAGTACAGGACGCGAAGGGTGCGTCATTAATTACTTCGTAAAAATATTATGGAACGCATACGGTGCGTCATTATTTCCTTTGTAAAATTATTGTAGGACGCATATGGTGCGTCATCAATTTCTTTATAAAAATCTTATAGGACGCATATGGTGCGTCATTAATTACTTCGTAAAAATATTATGGAACGCATACGGTGCGTCGTCAATTCCTTTGCAAAAATATTATAGAACGCATACGGTGCGTCATGAATTTCTTCGTAAAGATATTATAGAACGCATACGGTGCGTCATTACTTGTTTCTTAAAAAATATTATAAAACGCATACGGTGCATCACTACTTGTTTCTTAAAAAATATTATAGAACGCATACGGTGCGTCATTAATTGTTTCATAAAAATATTATAGATCGCATACGGTACGTCACTACTTATTTCATAAAAACATCATAGAACGCATACGGTGCGTCAACAATTCCATCACAAAAATATTATAGAACACATACGTTGCGTTATTAATTATATACTAAAGGTATTATAAAACGCATATGGTGTGTCACCGCTTATATCGAATAAGTATTATAGAACGTATACGTTGTGTCATTGATTGTACTTGTCGGATACTATAGAACCCATATGGTATGTCATTGGTTGCATTACATAAGTACCTACTATAGTACGCACACGCTACGTCATCGATTTCATTGCATAGACTTTGTAGACGCATACGGTGCGTTATCGATTTCATTGTGCTTATGGGCAGTATAAAACAGACACGGCGGGTAACCGGTTATATCGCATAGAAATTGTAGATATGACGCGTCATCAATTTTATTCTATAGGTAGACGGTGCGGGTTTTGAAGCTTTATTTTTGATCTTTTGAATTTTGGAATTTTTTAATTTTGCGAATTTAGGGACGTGGAACTTTTACAGTTTGCAAGTTTTGAAATATGAGATTTTTGAATTTTTAGATTTTGGAATTCTGGAATTTTAGACTAAGGAATTTTTTAATTTTTGGATTTAAAAATTTTTGAATTTTAGGAATATGGGACTTTTGAATTTCTGAATTTAGAAGTTTTGAAATTTTAGAATTTTGGGACTTAGAAATATTAGAATTTTGAAATTTTTATGTTTTAGAATTTTGGGATTTAGGAATTTTTGAATTTTGAAGTTTTGAAATTTTAGAATTTTGGGACTTAGGAATTTTTTAATGTTGGGAATTGTGAATCTAAAGGCTCTGAAAGTTTCTAATCTTTGAAATTTCAGAAATTGAGAACTTTGAAATTTTTTTACTCAAAAGACTTGAAACTAAAATTCGAAATTATGAGATTATATCATTTTTGAGTTTCTGAATTCTACACTTCAGAATTTCGTTCTTGAAACTGTATTTTAGTTCATAAAAACTTGCGAAGACAGTCTACTATAAAATACACATTGTGCACCATTGATCTCATTGTATAGACAACGTAAATTGATGCATCAGTATAGGCACCTATATGACGCACCTGGTGTGTCATTGATTTACATCGCATAAATACTTCAAGACTCACCAACAGTGTTATACGTAGTAAATAACGTACAATAACACATCGTTCATTTTTCAATCCGCTAATTTGCACTACAAGATGCAATCGATTGATCGGGAACGATTTATATTGATCAGTTAATTGCTTTCATTGGAAACATGGAAGTCATTGAAACGTTTGATTGTAACAATCGTAAACAGATATGATAATCTACGAGAGCAGAATGATAAACACGTTGCTCGATTAATCTCGGAGGAAACATATCTATGCTTTCATCGTTGGTAAAATACATTCATGTAAGCTTCTTGCACTTCAATAACAATAAAATCTGACAATTTTAACGGGGAATTTTTATGAATAATTAAATACAGGTATTTTCAAATTGTTTAAGACTTGTAAAGATAATTTGAGGTTATTTAATTATCAAAATTAGGTTCTTTCTATTTTCTTGTTAATTTTTCTTTGTTATATTATGTGTTATATCAGAGGTACAAAAAATTGAATAATTTGGATGATTTTAAATAACTGGATTATTAGTGCAATTTATTTTAAAATATATTTTTTAAACATTACTTTAAACATCATCATTAAGAATTAATATTAAAATTATTTCATTTTTGTTTCGAGTTATGTAAATTATATTATTTTTTTTTTACTATACTGAGTATAATGTAAGTATAAAATGAATGACTCAATTCCACATATTCCAATTCCCACATGCCGCAATTCCACATATCCCAATTTTCACATATTTCAATTCCCACATGTCCCAATTCCACATATCCCAATTTCCACATATTCCAATTCCCACATGTCCCAATTCCACATATCCCAATTTCCACATATTTCAATTTCCACATGTCCTAATTCCACATATTTCAATTCCCACATGTTCTAATTCCATATATCCCAATTTCCACATGTCCCAATTTCCACATATCCCATTTCCCACATATCCCAATTCCCGCATATCCCAAATCCCACATATCCCAATTCGTATTATTATTACATAAATAATTATTCCCATCCAAATTAAGAAGTCGTTAGGTAAAAAATGAAAGAGTACAAAGGGTTAAAAATCGTATGGAAGTTAGTAGCGGAGCTAATAGTCTCGGTAACAGGTTGCACGTGCAGTATTTTCTCGTTTTGCTCCAGTTTTCGCGTGCGCGTTCTCAGCACACTTTAAAGCCGCAGCCCTCTGCGAAGATATCGAATGTACAATTGCGCACAGTGGTATGGCGAGCGGGTAGAAGATTGCGGCGCATCGGTGCGGCTCCGTTCGGTAAACCTACTCGCGTGCTAACCACGTTAAAAAATCGGTAACGGTATCGTTATTGTGGTCGGTTTACATTCGTTGAACGTCGGCGACACTCCCGGTAACGCCGCCGGAAACACTTTTGACCGGTTCATCGTCTTTACCCTTATTAGCTTACTCGAAATGGCCGCCAGTTTTGTCACGGATAAAATGGTCAACCCTCTTCCTATTTACAAACTGCATTTTTCGCGATTTTTAACATTGAAGTTTCTATTTTTTAATTGTGGAATTATCGAATTTTCAATTGTTTTTTTTTTTAACCGAGGAATTTAAAAATTATCGATTATAGATAGTAAATATCTGATAAACACCTTAGATAAGTGAATTTGGTTGCTGATAAAATGAAAGTCTTTGTTAATTTGTATACTTATTAAATTTAGGAA